CTCGGGAAAAAGTCAAAATTTTCATACGGAAAGGTATTAAAAAATTAAACTTTTGGGAAAATTTATTAAAAATCGACAAAAAATTCTGGAATATAGAAATCGATGGACTCAATCGCAAAATATTGCGCGATGACATTCCCGAGTCAAAATTTTCAAATACTTCGGCTTCAAACTGAAATTTTGAAAATATCTCAAAAATTGTCCTATTTGATTTTAACGTTTCTGGAAAAAGAAGTCGAAATGAAAAATAGCAACCATGTGAGTAATTTACAAAAACGCTTGGAAGAAGTCAAAAATCTCATACAAATATCACTAAAATATTGAACTTTTAAAAAAATTGCACAAAAATCCATAAAAAAATCTGGGATTTAGATATCGATGAACTTAACCGAAAAACATTGCCTGTTGTTGGTACCCGACCAATATTTCGAAATATTCGATTTCAAAATCAAATTTTTTAAATATCTCAAAAATTGTAGATTTCATTTTGACGATTCTGGAAAAGTTTGTGAAATTTTCGAAGAAATAAAGCCAAAAAACGCTTCCAAAATTCAAAATATACAAAATAAAGTCGTTTTGGTAATTTCTGAAGATGTTCGGAAAAAAGTCAAAATTTTCATACGGGAAGGTATAGAAAAATTGAACGTTTTGGAAAACTGACTAAAAATCCATAAAAAAATCTGGGATTTAGATATCGATGAACTTAACCGAAAAACACTGCGTGTTGTTGGTACCAGACCAAGATTACGAAATATTCGACGTCAAGATGAAATTTTTTTAATATCTCAAAAATTGTAGATTTCATTTTGACGATTCTGGAAAAATTGGTGAAATTTTAGAAGAAATAAAGCCGAAAAACGCTTCCAAAATTCAAAATAAACAAAAGAAATTCGTTTTGGTAATATCTGAAGATGGTCGGAAAAAAGTCAAAATTTTCATACGGGAAGGTATTGAAAAATTGAACTTTTTGGAAAACTGATTAAAAATCCAGAAAAAATTCTGGGATTCAGATATCGATGAATTTAACCGAAAAACATTGCGTGTTGTTGGTACCAGACCAAGATTACGAAATATTCGACTTCAAGATGAAATTTTTTTAATATCTCAAAAATTGTAGATTTCATTTTGACGATTCTGGAAAAATTGGTGAAATTTTAGAAGAAATAAAGCCGAAAAACGCTTCCAAAATTCAAAATAAACAAAAGAAATTGGTTTTGGTAATATCTGAAGATGGTCGGAAAAAAGTCAAAATTTTCATACGGGAAGGTATTGAAAAATTGAACTTTTTGGAAAACTGACTAAAAATCCAGAAAAAATTCTGGGATTCAGATATCGATGAATTTAACCGAAAAACATTGCGTGTTGTTGGTACCGGGCCAAGATTTCGAAATATTCGATTTCAAAATCAAATTTTTAAAATATCTCAAAAATTGTAGATTTCATTTTGACGATTCTGGAAACTTGGTGAAATTTTCGAAGAAATAAAGCCGAAACACGCTTCCAAAATTCAAAATAAACAAAATAAAGCCGTTTTGGTAATTTCTGAAGATGTTCGGAAAAAAGTCAAAATTTTCATAGGGAAGGTATTGAAAAATTCAACTTTTTGAAAAACTGACTAAAAATCCATAAAAAAATCTGGGATTTAGATGTCGATGAACTTAACCGAAAAACATTGCGTGTTGTTGGTACCAGACCAAGATTTCGAAATATTAGATTTTGAAATAAAATTTTTAAAATATCTCAAAAATTATAAATTTCATTTTGACGATTCTGGAAAACTTGGTGAAATTTTCGAAGAAATAAAGCCGAAACACGCTTCCAAAATTCAAAATAAACAAAATAAAGCCGTTTTGGTAATTTCTGAAGATGTTCGGAAAAAAGTCAAAATTTTCATAGGGAAGGTATTGAAAAATTCAACTTTTTGAAAAACTGACTAAAAATCCATAAAAAAATCTGGGATTTAGATGTCGATGAACTTAACCGAAAAACATTGCGCGTTGTTGGTACCGGACCAAGATTTCGAAATATTCGATTTCAAAATCAAATTTTTTAAATATCTCAAAAACTCTAGATTTCATTTTGACGATTCTGGAAAACTTGGTGAAATTTTCGAAGAAATAAAGCCGAAAAACGCTTCCAAAATCAAAATAAACAAAAGAAAGTCGTTTTGGTAATTTCTGAAAATGTTCGAAAAAAAGTCAAAATTTTCATACGGGAAGGTATTATTGAAAAATTGAACTTTTTGGAAAACTGACTAAAAATCCATAAAAAATCTGGGATTTAGATATCAATGAACTTAACCGAAACACATTGCGCGTTGTTGGTACCGGACCAAGATTTCGAAATATTCGATTTCAAAATCAAATTTTTTAAATATCTCAAAAACTGTAGATTTCATTTTGACGATTCTGGAAAACTTGGTGAAATTTTCGAAGAAATAAAGCCGAAAAACGCTTCCAAAAATCAAAATAAACAAAAGAAAGTCGTTTTAGTAATTTCTGAACATGTTCGGAAAAAGTCAAAATTGTTATAGGGGAAGGTATTGAATAATTGAACTTTTTGGAAAATTGGCTAAATATCCACAAAAAATTCTGGGATTTAGATATCAATGAACTAAATCGAAAAACATTGCCTGTTGATACTCGAGGGCTAACATTTTCGAATAATTCGGGTTCGAACTGGAATTTTAAAAATTTTTCAAAAATTATCATATTTCATTTTAACCATTCTGACAAAATGGCTGAAATTTATGAATAAATGAAACCGAAAAACACTTCCAGAGGTCGAAATTAGGAATAGGAGCCATTTGGATGATTTTCAAAAATTCTCTGGAAAACGTCAAAAACTTGATGGGAGAGTACTGAAAAATTTAACTTTTAGAAAAACTGCCAAAAAATTCTGCGATATAGATATTGATGAGCTTTGTCCAAAAACATAGCCTATTGATGGTACTGAACCGAGATTTTGAAATATTTGACTTCACAATAAAATTTTTAAAATATTTTAAAAATTGTCAAATTTGATTTTGACGATTCTGGAAAAACTGGCAGAATTTGTGAAGAAATGAAGCCGAAAAAGACTTCCAAAAATCAAAATAAACAAAAGACAGTCGTTTGGGTAATTTCTGAAGATATTCGGAAAAAGTCAAAATTGTTATAGGGGAAGGTATTGAAAAATTGAACTTTTTGGAAAATTGGCTAAATATCCACAAAAAATTCTGGAATTTAGATAGCGATAAACTTAATCGAAAAATATTCTGCGTTGATATTCCAGGGTAAGATTTTCTAATAATTCGGTTTCGAACTGGAATTTTAAAAATTTCTCAAAAATTATCATATTCTAGTTTAACCATTCTGAAAAAAAATGGCTGAAATTTTTGAAGAAATGAATAAGAAAAACACTTCTAGAGGTCTAAATCAATAAAACAATTCCTTAATTAATTTTCGAATATATTCGGGAATATGACAAACATTTTATATGGGAAGGTATTGAAAAATAGTAATTTTAGGAAAATTGCTCAGAAATCCTTAAAGAGCGTGTTAATGAACGGGACATTTCTAAATAATCGATTTCAAGATCAAATTTTTAAATTATACTAAAAATTGTCAGATTTCATTTTGACGATTATGGAAAAGTTGCTAGAATTTTTGAAAAAAAAATCCAAATCATTTCCAAAGATCGAAATCAACAAAAGGAAGTCTTTGAGTTACTTTCGAAGATACTCAGGGGAAGGTATTGAAAAACTGAACTTTTGGGAAAATTGACCAAAAATCCACAAAAAATGTAAAATAAAAAAGTGGGTTTAAAATTTCCAAAATATTTCCAAATAAATGATAAAGTCGTTTCAATCGACTGAGAACTGATGTCATATTGTAAATAATCTTCCGGTAATTATGAATCCAAAGTCGCTTTTACAAGATCTACTCAAACAAATGCAAAAAATGATTTGAAACCCAAACTGGTCCTTTTCAGGACAATCGATCGTATTTATTACAAATAAGATATTAAGCAACTCCGAGAACGACAATTCCAAAGAAAATGACATCTTGAAACTTATCTCCGTCTAGTCTGAAAAAAATAATCGGATTTTTCTCGGAACTGAGTGTTTACAATTTTCAACATTTACAGCCCGTCAAAGCTCATGATTGCATGGATCACGAAACATCGCTGTCTCAGAATGTTGTTTGCAAACGATCTCGCTCAAACGAATTCTACGTCCCGAATAACCGAGTAAGTGGCGCTTTAAACTGGTATTTTCCGAGTAACACTATGAAATAAGTAGTCCTCAATTCCGATGTGAAACGTGGCTGGAAATTCTCACCTAAACTCGAGCCATTTTCCAAAACTAACAAAATCATGCCCGACTTTCATCTCGATGGATCAAATTATCTACAGCGCCACGCAATCACATTAAATGTTAAATAAAGTTTCCAATTCCCACATGATTGATTGATTACGTTGAAAGTGTCTTGTTTAGATAAGAGCCTTCTCCTGGAAGCAGCCTTCTTCTCCAGCGAGTAAATTTCAAAACTCGCCTTGATCCTAGCTGTCGCTGCGACGATCCCTTTCGAATTCGTAAATTCGGCGAAAGTGGTATTTAATCTCGTAATTAATCCGTTTTATACAAATTAAAATGTATTTGGAAACGTTCCCCAGGCTCGATTGTCGCAGATAATTTTATTATTTAGCGCCCGGCTACACTACAACCGCTATTGTTGTCGCAGTAGCTTAATTGATCCTTTCTTACGTACGTACTATGGAGGACGACATCGATTTTCGCGTAGAGACCGAATATCTCAAATTTAATGGGGAAAGTGGTTATAAATTCTTTATTTGAGACGAAAACCTGAGAGTGTTTTGCTAAAAATAGGCGACGTTTCGTGTATCAGACGGGAAAGTTTCAAGTTTCGTCGTTAAAGCTCGACCTACATTTATAGCAATAACTAAGTTGATTCAAGAAAGTTTTTGGATAATTATGTAGCAGAAATAAGCTAGCCGAATTCTTATAAACTTTTTTTGTAGTTGAGTTTTCGTACAATAAAGCTATTAGTAACAACTATCACAACTCGAGGTAGATGTTTTCGATGCTTTCGTCGTCAGAGATTTCGTGTTTGCCAGAAAATTTCGGCGCGCTCTTTGGTATTCTTCTAGGCTTTTCGTAAATGCGCTTTTTTCCATTTTTTCTTGGGACGCGAGATTTACTGAACACTGTGAACAAATGTTTTATTTTTTCGCTGATTTGTAGCTTTGTCTTACCTCTGGTTGGTACATTTGAGGTGTGTAGAACGTAGGCTAAAAACGGTACAAATTCACGTTAAAGATATATCAAGTATGTATATAGATTTTTTTTACCGGTTGCATAAAAAGTGTCTCAGTCTGGCGTCCTGGACATACGTTGTACTGAAGATAGGACGATGGCACCTGTGGCAGCTAAAAACAGACGTCGATAAAATTTTGATGTCTAAAGCTTTGCAATTAAATTTGGTGGTTTTTTACTAAGAATGATTTTGTTGAATTGAAAAATCGAAAATTCAAAAATTTTAAAAAACCGAAAAATCGTAATACGAAACCACCAAAAAATTGAAAAGTTACCAATTCTGAAATGTTCAAAAATTGAGAATTCGAAAAATCGAAAATCCGAAAGATTTTTAAAATCGAAAAATCGAAATGTCAAGAATTGAAGATTCGAAAAATCGAACTCGACAGACTGAATTAAAAAAAATTAAATCTGACAATCGAAATATCACAAATGAAAAAAAAAATGAAAAATCCGGAAACTGAAACAACCTGATAAATCGAGAAATTGAATTCAAAAACTGAACAAAAATAGCAACTGAAAAATTGATAAATCGAAAAATTGAAAAATTGGAAAATCGAAATAAAAATCCCAAAAAATTGAAAAATTCCCAAAACTGAAATGTTGAAAAATTAAGAAATCGATAACTTAAAAAATCCAGAAGCCGAAAAATTTTAAAAATTGAAAAACCGAGATATCGAGAAATTCAAAATTCGAGAAATCGAATTCGAAAAAATTGATTAAAAAATTTAAAAATCCGGAAATGGAAACATCAAAAAATAGTAAAATGAAAAAAAAGATGAAAAATCCAGCAACTGAAAAATCGATACTTAATTCGAGAAATCGAAACATCAAAAATACAAGAAATCGTGAAATGAAAAAAATTGAAAAATCGGAAAGTCAACGAAAATCGAAAAATCAAAAATTTAGGAACGCCAAAAATTCACAAAATTGAATTTTGAAAAATTGGGAAATCTAAAACTTAAAAAATCGAGAAATTGTAAATCGAGAAATAGAAAATTCAAGAAGCCGAAAATTTAAAAACACGGATGTAAAATTCAAAATTCGAGAAATGGAATTCAAAAAAGTGAATTAAAAATTAAAATACGGAAATCGAAACATCAAAAAACTGTAAAATGAAAAAAACTAAAAATCTCGAAACTGAAACAAAGAAATTAAGACATCGGAAAACTGAAAAATTGAAAAATCAAGAAATCGAAAAGTGGAAAAACGTCAAAAACTGCAAAATCGATAATTCCAGAAATTGAAACATCAAAAATTCAAGAAATCGGAAATCAAAAAATAAAAAATTTACGAATGCCGAAAATTGAAAATTTAAAAATTTTAAAATCGAACAAAATTGGAAAACAACAACCTAAAAAACTGAAAAATAGAAAAATTGAAGAATGGAGATATTGAAGAATTCAAAAACTGAAATATCAAAAAATTAATAAATCGGTTGGTAAATCGAAAAATCGGAAAAAAATTGAGAAATCGAAAAACTGAAATATGAAAAGTCGAAAAACTGAAAGATTGAGCAATGAAAACATGAAAAAATCGAAAAATTGAAAAATTCCCCAAATTGAAATGTGGAAAAATTAATAAATCGAAAACTTAAAAAATCGAGAAGCCGAAAAATTTTACAAATTGAAAAACCAAGATATGGAGAAATTCAAAATTCGAGAAATCGAATTCGACAAAATGAATTAAAAAATTTAAAAATCCGGAAATGGAAACATCAAAGAATTGTAAAATGAAAAAAAAAAGATGACAAATCCAGAAACTAAAACAGAAAAATTAAGAAATCGAAAAATTTAGAATTGGAAAATCAAGAATTCGAAAAGTGGAAACACGTCAAAAATTGAAAAATTTAAAAATCTATACTTAATTCGAGAAATCGAAACATCAAAAATACAAGAAATCGTGAAATGAAAAAAATTGAAAAATCGGAAAGTCAACGAAAATCGAAAAATCAAAAATTTAGGAACGCCAAAAATTCACAAAATTGAACGTTGAAAAATTGGGAAATCTAAAACTTAAAAAATCGAGAAATAGAAAATTCAAGAAGCCGAAAAATTTTTAAAAACCCGGATGTAAAATTCAAAATTCGAGAAATTGAATTCAAAAAAGTGAATTAAAAAATTTCAAAATACGTAAATCGAAACATCAAAAAACTGTAAAATGAAAAAAAATTAAAAATCTCGAAACTGAAACAAAAAAATAAGAAATCAAAAAGTGGAAAAACGTCAAAAACTCAAAAATCGATAATTTCAGAAATTGAAACATCAAAAATCCAAGAAATCGTGAATTGAAGAAACTGAAAAATCGGAAATCAAAAAATAAAAAATTTACGAACGCCAAAAATTGAAAATTTGAAAAATTTAAAAATGGAATAATTGCAAACTCGAAGAATCGAGAAAAATAAAAAAATCAAAAATTTAGAAACACCAAAAACTGAAAAATTTTAAAATCGAAAATAATTAGAAGACATTGACCTAAAAAACTGAAAAATAGAAAAATAGAAAAATTGTGACATTGAAGAATTCCAAAACTGAAATATCGAAAAATTAATAAATCGGTTGGTAAATCGAAAAATTGAAAAAAAAATTAAAATCACAAAATGAAAAAGAAACATTAAGAAATCGAAAAACTAAATAAATGAAAAGTCGAAAAACTGAAAATTTGTGCAATGGAAACATGAAAAAAATCGAAAAATGGAAAAAGTTACCAATTTTGAAATGTTCAAAAATGGAGAAATCGAAAAATCGAAAATCCCGAAAATTTTTTAAATCCAAAAATCGGAATGTCGAGAATTGAAGATTCGAAAAATCGAACTCGAATGACTGAATTAAATAAAATTAAATCTGAAAATCGAAATATCAAAAAATCGTAAAATGAAAAATCCCGAAACTGAAACAACCTGAAAAATCTAGAAATTGAATTGAAAAACTGAAAAAAAATACCAACTGAAACAGAAAAATTGAGAAATCGAAAAATTGAAATACGAAAATTTAAAAAACTGAAAGAGCAATGGCAACATGAAAAAATTGAGAAGTTGAAAAATTCCCAAAATTGAAATGTTGAAAATTTAAGAAATCGAAAACTTAAAAAATCGAGGAGCCGAAAAATTTTAAAAATTGAAAAACCAAGATATTTAGAAATTTAAAGTTCGAGAAATCGAATTCGACAAAATGAATTAAAAAAATTAAAAATCCGGAAATAGAAACAGTAAAAAATTGTAAAATGACAAAAAAATGAAAAATTCAGAAGCTGAAACAGAAAAATTAAGAATTCGAAAAATTTAAAAATTGGAAAATCTAGAAATCGAAAGGTGGAAACACGTCAAGAATTGAAAAATTGAAAAATCTATCTTAATTCGAGAAATCGAAACATCAGAAATACAAGAAATCGTGAAATAAAAAAAACTGAAAAATCGGAAAGTCAAGGAATTGAAAAATCAAACATTTAGGAACGCCAAAAATTCCCAAAACTGAACGTTGAAAAATTGGGAATCTAAAACTTAAAAAATCGAGAAAAATTCAAAATTCGAGAAATCGAATTCAAAAAAGTGAATTAAAAAATTTTAAAATCGAAACATCAAAAAATTCTAAAATGAAAAAAAAAAAATAAAAATCTCGAAACTGAAACAAAAAAATTAAGAAATCGAAAAACTGGAAAACTGAAAAATCAAGAAATCGTAAAGTGGAAAAACGTCAAAAACTAAAAATCGATAATTCCAGAAACGAACGTCAACAATTGAAAATTTGAAAAATTTAAAAATGGAAAAATTGCAGAATCGAAGAATCGAGAAAAATATAAAAATCAAAAATTTAGAAACACAAAAAACTGAAAAATTTTAAAATAAAAAAAAAATAGAAAACAACAACCTAAAAAACTGAAAAATAGAAAATTGAAAAATTGAGACATTGAAGAATTCCAGAACTGAAATACCGAAAAATTAATAAATCGGTTGGTAAATCGAAAAATTGAAAAAAAAATTAAAAACCACAAAATGAAAAAGAAACATTAAGAAATCGAAAAACTGAAAAATGAAAAGTCGAAAAACTGAAAAATTGAGGAATGGAAACATGAAAAAATCGAAAAATTGAAAAGTTACCAATTTTGAAATGTTAAAAAATGGAGAAATCGAAAATCCCGAAAATTTTTTAAATCCAAAAATCGGAATGTCGAGAATTGAAGATTCGAAAAACCGAACTCGAATGACTGAATTAATTAAAATTAAATCTGAAAATCGAAATATCAAAAAATCGTAAAATGAAAAATCCCGAAACTGAAACAACCTGAAAAATGTAGAAATCGAATTGAAAAACTGAAAAAAAATATCAACTGAAAAATTGATAAAACGAAAAATATAAAAATTGGAAAATCGAAAAAAAAATCCCAAACTGAAACAGAAAAATTGAGAAATCGAAAAATTGAAATACGGAAATTCGAAAAACTGAAAGAACAGTGGAAACATGAAAAATCGAAAAGCTGAAAAATTGTTAAATTTGAAAAACCGAGATATCGAGAAATTCAAAATTCGAGAAACCGAATTCGAAAAAATGAATTAAAAAATTTAAAAATTGTAAAATGAAAAAAAGATGAAAAATCCAGAAACTGAAACAGAAAAAGTAAGAATTCGAAAAATTTTAAAATCGGAAAATCAAGAAATCGAAAAGTGGAAACACGTCAAAAATTGAAAAATTGCAAAATCTATCTTAATTCGACAAATCGAAACATCAAAAATACAAGAAATCGTGAAATAAAAAAACTGAAAAATCGGAAAGTCAAGGATTCGAAAAATCAAAAATTTATGAACGCCAAAAATTCACAAAATTGAACGTTGAAAAATTGGAAAATCAAAAACTTAAAAAATCGAGAAATTGTAAATCGAGAAATAGAAAATTCAAGCAGCTGAAAAATTTTTAAAAACCTGGTTGTAAAATTCAAAATTCGAAAAATCGAATTCAAAAAAGTGAATTAGAAAATTTTAAAATACGGAAATTGAAACATCAAAAACCTGTAAAATGAAAAAAAATTAAAAATCTCGAAACTGAAACAAAAAAATTAAGAAATCGAAAAACTGAAAAACTGAAAAATCGGAAATCGAAAAATAAAAAATTTACGAACGCCAAAAATTGAAAATTTGAAAAATTTTAAAATCGAAATAAATTAGAAAACAATAACCTAAAAAACTGAAAAATAAAAAAATTGAAGAGTCAAGATATTGAAGAATTCCAAAACTGAAATATCGAAAAATTAATAAATCGGTTGGTAAATCGAAAAATCGAAAAAAAAAAATAAAAATCGCAATTTGAAACAGAAAAATTGAGAAATCGAAAAACTGAAATATGAAAAGTCAAAAAACTGACAGATTGAGCAATGGAAACATGAAAAAATCGAAAAATTTAAAAAATTCCCCAAATTGAAATGTAGAAAAATTAATATATCGAAAACTTAAAAAATCGAGAAATGGAAAAATTGAGAAGCTGAAAAATTTTAAAATTTTATAAAGATCAAGCACACCGGAATGTCGAGAAATTCAAAATTCGAGAATTCGAATTTGAAAAAGTGAATTAAAAAATTTTAAAATCCGTAGATCGAAACATCAGAAAACTGCAAAATGAAAAATCAAGAAATCTAAAAGTAGAAATACGTCCAAAAATTGAAAAATCGATAAGTCGAGAAATGTAAAGAATCATCAAAATTTCAAAAAATCGTGGATTGAAAAATACTGAAAAATTAGGAAGTCGAAAAAACGAAAAATCAAAAATTAAAAAATCGAAAAATTTTAAAATGGAAAACTTGAAGATTCGAAAAATTGAAAAATCGTAAAACTGAAATTTAGAAAAATTGAGACTAAAATTAAAAATCCCAAACTGAAACAGAAAAATTGAGAATTCGAAAAATTGAAATACGGAAAGTCTAAAACTGAAAGATCGATCAAACCGAGATGTTGAGAAATTCAAAATTGGAGAAATCGAATTCGAAAAAGTATATTAAAAAATCTTTAAATCCGGAAAAGAAGCAATCGAAAAATTGAAAAACCAACAAATAAAAAAGTGGAAATACGTCAAAAACTAAAAAATCCTTAATTCGAGAAATCGAAACATTAAAAGTTCAAGAAATAACGAATTGAAAAATTTAAATAATCGGAAAGTGGAAAAATCGAAAAATCAAAAATTTGGGAACGCCAAAAATTACAAAATCGAAAATTGGAAAATTTGAAAAATCGAGAAACTGAATTGAAAAATAGAAAAATCCAAGCATCGAGAAATCGAAAAATTGAAAGTTTAGAAACGCCAAAAACTGAAAAATTGAAAAATTTTAAAACCGAAAAAATTAGAAAACAACTTAAAAAATTGCAAAATAGAAAAATTGAAGAATCAAGATATTGAAGAATTCCAAAACTGAAATATCGAAAAATTGATAGATCTGTAGGAAAATCGAACAAAAATTAAAAACCTCAAACTGAAACAGGAAAACTGAGAAATCGAAAAATTGAAATACGAAAAGCCGAAAAACCCACAAGATCAAACAACGGAAACACAAAAAATTGAAAAATTCCCAAAATTGAAATTTGAAAAATTGATACACCGAAAACTTAAAAAATCGAGAAATCGAAAAACCGAGATGCCAAAAATTTCAAAATTCTAGAAATAGAATTCGAAAAAGTGTATTAAAAAATTTTTGTATCCGGGAATCCAAACATCCTAAAATTGTAAAATAAAAAAAATGAAAAACATGAAACTGAAACAGAAAAATTGAAAAATCAAGACATCGAAAAGTGGAAAAACGTCTAAAACTGAAAAATTGAAATATGGATACTTTATTTGAGAAATCGAAACTTCAAAAATTCATGAAATCGTGAATTGAAAAAACTGAAAAATCGGAAATTAGAAAAATCGAAAATCAAAAGTTTAGGAACGCCAAAAATTGAAAATCGAAAAATTTAAAAATGAAAAAATTGAAGAATTGAAAAATAGTAAAACTAAAATGTACAAAACTTGAGACACAGAAAAATTATGGAAAATTTGAAAAATCGAGAAATTGAACTGAAAAACAGAGAGATCGAGTAATGGAAACATCAAAAAATCGAAAAATTTTAAATTTCCAAATTGAAACAGAAAAATTGAGAAATCTACACCGTGAAATTAAAACATTGAGATATTGAATTGAAAAACAGAAAGATCGAGAAGTTGAAGTATCGAGAAATCGAAAAATCGAAAAATCAATTAATCGAGAAATCGAACGAAAATTTTTAAACATCAGAAATTGAAAAACTGAAAAATCTAAAAGTTTAAAAAGCAAATTCAGAAAACCGAAATATTGGAAAATTAACTAGTCGAAAAATTAAAAATTGAGAAATTGACATTTTGAGAAATCGGGAAACCGAAAAATCCAAAAATTAAAGACCAAAAATCGAAAAATTGAAGTAAAAACACGGAAAAATAGAAAAATAGAGAAATCGAAAGTTAAAAAATCGAGAAAAATTGAGAAATCCAAATCGAGATTTTTGGAAAAAACGTCAGAATTGTATAACAATATTCTGATTTTTTTCGAAAAATTTCGATTTGGATTTCCCAAAACAAAACAAAAAAGGCCGCATTAAACGCAACACTCAGTATATAGTCGTTTTACCTGCTGTTGAGGAACGCTTCCTGCTTGCATAACTCCATAGCTAGGTTCAGGAAGTATCTGCAAGTGGTAAATAATAAAAATGAAAAAATGATTCAAACAATAAAAAAATAATAGTTCTTTGTACCTGTGGCTGAAAGGGAACTTGAGGAGTAGCTCCATACATAGGCTGCGTAGTTACCTACAAATATACAAAGTGTTTCACTCAGATAATTTTTAAAAACAGCGCAGCATTAATTTTACCTGTTGTTGAGGAGGTACATTAACTGGGGATTGAGTAGGTACAAAGGGAGATTGGGGCATCTGCAAACCGAAAAATATTCAAAAATATACAAACGAACTAAAACTTTAGTCCCTTACTGGGGACTGAGCAGGCAAATTCATTCCTCCTGGAGGGGCTGCAAAACCGGGTTGCGGCATATACTGCAACCCCAAAAAAATTAAAAGTCAATCTTTGTGACTTTAACCAGAATACTGATCTTACTTGTGGCTGAGGTGGCAAGTTCAATCCTGATTGAGGACGTCCATAATTAGGCTGCGGTACCACCTGCAAACATAAAATTAGCTAATAGTCAGTCAATTCACGATGAGTACCGGAGGTGGCCCATAATACATGGGTCCAGGCGGAGCTTCAGGTCCTCCCTATTAAAATACGTTAAGTTATCTGCTATGGTATACTATTTCTAGAAATATTTGGAAACTTCGCAATATTTCTAGAAATACTTTACCTGAGTTCTGTCCAAGTGGTTTAAAATTTCTTGTCGCGTGTGTGGTTGCTTCTGCAACAATTATTTTATTAAAAAAAAGAAAACACAACTCTTGGATATCGTACCGGAGAAAATGCAACCTTTGGCACTGTTTGTGCCGCATAAGGATCCTAAAATGAGGAAAGTGTAACTTTAAACGTTAAACAACTAAGTGACAACCTGGACGTCTTCAGGTGCTCTAATAAAATAACTAGAGGCACGAGCATGCGCGAATTCATTGTCTCGTCGCTTCACCACAACCACCGGCGACTTCTCGAACCTTCTAGGGATCTCGATGACCGCTGCCTCCCCCGGGAGAATAAACCCTTTCGGTATAACAACTTGTTGTTTCTGGATTTGTTTCCTTCTATTCATCACTGGAATTTTTCACCTAACTCCCAAAGACATCTTTACGCGCTGTCAAAGAGACACACACTAACTAGATTGGGAAAGACGTTGTCTCCTCGCATTCTGAAAACAGCGTAGTCTTTCCCTCATCGCTTGATTCTCATTCTCCGCCATACTATCCGTCAGATTCAGCACCGTTTGCCTGATCTGGCACTTCGTCGGTGACGACATGGAAGCGTTTCCAGGAGAGTGACTCCTCGCACTCTGCATACCCGGAGACCCCGAGCAATGCGAAGCATTCGAGGCCGGCGGCCCGTAATTCATCGTCGCGTTCACCGCACACGGTGGTGGCGACTCCATAGCCTGAATCGGCGATATCGGACACTTGCCGCCCCCCTGCGTCAGAATCGAAACGTCCGCCAGGTGACTCCTCGCCGTGTGGAACGACGGAGTCCCCGGGCTGGCCCCACAGCTCGCCGTATCGTACATCGACGAAATCCCGCTCGGCCAGTAGCGATCCATCCGGGGCGGCGTCCCCGCCCCCTTGATCGGCGTCGACTGGGCCGCCGCCGCCATACTGAAACTCGGAGGACCGAAAATCCTTTCGTGCCCGATATTGACAGTGGTGTTGAGGGCAGCCGCCGGAGAAAGATTGAAGGTTATCCTGCTGGGGGACGGCGGCGGACTGGCTCCTTCAGGGAACAAGCCACAATCCTCCGGGGACTTATAGTCGATTGAGTACTCCCTCCCGGACGACTGTTCCAACATCCTCCTCTTTTCGGCCAACAAGTCTCGTCTTTCTTGCCGAAGATTTGCTTTGTATTCGCGTGGGTCGAAACCACCCCCGAAGAGTTCCTCGTTTCTGCGAGCGGCGGAGGTCATGGGGAAGGTTCGGTTTTGCTCGGGGGAGTGACAGGGACTTGGGGGGAGTTCGCTAGGTGGGCGCGGGTCGCCCATGCTGACGGCGTTCCGAGCACCCGAAGCGTCGAGGCTCCAGGGGGTGGAGTCGTCGCCGAAGTTGTCGGAGTCGTTGAGGGCCATCAGGACGGCTAAGCCGTCGCGGTTTGCCAGGTTTTTGGTAGCTGAAATCCAAGGGTTAGAGAAGTACGTTACACAGGAAGGGGGTTAAAGTACACATTGTAGCGTCAGAAGGGTTAGAAAACTACGGGGAAGGGGTTATACACTGAAATTTAGAGCGACGGTTTGTTCGCGGTGAGGTGACTGTCTTGACTGCAGCCTGCTATTTATTTATTTTTTATCATTTTAATTAGGCTTCCTAAATAACAATTAGGTACTAAAAACTACAAAACTCGGTTCTTTATTTCATATAAAATTCAGCTATAATTCAGTGTTGTCGACGATGGTCTCTCCAACCACCACGCATCCCCTCATAACCATGAGTCAAACTTTCATCTAGACTTGTTCCCCGCATGCACTGCCAACTTCACACTCCGCCCACACGCACTCTTCGATGGCGCCTTCGCCGTCGTCAGAACCTGCGACGTTTGCATCGATGAGCTTCCCAGATTAGGAGGTGGCGTGTGGAACCTCGACGGCCTGTTCAGCCGAAACGAAGCCTCCTGCGACCGGTCCGGAGCCACCGAGCACCTGGCGTCCTCGTAGTCCACAAGACGTTCATCTTCGGACTCGATTCCCGAAAAATACGAAGAGTGCTGCGTATCGCTTCTCGCGCTGTCATACATCGAAGATTCGCTGATCGGACTAGCCCGGCACCAGGCAGCAGGCGTCGAGTGCGCCGCCCGCTGGACGGCGAAACTAGGTGACTCCCAATGTTCGTCCGCCGACTGGTAGGAGTCGTCCGACGAGATGTTCACCGTGGTCTCGGGATACCCAGGCGTGATACTCAACGTGATCCTGCTCCTGGGGGACGTCAATGAGCCAGGGCTCCCTGAAGGTGCGGAAGAGCTCCTCGAATGTGGGGAAGGGCTCCTCGAATATGGGGAAGGGCTCCTCGAACGTGGGGAAGGGCTCCTCGAACGTGGGGAAGAGCTCCTCGAATGTGGGGAAGGGCTCCTTGAATATGGGGAAAGGCTCCTCGAATGTGGAGAAGGGCTCCCCGACGGCGAGCAAGGACTCCCGGAATATGAGGAAGGGCTGCCGGAATATGCGGAAGGGCTGCCGGAATATGCGGAAGGGCTGCCGGAATATGCGGAAGGGCTGCCGGAATATGCGGAAGGGCTCCGCGAATATGCGGCAGGGCTCCCCGCCGGCGAGCAAGGGCTCCCGGAATAGTCGGAAGAGCTCAGCGAATATGCGGGAAGTTTCTGCGGCGTCGAGCCAGGGCTCTCCGAGCCTGAACACGGCGACGCAGGAAGGGCCAAGTTCCCCAAGTGTTCAGGCAACCATTGGCGTCGTGCCTGGGCCGCTGTGAAGGGTAAGGTGTTGCGAAGACTTGGGCCCTTCGGGCTGAAGCTTTCGGGGAGGTGCCCTAGGTGGCGAAAATCTGCCACGGTGGCGTGGCCGTCGATGTCCCTGTAGGGTATGTGAGTGTCTCTTTTTCCGCGCTTACGAACTTCGCCCTTGGCCAAAGGGGCGAAGGATTCGAGCTCGTCACTGCTGGCGCACCAACTGGGATGTGAAACCCATGACTCGTCCGAGTCTTCAGGGGAGCAAGGCTCTTCGGGTGACCAATGAGAGGGGTGAGCCATTTGGGGTGACCAATCAGGGGAGTGAGACGCTTGGGGTGAACAATCAGGGGAGTGAATCACTTGGGGTGACCAATCAGAGGAGTGAGACGCTTGGGGTGAACAATCAGGGGAGTGAACCACTTGGGGTGACCAATCAGAGCAGTGAGCCGCTTGGGGTGACCAAGTAGCGGAGTGAGCCACTTGGGGTGACCAATCAGGGGACTGGCGGGGAGAAGGAGAGGATTGATAGCTATCGGGGCTGGCGCACGGACTGTGAGGTGACAACGAGGAATGGGGGGATCCGCTGGAAGAAGGGGAGGAGGAATGGTATTCGTCGGGGCTCTCGCACAAATCGGGAGATGAACCATGGCGTTGGGGGGGTCGGAAGGGAGGAGGAGAGAAGGGTTCAAAGGGAGGGGGGTTGCGGCACCAACTGGGAAGTGCACCAGGTTCTCTACGAGGAGGTAAGAAAGGTACGACGGGGTCAGCAGTGGCGCACCAACTGGGAAGTGCACCAGGTTCTCTACGAGGAGGTGAAAAAGGTACGACGGGGTCGGGAGTGGCGCACCAACTGGGAAGTGGACTAGGGGCCGGTTGTGAGTGTCTGGCACCCCAGGTGCGTCGAGGACCACGTGGACTAGGGCACCGTTGGGAAGCTGAAAAACCACGGTTGGAGCTTTGAAGATGGAAATAAGGGGGACGTACCCATCGTGAGAGTCTTGTGTTACACAACGAATTTGGATGGATGATTAAATAAACATTTTGACAATGAAAGCTACGTGAAAACTGCCACTGCGATTTTTGCTTAGACCAAAGGTACATTTTTTTTAGACTCTCAGATTGAGGATGCACTAAACATTATGACGATAGATGATCGAGGAAATTAGTTCTCCCCTGCTTTCCCTGTTCGTGCTAGCCTGAAAAAATTTAGTAAGAAACGTTGCACCAAGGGTTCATATTGTTTATTTTATTTTCTAGTTGACAAATATTTGTTTTTGGGGTAGCGCTCGCCGACGTACTGGGGCTCCTGGGACCAGCGGGTTTGCTTCTGGGCAATGATCACCGGAATTCTCTTCAAGTGCTGCGGTATTTCGATGATCGTCGTTTCGCTGGGGTTAATGAGACCCTTTGGAATAATAATTTTCTGCGCCGAATTGTCGTCCATCTTGAAGCTTCAATCATCCACTTAAAATTTGCACTGATCTTTCGAAATTTAGAAGTAAATAAATCAAACAATGACAAACACTGACATCCTACGAATGGACACTTGATTCCGGTATTCAATCAAAGTGTATTGCTCATTCACCAAGTAGTAACCCTCATTTTTGACACTGTTCCATTTGAGTCAAGTGTCCGAGCGCGTTTTGCCTATGCCGGAAATAACTATCCATCATTTTTTGCATGTTCCTCTGTTCCGCTTCGTCGTTCTGCGTCAACAACTTATCGGCCTCTATTTTCCGCTTCATAGTATTAGCACTCAAAATGCTGCGTTGAAATTCGTCGTAAGCATTTCTCCCTCGATCCAGCCTTTCCCTCTGGCTGGCACTAGCCGCATCATAATCCCGCATTTCCGGAAAATAGTGGCTCAAATTGTGCAAAACAAACGACTGCATTTGGTCGTTTTTCGAACTCGCTTCTTGCGAACACTCGGACTGAGATTCAGCCTGAAGACTAACAAATTCTTCTTGTTTCTGTTGTCCAGGCACTATCCCCAACCTGATGAAAAAGTCGTCTTTTGCTGGCTGGTCATTCACTTCATTGATCACCATGTTTGTCATAGAATCCAATTCTTCCTTCTCCTCCCCACACTTCACAATTTCGTTCACAGCTTCTTGTTTGTATTGTTCGTAGCTTTGCATCAATTGTGCTCGATTTGGTGCCTGTGGGTTGCACCCCAAGTAGTTTCTGATTTCTTTGGCCGCAAGAAGATTCCTCACGATGTTTTTCTTACGTACTATCATGTTTTCGAGTAGGTCATACATGTACTGCTGCATGTTTGATAACTCGCCTTTTATTGGTGGAAGGTCCCTAAAGGATGATTTCTGCAAGTCTTGGATAAACGATGAACGCAGAAACTGACTCCTCTCTGTGTCTTGCGGATGCTGTGGTATAGGTGTACTTGCCGACCGAGAGCGGTGCGAAGCCTCGGCAGGAACGGCCTCCACTTCAATCGCAGCGTCTTCCTCTGGAGGAACTTGGGGGTGCAAAGAACGTATGAGTATGTTCATCGCGAGGTCATATTCTTCTTTTGCCGGGACCGATTCTTTTAAACATTTTAAAGCTTTCTTTTTATGTTCTTTGTACTGACACATTAACTGACGTCTTGTTTCTGGTTCTGCGCCACAAGCAAGTCTCGGTTTGAGATTCTTCGCTTCGCTGACGTGATACATAAGGCATTTTCTTAGCAGCAAGTAGTAGTCTAATATCTCGTACAAGTTTTCGGTTCGTGAGCTCAAGTTTTCGGGTCTTGCGAAACCAAACGGCTCCTCGTTTGCCTCTTGTATTAACGATGACTTGTAATAAGGGCTAAGAATTCTGCTTGATCCCGATCTAGTGCTAGACGAATGACTTCCTGGGCAAGGACTCTGTCTCTGAGATGCAGCAGCCTGTTGCTGGATTTCAGCCACCGATGGCAAAATTATGCTCTGGTGGCACGGGTCTCTCCCTGAACTAGATCTACTACCAGACAAATGACTTCGCTGACTGGGTGCCCCCGGACATGGACTCTGTCTCTGAGATGCAGCCGCCTGTTGTTGGATTTCAGCCACCGGTGGCAAAATTATGCTCTGGTGGCACGGGTCTCTCCCTGAACTAGATCTACTACCAGACAAATGACTTCGCTGACTGGGTGCCTCTTGACATGGACTCTGCCTCGGAGAAGCAGCAGCCTGTTGCTGGATTTCAGCCACCGATGGCAAAATTATGCTCTGGTGGCACGGGTCTCTCCCTGAACTAGATCTACTACCAGACAAATGACTTCGCTGACTGGCTGCCCTTTGACATGGACTCTGCCTCTGAGATGCAGCAGCTTGTTTTTGGAATTTATCCAACGATGGCAAAAGTGTACTCTCATGGCTTGTGTCCGTCCCTGGTTGACACACTTGTTGTGGAGACACAAAGCGCACTTTCAACGCTTTATCGTTTGCGGGAAGTTCACACGGAGAAATTTTTTGTTGGTTACCTTTCAACAAACGCACCAACAGCGCTTCTTCCTCTAAATATTTCTTTACTTGCTCCTGTATGTTCCTTTTGTGTTGGTAGTAGCTAGATTGAAGGTCGTCTCTGCCCGACATTTCTTGACCGCTGACCAACTGCTCTCTGATCGCGTTTGCTGCCACAACATCTTCAAGCATAAGTCGCTTTCGGGCTGCCAATCTTTCCGCCACCGCCACTATCAATCCGTGACGGTCAGTGAGGGGTTCAACGATTATTCCGTCGAGTTTAAAGCTTTGTTTCAATTTGGCCACAAACGACGAATTTATCAGTTGAGATGAAATTTGTGGCCGACTAGAGGACGCAGATCGTTTTGAAGAGGATGCACGAGGGACGATTTCCACTTGCATGGAGACGTCGTCAACGGCTTCTGCTGGGGGTGGAGAACAAACCTTAATCGGAGTTGAGCTGCGTTTAGGACATGGTTGTTTGCATACAGTTTGTTGGTCTACGGATTTTGTAGACGGTAGAGAAACTTTAGAGGTTTGTGGCATGTTGACAATGATTATAGGAGGGATACAACATGGTGGACAAGGGTTATACGGGTTATACGGGAACATGTTATAGTTCGGATACTGAGTGGGATTTTGGCACCCCATGGGTACACTTTGAACGAAAAATGCACTTGGGACAGTTCCTCCACGCAAACGAATTTTTTCACCTTGCGGAGTTAAGGCATTTTGGTTTTTCTGGCCATTTTTGGCGGTGACCAGCGAACGACACACATTTTTGAAGTCATTTGCACCTACAATGGATTGATAGTTAACGTTTTATAATTACGACCATTCGGACTAACGAGAGGTTGATTTGTTACACATTTGGGAGAAATCGCTCTCCCAAAATTGTATTCATATAACTGGAATTTAGATCTTGTGCTGACGTTTGACAAATGACATTATCGAAAAGTCAACGATCGAATGAGTTGCTTAGACCAAAATGTATTCAACTTTATTAAGAACAAGACTATACCACAATATATGCGACTACACAGTAATATTCGTTCGTTTCAACTTCAACAAGTTGTCTAGTTTCTTCCTCCGGTGTTGAAAAAAACTGTGAAGCATGCATAGAATTTGCTTCTTTTCTTCTTCATCTTTCCGTCTTGTTAGTTCTTCAGACAAAGTTGTATCATCCACAGACTGAGCACGTGTGTAACGACTAGGACACTTCGAACCACTCCTCTGAGAAAGAAGTTGACTCACAGACGGAAAAACCAGAGACTTTTGAGTCACACTATTTAAACCCACAGACTGACAACCATCCTGAGATGCCATCTGTATCTGAATGACGACATCCTCCTCAGGACAGATTTGATTTTTCAAGAAATTTTTATTTTTTATTGTACCAACAACGTTTAAGATCTGGTTTTTCTCAACGGCACACTGTCGGATATGTTTTAGAGCATGAGCCTTATGCTTGTAGTAGCTCCGCGTTAGTTCCTCCATAGTTTCCACCGGGTGCTCCCCTTGCAACTTTTTTTTCAGTGCATTAGCTGTTAGTAAATGTAAAACAATATTCTTTTTGCGTTGTACAAAACTGGATAATATATCAACTGCCAGTTTTTGTTGATTCGTCAAAGCATTTTCACTTAGCTCACCCGACGTCTCGTCCTCAAACGAGGTACGCAAACACTCAGAAGATTTATGTAAAGCTCCGCTTGTGGTAGGTTCTCCGGATTTTACAGCTGGTAAAGTAAATTTCTGAACCTGTTTTGGCATAGTTTCCAACATAGCACAAGTTTTTGACGAAAGCTTGTCCACTGTGGGTTGTTCTTGTGGCACGGGTTGTGGCACTATTGGTATGCCTGGGCTAGAAACACCACTTATTCCTGGGGTTTGTGCCAACGTAACGAACCCTGGGGGAACATTACAAGGACCGGGAACACTGCAGATCATGAGGGGTTGACAGGGGTACGACATATTAGGAGCGTACTGTGCTTGCTGGCTACCATAATAAATAAAAGGTGTCGGTGGTTGGTAACCCATCGGTATGGGTTGTATACTTGGTATTGATAACCCATTAAGAATTCCACCCCCTCGTAGCCGAAATTTTCTACGTTCTTCGTCCGAGTTAAAAATGTCTTTCGTTTCGTCGTCGAACAAAGAACCAATGTAGAGTCGGCTGTTTGTGTTTTTTTTGTAATTAACTGACCAATACTGTCTGGAACAACATGTACTAAAAATTTTTGGCGAAATCATAATTTAGCAGCAAGTTGACGTTAAAAAATTTAATTCTGACATTTGTTAGAAACTCAAAGTTGGCGTATTTTAACCATCAAGGAAGATTTTTTGTCAAAATCAAGGACTTAATTTGACTTTTTACTTCCCGAGCGTAAGCAAAGGAAGTATTGTAATCGAGTCCGTCGGCCGACTCTCTACTTTTACGTTTTCTCGATCTTTCATGACCCCTAGAAGACGAAGAAATAGGTCTCCCATTTCCGTCTGTCTGTCCGTCTGTTGTCCCGGATTTTTATTAGACAGATAATCTCCGAAAGTACTCGACCGATTGTTGTGAAATTTTGTACTTATATTAAGAATATCATGTAGATGGTAAAACGCTAACCAAAATTTGTCGAATCATCCCCACCACTAAAGCGATGACGTCACTTCAAAATTGTACATAGTAAATGGGTTTTCAATTGTATAAAATAACATAGTCCTACACATGTAGTTTACAACTCTGAATCGACTTTTCACCCGAAACGTTCAGATTTTTGGAAAAAAAATCAAAATTATAAAACATCATTTTGAAATTTAATTTTTAATCTGCTAACCAGAATGCTTTGAAATGTTGCAGATGTTTTAAGGCTATAAAGAGCATCATAAATCTTTAGTCAAAAAATATTTGCTTATCCCCTCCAAAAACTTGATGACGTCAGCTCAAAAGTTTGTGTAATAAATCATATCTAAAATGTACAAAATATGATGAGCCTGTACTTGTGATCTATCACTCCATTCATATTTTTTGGATTTGCATATACAGGGTGACTCAAAAAAATTAATGAATGCGTAAATATATTTTATTGATTTAATCAGGAACTACAAAACCGAATGCTCTGAAATCTTGCAGATGTTTTAAGGTCATAAAGAGCATAATAAATGTTTAGTCAAAATATATTTGCTTATCCCCTCCAAAAACTTGATGACGTCAGCTCGAAAGTTTGCCGAATAAATCATATCTAAAATGTACAAAATATGATGAGCCTGTACTTGTCATTTATCACTCCATTCATATTTTTTGGATTTGCATATACAGAGTGACTCAAAAAAATTAATGAATGCGTAAATATATTTTATTGATTTAATCAGGAACTACAAAACGGAATGCTCTGACATCTTGCAGATGTTTTAAGGTTATAAAGGGCATAATAAATGTTTAGTCAAAATATATTTGCTTATCCCCTCCAAAAACTTGATGACGTCAGCTCGAAAATTTGCCGAATAAATCATATCTAAAATGTACAAAATATGATCAGTCTGTACTTGTGATCTATCACTCCATTCATATTTTTTGGATTTGCATATACAGGGTGATTCAAGAAAATAAATGAAAGCGTAAATTTATTTTACTGATTTACTCAGGAACTACAAAACCGAATGCTTCGAAATCTTGAAGACATTTTAAAATTATCATAAGCATGGTAAATTTTTGATCAAAACGTATTTGGTCGTCCCCCCTAAAAAATTTATGATGTCACCACAAAATTTTGCTGAAAAAATCCTATCTAAAATGTACAAAATATGGTGAGTCTCTTCTTGTGATTTATCATTCCATTCAAATTTTTTCGATTTGCATATACAGGGTGACTCAAAAAAATTAATGAATGCGTAAATTTATTTTATTGATTTAATCAGGAACTACAAAACCGAATGCTTTGAAATCTTGCAGATGTTTTAAGGTTATAAAGAGCATAATAAATTTTTAGTCAAAATATATTTGGTTATCTTCTACAAAAAACTGATGACGTCAGCTCAAAAGTTTGCCGAATAAATCGTATCTAAAATGTACAAAATATGATGAGTCTGTACTTGTGATTTATCATTCCATTCATATTTTTGGATTTGCATATGCAGGGTGACTCAAAAAAATTAATGAATGCGTGAATTTATTTTATCGATTTAATCAGGAATTACAAAACCGAATGCTTTGAAATCTTGGGAATATTTTAAAGTTATTATAAGCATGGTAAACTTTTGTTCAAAATGTATTTGTTCATCCCTCCTAAAAAAATTTATGACGTCACCCTTAAATTTTGCTGAATAAATCCTATCTAAAATGCAAAAAATATGATGAGTTTGTACTTGTGATTTATCATTCCATTCATATTTTTTAGATTTTCTTAAGAGGTGGTTCAAAAAAATTAATGAAGTCAATTTATTTTATTGATTAAATTAAAGGCAACACTTATTATTAGTATTACACCCCAACCAACCCAATTTGGTAGACACAAAATTTGTTAAAGGAAAAACTCGGTTGAAACATAAGGGTAGCACGCTTATTTACATCGACTTTAACATTACAGACCTGCATTTGTTTTATGCGTCCACTTGATTCCGCGAATGTGAAATAGACATGTTTATAATCAACCAATTGTGAATTTCACCGTCAAGAATTAAAATAAAACCCAATGTTTTATATAATAAGCGGAAGTCGAAGCAATAAAACCGACGGTCGTTTTGTTTACAGTTTCTCTGTTTGGCTCTCACGTATGCTGTTACGCCTGTCATCTTAAATTAAGAATGTTTATACATACACGATTTTCAGTTGCCTCTGATACGTAGGTATACGTGAGTAAATTGTTTCGTTATTTTATTGATTATTACAAATCAATATTCAAACGACCCAATTCATTTTCCCGAAAATTTGAGAATATAATAATTTTATTCTTAGTATTACACTACATCTATCCCAACTGATATACGTGTCCTTGCAAAAATATTGATGACGTCATCGCAATTTTTTTTTAAATTCCCACTACAAAAATGTAATGAGAAAAAAAACACAATAGGCATGCAGTCGTCAAGTTTCCGACAGCGAGGGAAGTACTGTCTGAACTCTTTAGACCAATTTTTTTATTTTAGTCACACAGTGGTAGATAAAACTTAGAGCAACAATTATGTCACATAAAATAAAGATGGATGGTTTTTGCTTGCGTTACAGTGTTTGCGACATCAATTGATTCTGTACTGCGTTTCTTCGTTGTTGAAAGTAGTTCTGCATGCTTTTCGCCACTCTACTTTTCTCTTCTTCGTCTCTCTCTTGTGTCAAACTACATTGTTGTGGTACATCATCGTCAAGCTCCGATCTTCTGCTGTCGGACACCTTGGCGAAAGAAATCAGTTCGTAATTTTCCGGCGCCTCGTTTTTATTACGAGATATTTGTACATTCATCGGGGGCTCATTATCTAGATCGCATTTCAAGTCTTTAATTTTAGACAAGAGCTGTTGTTGCTGCACGAAGTATTCCACGATTTGTTCGGAAGCTGCCCGTTTTTTCTCCCGATACTGAGACATTAAAAATTCTCTGTCTGGCAAGGGCTCACCGCTTTCGAGCTTCTCTTTGATGTCCTTTGCATCGCGAAGATTTTTAATAATGATTTGTTTGTGTGCTAACATCTGCATCCTTAATATCTGCATGAACTCGTCATAAGGTGTGAGCGGCTCTATGTCTAACCCGTCAAAGCTGAATGTATCATTTTCAAGGACTTCTATGAACGAAACGTGTGGAAGAACGCTTTTGCCGAGATTTTCTTGTCCTCGGTGACTTTCTCCCAGACTCTTCTTCACACTTTCAGGATCCATGTACGATGTCAATTGAGAATTGAGCAACTCCAACTCCTCCGATCCGTTTCCTGCCTCCTTTATACCTTGGTTATTTCGAATGGCAAGCGCCAAAAGACCCTTGTACTCACATTGTTGCTTTTTGTAGTCTCTTAGGTGCAACAAGGCGTTTCTTTTGTGTTGGCAGTAACTAAGATACAACTGCTCTTTATCTTCATTTCTGCCACAGTCCAACCGTTGTTTCGCCGCGTTCGCTGCGACAAGTTCCCGCCAAGCCATCTTCTTTTGTCGCAACATATTATTCAAACGATTTAACACAAGAATCGATTCTTCGCTAAGCCCTCTCATGTCTATCACTTCTGACTCCTCGTCCCCGGCTTGCACCCACGCTACGAACGAAGTTCTTAAAAATGTATCCAAACAATCGGACATCGGAGTCTCGTTTTCTGGCTCCACCACCATGCTTTCGCACGGTGACTTCCGGTGAGGTTCACACTCAACACCAGGAGCGTCATCGCTCCTTGTGCTGTGCAAACGGGGATCAAACCTGCTGTGCGACAAACACGACGGGGATTTGCTAATGTTTCGACTTGACGAAGCTTTGGGACAGATTTGGTGTTCTTGGTCTTTTATGCAAGTTGAAGGGGTTATCACAACCTGAAGAGAAACGTCGTCTGGGTTAACTTGGTCTGGGTTTTGGGCTTGTTTGCACACTGGTGGACTTGCTACATCAGGAGGTGGTGGCAACGTGATAACTATGGGTTGACAATTTGGATAAGGCATACACATGTAAGGAAGTTGGTAACCCATGGGAACGTTGGGTTGGGGTAGAAGTTGCTGTACCGGCGCGGGAACACACATCAGTTGCGTTGTCATCGGGTACATCGTCGCCATTTCGGGTTACCTTGTCAAAACGATTAATTTTGATCGATTGGAGCGGACTTTAAGTGGATTGAACTCGGTGAAAATTTTGAAGCTTAACGTTAATTTGTCACTGACGTGTGTAACTGAAGTTGGTTAGGTTAGGAGAAAAGGCAAAAATTCCTAAATCCCGTAGCTAAAATAATGACAATTTTATTGGTTTAGCAATTTTTATTTAAGACAACCGTTCTAGACTTGTGCGACTTAAATTCTCTTATTGAGGAGAGACTCATTCGACGGGGCATTCAGATCCAATCTTTCGTTTAACTTTGAACTAATACTTTTATTTCCTGTATCGTCAAAGCTAACGCCGACACGTTTTTGACAGGAGGCATTGGGTGGGCACGGATCACGATCACCACAGGCAGGTCGTCTTCTCGACTCGTCCGGATCGAAGTCGGTGCTACGAAAGGACGATCTCGTGGTACCACCTGCAATACCAACAACCGACAATTAAAGTGGTAACTTTTCCCTGAACGTTGGTGTTACCCAAATAATCGCTGTCCCTCCTTCTCGTTTCGCGCCTCAAATCTTCATAATCAGGCGCCTCGTACGGCGAAGGGTTCCTCACTCTATAGTCGTCTTCGTACTTCCGGGGGTTGCACTGTTCTCTTGATTGTTTGGGTCGGATTGAGGAATAGCTGAATTTTGATGGACCAGTCGATGCTAGATATTTTTCCCGATCGTCGTCCTCTGGAGACAGCTTCCCTAGTGAAAACAGCACGGGTTTCAAGATTTTTTCAATTTTTTCGTCCACCATTCGACTTAAGGCTTCGTTGTCGACTTTTTCTCTTGGTCTGATAGACTCGGTTCGTTCGGTTGGTAAATACGGCGACCGGTAGGGATCGCGATAGGGAGTCGTAGGGATCGCAAAATGAATATTACTAGGGTTTGGGGGATCTCGCTGACCTAAAGTGGGAGAAAAGTGACTAAATCTACTACTGTAAGGACGGTTTATTCCAGAATTAGATAAATATTTGCATGAAGCTCTAGCACAAATTGGACACAATGGGGAATGAGCCTCTGGAACCGGCAGCGGTCGTCGCTCGGGTAGGTTAAAGGACGACTGGATTAACTGATCACAAGTGGACCATTTCTTGGTAGGTAAATACGGGTTTGGAGTTTGGCCGCAGAAATCTACCTTCCTTGGTCTATCGTTCGAATACGTTGTTTTTATACAAGTAATTCCATCCTGAGGGCAAACTCTAGCCCCACTATCCGTTGAAATCACCTGGGGTGTCGGTCCTACCACCGGTAAATTGACCTCGCCAGGATAGGGCTGGACCATCGGCTGCGGCGGCGGCGTCGCCACGTTCCCCCGATAGGGCTCCACCGAGAAGCAAGAATTGGCATCGGTCGGTGCCTTGACTATCAAGTTGCTAGCGGTATCCAAATTCAGCGGGATTTCTATAACGTTGTGCTCATACGGGTTGATTATCCCTCTAGGTATGATGATGGTCTTGAATGGTCGTCTCCTTTTCGTATCATTCGCGCATAAGCCCATTTTCACACAGAGAATTTTGAAGGAAATTGTCAGACTGACGTACAAAGGCGACTTTAACTCGAGTTTAACAAGTTGGACGAAACATCGGCCGCACTTGCTAAGCTAGAGGCGTCGAAAACTAGCCGCCTTCTGGCGCTCTGGAACTGGTTGAGGTCGGTCATGATCTGGCTGAGCTCGTTGGCTTCGAGATTTCCCAGCGAGTTCATGACATCGCGCTGAGAAATGTTCTTGGGGGACGCTGGACAGCTCTCGGCACACCCACCGGGCGAAAGCTCTCCCGAAGAATCGAATTTTCTGTAGGCACCGCCGGAGCTGTCGCCTTCCTCGCAGCCGCTGCCGTACTCCACGTTGGCGTCGCCGGAGCTGTCGTAGTAAGATTGCTCTTGACTGGTCTCCGCTCTGTCTTCGCACGGCGACTCGTCCATGGAGAAGCTCTCATCTGAAAGGAGTTAGTGTGATGGGGTAGGTGACCGAGGGTTTAAAATTACAGTAGGCGGATTGTGGGTCCGGGCTGACGGTGCCCAAACTGGAATGCCAGTGCTTCAGGGAATCGGGAGTCCTGGCTGGGGAAGTAGGGCGCGACGACCTTCCACCGGGTCTGAAGTCTCTGTACAAAGAGGCTACGAATTTGAGTTAACGAGGTATGTAGGAACGATTTGGAATATATTACTTTCCCTAGGGTCGTCTATCTCTCGGAATGTCGACGAGGTTAACGGAGGGTCGAAACCAGCTTTGCCGGGTTGGCACACAGCGTACGAGACATCCCCCTTGGAAATTTCGCCATATCGATCCCGCGGGGATATAGGGTACCAAGGCTTGAAGACCGGTGAAGCTTGGTAACTCTCGTCGTTGGGAATTCCAGCGAAGGTCAGACCCGCATCGTCTAGACCGCCGTATCCGGGCGCCCTCCTCGGCGGGTACGTTTTTCTAGTGTACGTCCTTTTCTTGGTCATCTTCGGGGTGGCCGGTTGGTCCATGCTCGGACTGTAGCAGACCGGTCTAGGTCGTGCCACCACTGTTCCAACATTCTGCAAATTCCTAGGAATCTCGATGATAGTAGTCTCCCGAGGGTTCACTAGACCTTTCGGTATGACCACTTTCTGAGGTGAACACATACTACGGTAATTTATCTATCTTGTAAATAAACCAAAAATTTTGACTGCTTCTGCGAATTTTCTTAATGCCAACGGCAGGCCACTTGATACAAGTCCAACCTGTCAACAAAATTCCAGTCATTTTTGCACATTTCACAAAATGAGTTGTCCACCGGGAAGTTCCAGACGGAAAACCTCCCAAACCATTTCATTTATCAAAAGCGCCAACCCCGATATTTTTAGTATACGACCGAGACGGGGAGGCATTCTACCCTTCGACGATGACATCGTCACTTCTACGAGGATCGAAGAAGAAGACTTCGCTCAAGACTTCGAAAGCAAGTTAGACGAGAAAATCTCCAAGGAGTTTCGCGTGCAGACGGCACTAGACGAAGACGACGTCTCCATAGATTCGGAAGATGCGACCCTTCCTAACCCTTTGAAAGATGCGATGTACATGTTCGGCGTCACGATCAGTACGCTGATGATGATGGCGTCCAAGCAGCCCGACATCCCCAAGAACTACATGGTGTGGACTAAGCAGTGCTTGGAGTGCATCAGAGACGATTTCGGCAACCACCCACCCAACGTACAAGGGATTCTCAATCATATCAGGTTTCTAGATAAATCGGGCGGGGACGGCGGCGCAGGTGAAACGGGCGGAGCCAAGGAGGGAGGGGATACGACAGGAGGCGAAACGACTGGAGGAGAGACCACGGACGAAGAAGATCAAACCATAAGAACAACAACGAAAGTAAAAATGGGGAACGAAGACGAAGAATAAGTCGTCGTTGGCGTTAAAACAAATAAAAAATGTAACTTAAACGTCATTTTGTTTTCTTGTCGTAGTGCTGTCATCACTAATAAAACATTGTGCAAATTCTAGTGACAAATTTCGCTATGGCAGACGAAGCTGGTAATAGTTTTAGTTTTAAATGTGGGGCGAGGTCTCATCAAACACGCGATTGATAAAACCTCGCCTGTATTATTAGATTTATTTTTTACGCATTACTTCAGGAGATTTGTCATCCGACGAAAGTGGTAATTATGTATCTATCTAGATTTGCACTAATCACTCATCTTGAGCATTTCACAGATGTACAACCTATTTTATCGGTTCTCAAAATTGATAAACCGAAAGGAGAAACAGTCATAAGTGTTAGCTTTAAACGCGGGTCGGATGAAGAAGCTTTTCAAGAAGAGACGCCGTTCCCTGTACCTAAAATGGCGTATTTAATGCCTAGGGGTCTTTAAATCTTTAGATATTTTAACACCAATGATCAACCATTTTCACCAGTGAACGTGGTTGATCACAACAAACATTAACAACTTAAGAATTAAACATACATATGTAAATCATAGAACTTGAAACGTGTGTCATTCCACTTAAGTGAAGTTAAGTTCTTTCAAGTTGTATGAAACTCTTTATAGAAATGTACGTATAGGTAGATATAATGTTATCCTTGTAGGTAATGTCAACGAAGAACATCTAGCTGAAGGAGAAGACGAGACGCCACCAGAGGAACCTGAAACACGAGCACCTGAACCAGAACCTACTACCCCCTCAAAATCAAAAAAGTATCAACAGGTTTAAACTCGTAGCAATTTTTTGACGACTGGTTTCAGAACAAGAGTCCAAGTCGATCCTCACGCATCAGTGGACGAAACCGTCAACAAAGCGCATTACCTCACCGCCTTGCCCGTAGTTCCCGAAAGCGAAATTCCTTACACCCCGATTTTGTACACTTTTCGAGTAAAAACCAGAGGAAAAGCGACCAAACTCAAACACATAACGACCAAACCTCCACCGTTTTATTTGCAGTTTGACCACGCGATTGCCGTCATTTGGATGCTCTTTAGCAAGGACTCCAACAAGAAAGACCTGGGTACAAAATCGCACCAAGCTGTCCAGTCACACTAACGACTTTTCCAGGAATCGTCCAACTCCAATGGGCTCTCCATTTCTTACAATCGATCTACAACGACGCCGGCGTTCACCCAAAAGACGTCCAACTGTGCATCGACGCCATCCAAGACTACCTCATCAACAAGTATGCAGAAATGTCTGGGGAAGCGGTAGTCTTCGGATCGTCGAAATTCGGAGATTTCGTTGAAGGCGACAAGGGAAAATGTGCCCCTTTTTCTGTAAATTATTCGCAAATGATGAAGAAATGTCCGCGCACGACTGGTCTAGAGGACAAAGAATCTACAATGTTGGATAAACAACTACTCGACGAGCTGGAGAACGTGAAAAAGGTGGTCGGCATAGATTCGATAGATCTGACGAAGGTCGTGTCCAAGGACCAGGTCATGTATATTTTGAACGAATGGAAGAGAGAACAGATCGAGAAGATTCAAGACGAACTGAAAATGTTGTACGTGGTCGAGGATATGATGAAGAACTCGGATTCGCAGAACTTCGAAGGGTACACCGACGAATCGCAGTTTAAAACGGTATTTAAAAAGAACTAATAAAAATAAGTACCGAGTAAAAGCGACGTTTTATTTCAAGCTAGAAATATATGCAACCAACAATACACCGATTTAATTTCTTTGAAAACGAAAACTGCTTCGACAGAATAAACAACAAAACGATTAAATTGCATTGAATGTTATCAGCTAAATATTACTGATAAAAGAAATCTACAAAAATCCACAATATAAAAATATAGTCGGGAACATAGGCGGCGATTTACACACATTTTGTTGTGCTAACAAAATGTCTATAGATGCATGACAATGAAGTCATTTTATAACCACGTTTCCAAAGTTGTATCAATATATGACCGAATCGCTTTTCCGTCAATTGCCACAACAAAGTACAAAAACGCGCTTTTTTCCTTACATAGTCGGCGCCTCTGCCTCCCCAGTTCCGCTTCGTCCGACCTCGTCTCTTTCCGCCCATTTCACTTTCATCTGTCAAAACCGTGACTGAAACGACATAACTACCAACGTGGTGCCGACAAAGACCGACACAGTAGTTGTCAAACATTGGCAAACGCATAAAAATAACAGGATTTATTTTTCATTCACACGCTTATCCTTCTCCCGAATTCGCTTTGAAAGGGAAGGGCCTGAATTTAAGTGCAATTTAACTTAAGGAAAATCGGGAGTGATGGCTGCGGCGGTTAAAAGTGCCACCAGTAGGTTTTCGATTTTGTCGAGTTTGAAAAGGCTAGCCCCCAGGACCTACTACACGTACACCAATGAGCCCGCACAACCCATCCAGGGAAAAGAGCCCAGATGGACCACCCTAGAGTCGGCCTTCGAAGACCTAAAGTCGGGTGAATATACACCGAGATTTTTTTAATAGGTTGTTCGTGAACTTTGACCAGGGTCTGTGGCGTGGCGCCAAAAGGGACGAACGTTGACATAATTTGTATTAATATTTATTATTTTCGAAAATAGAAAGTGGTGAGTCGGTGTCGCCATTCATTTTTATTTATTTTATCAAATCTTCCTTGTATGTTTACCATAAACGAAATTCTAGTTCAAGATATGTTCAAGAAGTCCATTGTTCAACTAGTCATAATACAAAGGTTAAATTGATAAAAGTTTATTTGTTGTGGCGTTCGCCGAATATAGTCACTGTTTATCATATTTCTTAATTAGCTGCGCAAAAACTGCCATGTCAATCCTGATCATTTTCTCTCGCCACACAATGGTACAAGAATATTAAACAATTACGTGCAGTTAAAAGCAACATAAACGTTTTACTGTTGAATTATTCACTAAAAGTGTAGTCGCCGTATTTGAATTTTCAATCAACCAGTTTATTCAGTATTGCTCGGTTTCTGAAAGTTGTTCTGGGTTATTTTTAAATCGTTAATAAAGGCGTCTGCGTCCGAATCTAAAACCAGTTTGTGGTTGAAATCCATCAGTAACATGTGGTATGCATAAGATGTCCAAAACGTACGCAGGATTTACCTAGCTTTGGAAAATTATTTTTGCACACGAGGGATTTATTCATAAAAAATTTACAGAGCTAGATAACGAGAAACAATACCACAAACATTCGATTACGTAACGTCTCGTATCGACTTAAGTCATGTTTAAAGTGGATAATACAATAAAAAAAAACACTTGATGTTTTGTAGTTGAAAGCCACTTTTTCTGTTTTGAATGCTTCAGAATGTTTGTTTATGTGTTATGTAACCTGTTTTACTGGATCGCAGATGTCATATCTGATTATATATAACTGGAATTTTTATCTGTCATTGACGATTAATTAATAAATATGAGGTCGCAAGTAGCAGTGAAAAACAAAATATTCGTAACATTTTATCAATTTTAGGAGCGAATTATCGCATTTATTTTTGGCTGCTTTAGTACATTTTTTATCACAAACAAGACCTTCGTACGCACGATTTCAGGTTATATCCATCCAACCGAATCAAAGTAATTGGATATAATGAGACAATTATCTAATGGATGTTGACAACAACATCTGAGCCACAATCCCGCTTGTTGTAGCTTTTTGTTTAAAAACTTTATTACGCCGTTATCTCGACGATAACTGTTATTAATGTTTGTTCAAAAACAATAAAAACGAAAGCACTCATTACCTAACTGTATTATTTTTGTCTAAATTAAATTAATCTTGATAACCATTAACAGATAATGGAAATGTTAGATCGGTATAACACGGTTTGAGTATTAGTGAATCAAAAAACGCGCACCCTAAGCAGGGATTACACACTTCGTATTGATTGTTGCGTGTTCCTGTCTTTAACAAATAAACACACATCCATCCACACAAAAAAATGACAAACAACCTGATATTTTTAGCCGTTGTTTTCAAACTTATTTCAGTCGGTTTAAAGTACAAACATATTAATATCCGGCGCCCGAAGGAATCACTACTGACGTCAAGAGATTCCCTATAGTACCCAAAAATAACCAATACCATTTATCCCGGCTTCAATTGACGTACTTTTGGCACCCATTTCATTCAAACCCACTCCTCAACGTGTTTGCGTGCCGCAGAATCGTATTGACCCATGAGAGGCTCCAGGACCGTATCAATTTTTTATTGCAGGTCAAACCGTGTTCGTGCAAGGAGCCGCCGCCACTCCCGTGGACCTGGTCAACGCAATGACGGCCCACGGGAAAGCCAACAACCTCAAAGATATTACGGTTTGCCACATGCACACTGAAGGGCCCGCGTCGTACTGCGACCCTTCGTGCGATGGGATTTTCAGGTCGTTCTCGTTTTTCATGGGCGGGAACGTAAGGAAAGCCGTGGCTGAAGGTAGAGGCGACTGTTTGCCCATTTTCCTCTCGGAAATCCCGCTGTTGTTTTATAAGAAGATCTTCCAGCCCGATTTCGCAGTCATTCACGTGAGTGCGGATGTCGTAACGATATGACGCGGGAAATATTAATTTAAATTTGGACTTTACGATGTAGGTGTCGCCGCCAGACGAACACGGCTACTGCAGCTTGGGGACTAGTGTCGACTGCGTCCGGGCCGCAATGACCAACTCCAAATCGATAATCGGTAAGACATTTTTCTTTCCTCGAGCGTTAAGATAGAAATTGTGCTGCAGCTCAGGTCAACCCCTGCATGCCTCGAACCTTCGGCGACGCCATCATCCACGTGAGCCACATCGACGTGGCCGTCAAAGTCAACACCCCTCTACCTCAGCACGGCGGCCGTCCCCCTACCGACGTCGAATCCAAGATCGGCCAGCTCATCGCCGAGAACCTGGTGGAAGACGGCGCGACTTTGCAGATGGGCATCGGAAACATTCCCGACGCAGTTTTGGCTGCTCTAACCAACCACAAGGACCTCGGTATCCACTCGGAGATGTTCGCCGGGGGGGTGGTGGACCTGGTGGAGAAGGGCTGCGTCACTAATAACCGTAAAACGATGCATAAGGGACGCATCGTGGGGTCGTTCCTAATCGGCACCCAGAAGTTGTACGACTTCGTGGACAACAACCCCTTCATCGAGATGCTCGTCATCGATTACGTCAACAATACAAGTACGTGGCGGTTTGTGATTGGGCGGTTCAGCAACTTTGTTTGCAGAGATCGTGGCGCAGCAGCCGAAGATGACCGCTATCAACTCGTGCATTGAGGTCGATTTGACGGGACAAGTGGTGTCGGATTCGATCGGGACGAGGATGTACTCTGGGTTCGGGGGGCAGGTTGATTTTATCAGGGGGGCGGCGGAGGGGCTGGATGGGTTAGGAAAGCCGATTATTGCCTTACCGTCCTCGACTAACAAAGGGGAGAGTAAAATAGTGCCGTTAATTAAACAAGGTACGTGGATTGAGTAGGGTTTTGGGTGAGTAATAACTGGTTTGTAGGCGCTGGGGTCGTCACATCGAGGGCGCATGTGCACTACGTCGTCACCGAGTATGGAATAGCCTACTTGTTCGGAAAGTCCTTGCGTCAGAGAGCGCACGAGCTGATTTGCATCGCCCACCCGAACCACCGAGAAGCCTTAGAGAAGGCTGCGTTCGAGCGCCTAAAAGTAATGCCAAGTCCTTGAACATGCTATTTTCAATTCCACGCATTGTTTTGTACCTAAATCTACGCAAATTTAATAAGTTGTGAAAGCTATAAGTCTAACGTTTTTAATAAGTTTTTATTAAAAGTCGGCAAATATTTGTACACTGTTAAAAGTTAATAAAAATTGCAACACAGTTTTTTTTTTAGTGGCTTAAGAGTTCCACCAATCGGGTAAGCGGCCCTCCCGTCGCGCGATTTCGGCGTTATTATAAAACACCGAAAAATCCACATAGGGTTTAACTTTGTTATCAGACCCTATTTCTTTGATTTTGATTGTTCTGTTCGTGGATGTCGCGGTGGAATTGTCCGACCGAATCGTACTGTTTGTGTTACTGGTGTCTATTAAAGTATTCTGTGACTGATGCGAATTTAGGGTCAAGGAAGAGTTCGACGACGGTGTAGTTGGTGTTTTGATAGCATGAGGCAGTGGGTAGTTGAAGTTCCTCAAAACCAAAGTAATGTCTTCTCTTTTGGCGCTACAAGACTTGTCCGAGTTGGAATTGGACATGTACCAGTCGTGGTGCAAACGAACAGCCTTATCCACCACAGCTTGCGCAACCCCCGTCAAAGTCGCTTGTTCCCGAAACTGCTCCACCACACACTGTGCTATATACTTATTGACTTGATCAGTGCCCGTCGCCTCCTCAATAGTTTTATACAACTCGGCAGTCATTAACAGTAAAAACCTACAAGAGTCGTCGAGGATGATCCCTCCGTGGATATCCGGTTCCGCGGATACCGGTTCTTGAGTAGCCGTACTAAGATCCTCGAACTCTTTGTAGCCCCCTTTAACCAAATAGTTGCCCAAGCATCTAGTATTCTCTTGGTTCCCCAAATACGTACTATTCCTCAAATATTCCCGATTAATCCCGATTTGCGCCAACCTCAACAACTCATCTTCGTTCTTCAAGTCATGATCCAGACTCAGTTGCACCACTTTCAACACAGAATTAGCGTCAGTTTTACACAGAAGAACCCTACAATTACCCACATTGGCCACGTATAACTTGTTGTTGTGGATGAGGGCGACCGCTGCAGCCGCCCCTGACGACAACTGCGAGTTAATTCGTTTCAAACTTTCCACAGCATGGGGGGCTTTCTGGTAGGCTTCATAGGCGCTCAACCCCTCTGGAAGGTCATACTGCAATCTTTCCGCCAGTAAATCCCCAATGGACTGCATATACCCAGTTTCGACGGAAATGAACGCCTGTCTGATGATCTCGCGCACTTCATCATCGGTTTTCTTTTCCGTCAACTGCGAGAAGTAAATCTCGGCCGTCAACTGCGACGAAAAATGCAAAGCCTGCTTGCCCTCGTGGCCGTCGAAGACGGCGTACCAGCAGGTCCCTTTGTTAAACTCATAGTGGCAACTGCAGTCCTCGTACGAGTGGTCTTCCTGGGGATTTCCATCCTCGCGGTAAATCTGGTTCGTGGAGTAGCCGATTCCCGTGTTTTTGCACACGGTGAGGGCGTCCGTCCACGTCCCCTGGCTCTTGTAGATGGTTTCGGAGGGCTTGAGGGGCTTCATTTATTCGCACTGAACTACAGATACACTGAGGAAAGGAATTATCAGTACAATGTGCTATGTATAAAGGTGGATTTATAAACTTGCCGCGGACGTTGACGTTGTAAGATAAATACGTAGCGAAGTTATGCGTCGTTTATATCTTCCGTTGAAAGTTGGCACGCCTTTGACGTTCGAGGTCTTGACACAAGAGAGGTAAAACATATTAAAACAAAAAGACAAAATGTATGCCCGCCCGCCCACCCTATCTCGATTGTGATGATTTTTTTATTCGCTGTGAACCAAGAGGGCGAAGCTTAACTGCAAAATACTTATTTCGTTACAAGGAGTTTAAAACCTGTTTTTGAGTATCGTATCATTCAAGGAATGCCATGTACATTAAGAAAAAAAGGCAAATATATTAACCCCACCCACCCACCCCATCTCGATTGTGACGATTTCTTTTTAATCTTGAAACCTAAAACACGTTTAAAATGGTATTATTTTTTTAAGAAATATGGATTTTGCAATTAGCCCCCCCCCCCTCCCCAGGTCTACGAACGAATCAAAACTTCATTACTATTTAGATCATGGCAGGCATGGGTGGGGCTTAATCTTTGCTTTAATTTTTTCTTAATATACATAACATTCTTTGAACAACGTATTTTTTAATGTCTCATAGAGAAATAAGGATTTTGCAGTTAGGCTTTGCCCCCTTGGCTCACGACGAATAAAAAAAATCATCAGAATTGAGATGGGGCGGGTGGGCGGGGCTTATATTTTGTTTTTTTTTCTTAATATACATTGTCATTTTTTCACAACAAGAAACTTAAAACATGATTAAAATTTCCAAGGAAATATGCATTTTGCAATTATGGGGCGGAGCCTAATTGCAAAATCGATATTTCCTTATACAAGTCTTCCATTTTAAACATAGAATAAGTTTCATGTTGTGAAAAGAAGTCTACACATGTTAAAACAAAAAGACAAAATCTAAGCCCGCCCACCCGCCCTATCTCGATTGTGATGATTTTTTTATTCGCTGTGAGCCAGAGGGGCGGAGCTTAACTGCAAATTATTTATTTCGTTTCACACAAGAAATTAAAAACCTGTTTTTGAGTATCGTATTGTTCAAAGAATGCTCTGTATATTAAGAAAAAAAGGCAAATATATAAACCCCCCTCCCATCTCAATTGTGATGATTTTTTTTTATTCTTAGAAACCTAAAACACGTTTAAAATGGTATTAAACACGTTTAAAATGGTATTATTTTTTTTTAAGAAATATGGATTTTGCAATTAGGCCCGCCCCTAGGTCTACGAACGAATGAAAACTTCATTACTATTTAGATCATGGCAGGCATGGGTGGGGCTTAATCTTTGCTTTAATTTTTTCTTAATATACGTAACATTCTTTGAACAACACACTTTTTAATGTCTCAGAAAAATAAGGATTTTGCAGTTAGGCTTCGCCCCCTTGGCTCACGACGAATAAAAAAAATCATCAGAATTGAAATGGGGCGGGTGGGCGTCGCCTATATTTTGCATTTTTTTTTTTCTTAATATACATGCCATCTTTTAACAAGAAGAAACTTAAAAAATGGTTAAAATTTCCAAAGAAATATGGACTTTGCAATTATGGGACGGAGCCTAATTGCAAAATTGATATTTTCTTATACAAATCTTCCATTTTAAACATATTTTAAGTTTTATGTTGTGAAAAAGTCTACACATATTAAAACAAACAGACAAAATCTAAGCCCGCCCACCCGCCCTATCTCGATTGTGATGATTTTTTTATTCGCTGTGAGCCAGAGGGGCGGAGCTTAACTGCAAAAGATTTATGTCGTTTCACAAGAAATTAAAAACCTGTTTCTGAGTATCGCATTGTTCGAAGAATGCTATGAATATTAAAAAAAGGCAAATATGTAAACCCCGCCCACCCACCCTACCTCGATTGTGATGATTTTTTTTAATTCTTGAAACCTAAAGCACGTTTAAAATGGTATTATTTTTTTAAGAAATATGGATTTTGCAATTAGACCCGCCCCTAGTTCGACGAACGAATGAAAACTTCATTACTATTGAGATCATGGCAGGTATGGGTGGGGCTTAATCTTTGCTTTAATTTTTTCTTAATATACATAACATTCTTTGAACAACACATTTTTTAATGTCTCATAGAGAAATAAGAATTTTGCAGTTGGGCTTCGCCCCATTGGCTCACGACGAATAAAAAAAATCATCAGAATTGAGATGGAGCGGGTGGGTGGGGCTCATATTTTGCCTTTGTTTTTTCTTAATATACATATCCATCTTTTCACAACAAGAAACTTAAAACATGGTTAAAATTTCCAAGCAAATATGGATTTTGCAATTATGGGGCGGAGCCTAATTGCAAAATGGATATTTCCTTATAAAAATCTTCCATTTTAAACATAGTTTAAGTTTCATGTTGTGAAAAGAAGTCTACACATATTAAAACAAAAAGACAAAATCTAAGCCCGCCCACCAGCCCTATCTCGATTGTGATGATTTTTTTATTCGCTGTGAGCCAGAGGGGCGGAGCTTAAATGCAAAATATTTATTTCGTTTCACACAAGAAATTAAAAACCTGTTTTTGAGTATCTTATTGTTCAAAGAATCCTATGTATATTAAAAAAAAAAGGCAAATATATAAACCCCACCCACCCATTCCATCTCAATTGTGATACTTTTTTTTATTCTTAGAAACCTAAAACACGTTTAAAATGGTATTATTTTTTTTTAAGAAATATGGATTTTACAATTAGGCCCGCCCCTAGGTCTACGAACGAATGAAAACTTCATTAGTATTTAGATCTTGGCAGGTATGGGTGGGGCTTATTCTTTGCTTTAATTTTTTCTTAATATACATAACATTCTTTGAACAACATATTTTTTAGTGTCCCATAGAGAAATACGGATTTTGCAGTTAGGCTTCGTCCCCTTGGCTCACGACGAATAAAAAAAATCATCAGAATTGAGATGGGGCGGGTGGGCGGGGCTTGTATTTTGGCTTTTTTTTTTCTTAATATACATAGCCATTTTTTCACAACAAGAAACTTAACATGGTTAAAATTTCCAAGGAAATATGGATTTTGCAATTATGGGGCGGAGCCTAATTGCAAAATAGATATTTCCTTATACAAATTTTCCATTTTAAACATATTTTACGTTTCATGTTGTGAAAAGAAGTCTACACATATTAAAACAAAAAGACAAAATCTAAGCCCGCCCACCCGCCCTATCTCGATTGTGATGATTTTTTTATTCGCTGTGAGCCCGAGGGGCGGAGCTTAACTGCAAATTATTTATTTCGTTTCACACAAGAAATTAAAAACCTGTTTTTGAGTATCGTATTGTTCAAAGAATGCTCTGTATATTAAGAAAAAAAAGGCAAATATATAAACCCCCCCCTCCCATCTCAATTGTGATGATTTTTTTTATTCTTAGAAACCTAAAACACGTTTAAAATGGTATTATTTTTTTTTAAGAAATATGGATTTTGCAAGTAGGCCCGCCCCTAGGTCTTCGAACGAATGAAAACTTCATTACTATTTAGATCATGGCAGGCATGGGTGGGGCTTAATCTTTGGTTTAATTTTTTCTTAATATACGTAACATTCTTTGAACAACACATTTTTTAATGTCTCAGAAAAATAAGGATTTTGCAGTTAGGCTTCGCCCCCTTGGCTCACGACGAATAAAAAAAATCATCAGAATTGAAATGGGGCGGGTGGGCGGGGCCTATATTTTGCATTTTTTTTTTTTTAATATACATGCCATCTTTTAACAAGAAGAAACTTAAAAAATGGTTAAAATTTCCAAGGAAATATGGATTTTGCAATGATGGGCTGGAGCCTAATTGCAAAATCGATATTTCCATATACAAATTTTACATTTTAAACGTACATATTTTAAGTTTCATGTTGTGAAAAAAAGTCTACACATGTTAAAACAAAAAGACAAAATTTAAGCCCGCCCACCCGCCCTGTCTCGATTGTGATGATTTTTTTATTCGCTGTGAGCCAGAGGGGCGGAGCTTAACTGCAAAATATTTATTTTGTTTCACACAAGAAATTAAAAACTTGTATTTGAGTATCGTATTGTTCAAAGAATGCTATGTATATTAAGAAAAAAAAGGCAAATATATAAATCCCACCCACCTACCCCATGTCACTTGTGATGATTTTTTTTAATTCTTGAAACCTAAAACACGTTTAAATTGGTATTTTTTTTTTTTTAAATATGGATTTTGCAATTAGACCCGCCCCTAGGTCTACGAACGAATGAAAACTTCATTACTATGTAGATCAGGGCAGGTATGGGTGGGGCTTAATCTTTGGCTTTAATTTTTTTCTTAATATACCTAGTATTCTTTGAACACGACATTCAAAACATGTTTTTAATTTCTGGTAGAGAAATAAGGATTTTGCAGTTAAGCTCCGCCCCCCTTGACTCACGACGAAAAAAAATCATCAGAATTGAGATGGGGTGGGTGGGCGGGGCTAATATTTTGCCTTTTTTTTCTTAATATACATAGCCATCTTTTCACAACAAGAAACTTAAAACATGGTTAAAATTCCCAAGGAAATATGGATTTTGCAATTATGGGGCGGAGCCTAATTGCAAAATAGATATTTCCTTATACAAATCTTCCATTTTAAACATAGTTTAAGTTTCATGTTGTGAAAAGAAGTCTACACATATTAAAACAAAAAGACAAAATCTAAGCCCGCCCACCCGCCCTATCTCGATTGTGATGATTTTTTTATTCGCTGTGAGCCAGAGGGGCGGAGCTTAACTGCAAATTATTTATTTCGTTTCACAAGAAATTAAAAACCTGTTTCTGAGTATCGCATTGTTCGAAGAATGCTATGTACATTAAAAAAAAAGGCAAATATGTAAACCCCGCCCTCCCATCCTATCTCGATTGTGATGATTTTTTTTTTCTTGAAACCTAAAACACGTTTAAAATGGTATTATTTTTTTAAGAAATATGGATTTTGCAATTACGCCCGCCCCTAGGTCTACGAACGAATGAAAACTTCATTACTTTTTAGATCAGAGCAGGTATGGGTGGGGCTTAATTTTCTCTTAATATACATAGATAATGAATAACACGACACTCGAAAACATTTTTTTCATTTCTCGTAGAGAAATAAGAATTTTGCAGTCAAGCTCCGTCCCCTTGGCCCACGACGAATAAAAAAATATCACCAGAATAGAGATGGGGCGGGTGGGCGGGGCTTATATTTTACCTTTTTTTTTCTTAATATACATAGCCATCCTTTCGCAACAAGAATCTTAAAACATGTTTTAAATGGTAAATTCTTCTAGACAAATATGGATCTTACAATTAAGCCCCGCCTCTCGAGATGACAACGAATGAAAAATTCATCACAATTGAGAATTGAGATTGGGGCGATGATGGGTGGGGCCTAATCTTTGGTTTTACTTTTTCCTGAATATACATAGTATTCTTTGAATAACACGATACTCAAAAATATTAATTAATTTAATTCTTGTAGAGAAATAAGGATTTTGCAGTTAAGCTCCGCCCCTTTGGCTCACGACGAATAAAATAAATCATCACAATAGAGATAGGGTGGGTGGGCGGGCCTCCATTTTACCTTTATTTCTTAATAGGTGTAGACTTATTTCGACAACAAGAAACTTAAAACATGTCTAAAATGGTAAATTTTTATAGTAATCAACTTTAATCCTCCACTTTTCTTCTACAACCAGTCTACAACCTTTTTAAATACGTCAAAATTTAACATCAAAGTTAATAATCAACGGCAACTTGGCAACGGGGACTTCAATATCAACAGCAAGTTTATAAATCCCACTTAAGAACAACGCATCTACTTACTTAGCACGGTCACCACCACCCACTAATTTGCGCCACTAGTGGCTTAATATAGCTCTAAAACCACACAGCCCTCTCGAAAATCAACACAAAACCTAACCTCGCCGCCCGTTCCGATTGACAGCCGTAGATGACAGCCACATGACAGCCAGTGCGCCACCGCGCCGGTCACGTGACCCCTCGTCACGCCGCAATAAATCGCGATTTCGGCGAGGCAGAAAACCCGTGTGATTCGAGTGCTCCGTAACCGTACTTTTTTCACTTTTCATCCGAATGCAATATTAATGAGAAAATTAAATCCGACTCCAAGCTCGAAAATCGAGTCGGGTTGCATCATCTAGTGAATTTGGCGACGCGCTGTTTTCCCCCAGACCCGACCCACTTTTTGTTGTGATTGTTATTGTGACATTTGTGACGTTCCCGTGGTAGAAATTGCAGCGAAGGTCCCGTTATGTTTACGATGTGGTGTGTTTAGAAGAGCAGTCCTGAATTCCTGAAATCGTCGTCGGAATTGCGATGGCAGGTGAGTTTTGGGGAGGTTTGGGAATCGCGCGAGGGGATGCGAAAATGGTCCGGTTATGGTGTTGGTGGAGGGCTGGCTTGAAATAATTCGGGTGAGGTAACGCTGGTTGTTAACCTAGAGGGCTTTTTATAACCGGGAGTACCACAATCCGGACATTCTTGTGCACTTATTTATAAATTGAGAACGGTAATAATAAACGCGTGTGCAAACAGTAGAGGATAGTTTCACTGCGGGTTTATTATTCATGTGCGAGACAATGAACTACTTTGTGGACGCAGTTAGAGTTGGAGGTCGAAGGAGCCCCTGAGTGCCCAAGTACGTACGGTTTTGGGTGCCCCGAATCCGCCTTTTCGGTGCTGAATTTATTCGCGGCTTTGTAATTGTTTTGCGGTCATGGCTATTAGGCATTCACGTTATTCTAACACAATGCTTCCTTCATTATAAGTTAATTAATTAAAATCTAACAACTTTTTAATTTCACACCACTAATTACTGTTATCTGTTTTGATTTTTATTGTTGTTTTTGCGTTCCAGCTTGCTTCAAACTTTTTTCCGTTTAAGTAGTGCTTGCTATTTACAACTTTCGTTTTAAGACGTGTTTGATGTAGTACATTTGTAATTTATTGCGAAGGAAACTATGTAAACACCTACTTTGTGCATACGTCGTATAACACAGAAGTTTGAACTTGTGAAAGAATTTTACAGCTTCGAGCCATTTGCCTCTCACTCATTTGCATAAACCAAAATTTATTTCGTGGTATTTCTAATACAAACACGATTTTTCCTAGCGTGTGTCGGCCAACTTTTTATTTTCTTCTTTCCAAATAGTAGTGTTACCCAAATTATTTTTAAAAACGCAATAACTGAAGTATTAACGGTAATTCCACGGATTTACCTTTGTTTGTCGAAGTTTTTATCACGTGCAATGTACGATTACGAGAAGTATAGATAAGTATAAAAATAAATGCAAATATTATAACAACGCATTTTTGCTAATCACACAATCCAATTTTGGGTCATATATAGGGTGCCCCATCATGTACAACCAAGATGATGAGCTTTGTTACAACATACGATTTAAAATTGCAATTATAAAATAAAATATTGGTAATTACAATTAATTATTTATTCATAACTACGACCTCACCTTTTCAGTTTTTATTACGACCTCCTATAAATTCAATCAATACCGCAACCAATATTCCATCAACGTTGGCCACTATGATCACAAGAGTGTCTATTGTTTTCTTCTGCTCATTGATATACAAAATATATTCCAGTTATTTTTTTTCGAAATTATTAAAAAAAAAATGGACGTTGGATTGAAAATTCACACATGGCTAAATATAATATTAGTTGAATTAACAATGTGTCAAGAGGAATTAGATTACTCGTAAGAGAACTTACGTCGAATGAGACTAATTCCAAGTCTTACAAAACAATTTCTTTGACGCGAATAATAAATTCTGTGGAATTTTTTTATTACAAAAGTTGCTTTTTTGATGGGTGAATAATTAAATTTGTTGGTTAACTACGTGGAACCTTGGAAGTAGGTGAATTAGGAAAAATTTTAGTCCAACGCTTCGTCAGGTCTCGATTTCGTGTAACTTTAACTTGAAATGCACAATTTAAATTCAAATTCAACCATAACAAAATGCCCCGCCCACCTACCCCGATCTCAATTGTGATGAAGGGAGCTTAATTGCAAAGTCTATATTTCTGTATACAAGAAATTACCAAGAAAAGCCTGTTTGGGGTATTATGGTATTGTTAAAAATGGACTATTTTGCGAAAAAGTAGCGAATTATTATTTCAAAAGTAAAATTTGCATTTAAGTTCCGCCCTCTGGTCTCACAACGAATACAAAATTTATTACAATTGGGATGCGGGTGGGTGGGAGGGTTCATATTTTTCGGCTGCTCTTTCTGAATATATGTAGTTTTTTTTTTCCACGACACGATACTTAAATAATGGTAATTTCTTATAGAGAAATATAAACTTTTCAATTAAGCGCCGCCTCTCGTCTGACGACGAATAAAAAATTAGTCACAATTGAGATGAGGGCGGGTGGGTGGGGCTTATCCTTTGACTTTCTTTTCGTAATGTATCACTCCTCTTTTGACAATAAAATACTTAAAATGGTCAAAATATTATTATCAGAGTTATTTGCATTAAAAAAAAGCAAAAAAATCGTGATTTAAAAAAATCATTAATTTTTTATTTTTTCCAACGTTGGACGTAAGTATTGTATGATTGCATAGAAATTTAAGATTGCGAACATCCTAAATTTTGTTATTTTATTTATTTAGTTATTTTATATTTTATTTTTGTAGGTGATTAATAGAGTTAGAGCAGATATTGGAGTTCACGATCTCGAGACCTCTTGTGACTGGTTTTTGAAGTAGCTTGAAATAATTTCGGTGTCCCCTTGTTTGATTTTTGAAGCACATAGTTTGAAATAATTTCGAGACCCCGTTTGGTCTTGGTTTTGAAGTAGTTTGAAAGAATCTCGGGTTATTTTTGTTTGGTTTTTGAAGTAGTTTGAAAGAATCTGGGGGTCTCCTTGTCTGATTTTTGAAGTACGTAGTTTGAAAGAATCTCGTGGACCCTTTTTGTTTTGTTTTTGAAGTAGCTTAAAAGAATCTCGAGACGGGTGGGTGGGACTTAATTTATGTTTTTTTTTTTTTAAGATGTAAAGTTTTCTTTCAACAACAGGATAGTTAAACATGTTCTTAGTTTCTTGTTGGGAAAAGAAGATTTCGCATATTAAGAAAAAATGGACAAAATATAAGCCCCGCCCACCCACCCGTTCTCAATTTTAATGAACATTTTATTCATCGTGAGCTGAAGGGCGGAGTTTAGTTGCAAATCCTCATTTGTTTACAAGAAATTCACATATGAAATTCATCACAATTGAAGTTGGGGTGGGCGGGTGGGGCTTAATTTTTGTTTGTTTTTTAATAAGTAAAGTCTTCTTTCAACAACAGGATAGTTAAAGATGTTTTTAGTTTCTTGTTGGGAAAAGAAAACTTCGCATATTAAGAAAAAATGGATAAAACATAAGCCCCGCCCACCCACCCTTTCTCAATTGTGATGAACATTTTATTCATCGTGAGCTGAAGGGCGGAGTTTAGTTGCAAATCCTCATTTGTGTTCAAGAAATTCCCATATGAAATTCACCACAATTGAAGTTGGGGCGGGTGGGTGGGGCTTAATTTTTGTTTTGTTTTTTAATAAGTAAAGTCTTCGTTCAACAACAGGATAGTTAAACTTGTTTTTAGTTTCTTGTTCTGAAAAAAGACTTCATTATTTTAAGAAAAAATGGACAAAATATAAGCCCCGCCCACCCACCACTTCTCAATTGTGATGAATATTTTATTCATCGTTAGTGGAAGGGCGGAGTTTAATTGCAAATCCTCATTTTTCTCCAAGAAATTCCCATATGAAATTCATCACAATTGAAGTTGGGGCGGGTGGGCGGGGCTTAATTTTTGTTTTGTTTTTTAATAAGTAAAGTCTTCTTTCAATAACAGGATAGTTAAACATGTTTTTAGTTTCTTGTTGGGAAAAGAAGACTTCGTATATTAAGGAAAAACTGGACAAAATATAAGCCCCGCCCACCCACCCCTTCTCAAGTGTGATGAATATTTTATTCATCGTGAGCTGAAGGGCGGAGTTTAGTTGCAAATCCTCCTTTCTCTACAATAAATTACCAATTGAAATTTATCACAATTGAAGTTGGGGCGGGTGGGTGGGGCTTACTTTTTATTTTGTTTTTTAATAAGTAAAGTCTTCTTTCAACAACAGGATAGTTAAACCTGTTTTTAGTTTCTTGTTCTGAAAAAAAGACTTCATTATTAAGAAAAAATGGACAAAATATAAGCCCCGCCCGCCCACCCACCCCTTCTCAAGTGTGATTAATATTTTATTCATCGTGAGTTCAAGGGCGGAGTTTAGTTGCAAATCCTTATTTCTTTACAAGAAATTCCCATATGAAATTCATCACAATTGAAGTTGGGGCGGGTGGGTGGGGCTTAATTTTTGTTTTGTTTTTTAATAAGTAAAGTTTTCTTTCAACAACAGGATAGTTAAACATATTTTTAGTTTCTTGTTCTGAAAAAAAGACTTCATTATTAAGAAAAAATGGACAAAATGTATGCCCCGCCCACCCACCCCTTCTCAATTGTGGTGAATATTTTATTCATCGTGAGTTCAAGGGCGGAGTTTAGTTGCAAATCCTTATTTCTCTACAAGAAATTACCATATGAAATTCATCATAATTGAAGTTGGGGCGGGTGGGTGGTGCTTAATTTTTGTTGTTTTTTTTTAATATGTAAAGTTTTCTTTTGACAACAGGATAGTTAAACATGTTTTTAGTTTCTTGTTCTGAAAAGAAGACTTCGTATGTTAAGAAAAAATGACCTGGTTTCTTGAAGTAGTTTGAATGAATCTTGGAGACCCCAGGTGTTGGCATGGTTTTTAAACTAAATTGAAAGAATCTCAAGGACCACTTTTGTTTTGTTTTTGAAGTAGCTTAAAAGAATCTTGGGGACTCGGTTGGCCTAGTTTTTGAAGTATTTTGAAAGAATCTCAGAGATCCCTTTTGATATGGTTTTGAAATGGTTTTAAAGAATCTCGGGATCCCTTTTTTGGTTTTGAAATAGTTTTAAAGAATCTCGGGGACCCCTTTTGTTTTGTCTCTGAAGAGGTTTTAAATTATGTCGGGGACCCTGCTGATCTGGTTTTTGAAGTAGTTTGAAGGAATCTCAAGGACCCCTTTTGTTTTGGTTTTGAAGTGGTTTTAAAGAATCTCGGGCAGCCTTTCTGATTTGTTTTTAAAGTAGTTTGAAAGAATCTCAAGGATCCCTTTTGTTTTGTCTTTGAAGAGGTTTGAAAGAATCTCGGGGACCCCTTTTTGTTCTGTTTTTGAAGTGGTTTTAAATTATCTCAAGGACCCCTTTTATTTTGATTTTGGAATAGTTTGAAAGAATCTCAGGGATCCTTTTTTTTGGTTTTGAAATGGTTTTAAAGAATCTCGGGGCACGCTTTTGTTTCATTTTTTAAGAAGTTTGAAAGAATCTCGGAGACCCCTTGTTGTTCTGTCTTTGAAGTGGTTTTAAATTATCTCAAGGACCCCTTTTATTTTGATTTTGGAATAATTTGAAAGAATCTCTGGGATCCTTTTTTTTGGTTTTGAAATGGTTTTAAACAATCTCGGGGACCCCTTTTATTTTGATTTTGGAATAGTTTGAAAGAATCTCTGGGATCCTTTTTTTTGGTTTTGAAATGGTTTTAAAGAATTTCTGGGATCCCTTTTTTTGATTTTGAAATGGTTTTAAAGAATCTCGGGGACCCCTTTTTGTTCTGTCTTTGAAGTGGTTTTAAATTATCTCAAGGACCCCTTTTATTTTCATTTTGGAATAATTTGAAAGAATCTCTGGGATCCTTTTTTTGGTTTTGAAATGGTTTTAAAGAATCTCAGGGACCCCTTTTGTTTTGTCTTTGAAGTAGTTTTAAATTATCTCAAGGACCCCTTTTATTTTGATTTTGAAATAGTTTGAAAGAATCTCTGGGATCCTTTTTTTTGGTTTTGAAATGGTTTTAAAGAATTTCTGGGATCCCTTTTTTTGATTTTGAAATGGTTTTAAAGAATCTCGGGGACCCCTTTTTGTTCTGTGTTTGAAGTGGTTTTAAATTATCTCAAGGACCCCTTTTATTTTGATTTTGGAATAATTTGAAAGAATCTCTGGGATCCTTTTTTTGGTTTTGAAATGGTTTTAAAGAATCTCAGGGACCCCTTTTGTTTTGTCTTTGAAGTGGTTTTAAATTATCTCAAGGACCCCTTTTATTTTGATTTTGGAATAGTTTGAAAGAATCTCAGGGATCCTTTTTTTGGTTTTGAAATGGTTTTAAAGAATCTCTGGGATCCCTTTTTTTGATTTTGAAATGGTTTTAAAGAATCTCGGGGATCTTTTTTTGGTTTTGGTTTTAAAGAATCTCGGGGACCTCTTTTTGTTCTGTTTTTGAAGTGGTTTTAAATTATCTCAAGGATCCCTTTTGTTTTGATTTTGAAATAGTTTGAAAGAATCTCAAGGACCCCTTTTATTTTGATTTTGGAATAGTTTGAAAGAATCTCCGGCATCCCTTTTTTTGATTTTGAAATGGTTTTAAAGAATCTCGGGGATCTCTTTTTTTGGTTTTGAAATGGTTTTAAAGAATCTCGGGGACCCCTTTTGTTTTGTTTTTGAAGAGGTTTTAAAGAATCTCGGTCACCCTTTCTGATTTGTTTTTGATGTAGTTAGAAAGAATCTCAGGGATCCCCTGATGGTCTGGTTTTTGAAGTATGTAGTTTGACAGAATCTCAAGGACCCCTTTTGTTTTGATTTTGAAATAGTTTGAAAGAATCTCGGTGATCCCTTTTTTTGGTTTTGAAATGGTTTTAAAGAACCTCGGGGATCCGTTTTTTTGGTTTTGAAATAGTTTTAAAGAATCTCGGGGACCCCTTTTGTTTTGACTTTGAAGAGGTTTTAAAGAATCTCGGGAACCCTTTCTGATTTGTTTTTGATGTATTTGGAAAGAATCTCAGGGACCCCCTGTTGGTCTGGTTTTTGAAGTAATTTGAAAGAATCTCAAGGGCCTCTTTTGTTTTGATTTTGAAATAGTTTGAAAGAATCTCGGGGATTCCTTTTTTTGGTTTTGAAATGGTTTTAAAGAATCTCGGGAATCCCTTTTTTTGGTTTTGAAATGGTTTTAAAGAATCTCGGGGACCGCTTTTGTTTGATTTTTGACGAAGTTTAAAAGAATCTCGTGGTCCCCTGTCTTTTGTTTTTGAAGAAGTTTGAAAGAATCTCGGGGACCCCTTTTTGTTCTGTTTTTGAAGTGGTTTTAAAGAATCTCAAGGACCCCTTTTCTTTTGGTTTTGAAACAGTTTGAAAGAATCTCGGGGACCCCTTTTTTTGGTTTTGAAATGGATTTAAAGAATCTCGGGGACCCCTTTTTTTGTCTTTGAAGAGGTTTTAAAGAATCTCGAGGACCCCTTTTTGGAATGGTTTTAAAAAATGTCGGGGACCTTAAGTAGCTTAAAAGAATGTCGGGGACTCTCGGTTGGTCTGGTTTTTGAAGTAGTTTGAAAGAATCTCAAATACCCCGTTTAAATTGGTTTTGAAATTGCTTTAAAGAATCTCAAGACCCCTTTTGTTTTAGTTTTGAAGTGGTTTTAAACAATCTCGTGCCTGATTTTTGAAGTAATTTTCCAAAATTTTTCAGTCGTTTTATTAATATTGATGTTAAACGAAATAATTTAAATAACAACAAAAGGTCTTTTTGATTCTTGTGGAATATTGGCTGCGGTTTCGCATGATTATATAGGAGGTCATAAAAAAATGAAAACCCTATAGTTATAGTAATGAAGCAGAAATAATAAAAATTTGTAATTATACAATTTTTCTTTGCTATTTTTTCCGCTCTTGTAAGCAAACTAACATCTAATTTTAGATTTTAATAGAATTTAGCACACCATGATTGACGTCTGGTTTAATTCCAATCCATCAACTGCCTGGAATGCGTATAAGTGCAGTTATTTAACGCTTCCGCGGTCTAAAAATACCGCAAAAAAATCGAAGTAACAAAAATAACCTAATCCCGTGTTTTATTTTCCCCAGGGTAATCAAGCCTCCACACCATGGACACCCTAACCCTGGACCCCTACGAACAACAACTCCTCACCGTCTTCGACAGCTGCGACCACGAAAACGTCGGCAGCCTCGACCACGACGGTCTAACCCAGCTCTGCCAAGCCCTCCACCTCGAAGAACAATGCACCGACCTCATCCAGTCCCTCTTGAACGACCCCAAACATTCCAGAGCCACTTTCACCGAATTCAAGGAAGCCCTTTTGACCCTCCTCGGCAACATGCAACTCAACAAAACCAAACACTCCGACGAGTCGTCAAAGAAGGCAGAGAACGGCTCCCCCGACAGAGAAGTCTCCCCGAAATTTATCTACGGCTCGAAAAAGTACGGCCGAAGATCCCGGCCCCGAAGCGACGAAATCTCGAATATGGTAGACGAACAAAACGACTTGAACTACCTGAATAAATCCAGCAACGTGTCGGTCCAGCGCTCGAATTCGCAAACCGAAGTCTCGAACTCGAAGAAGCGAAAAACGAACTACAAGCTGAAGAGGTGCACGTCGCTTCCCGGGAACCAAAGGATCGAGAATAATTTTGTTACGAGCAGTTTGAATAATGAGGCGGAGGTGGTGTACACGGAGGAGATGTTGAGGGAGGCTTGGAAGAAATTGGGGGTTGGGAAAGATGGGTATTTGAACCAGACGGAGTTGGTTTTGGTGTGTGATGCTATAGGGTTGCAGAATTTAGCGAAAGGGGTGATCAGACATCTGTCGAATAAGTTGAGTGTGGATTATGACCGCAAAATTAGCTTCCAGGAGTTGTTGGAAGCGCTACAAGTTGATGAAACGTGGTCAGAGGTGTTGAATTCACCGCCTGTTAGTAACGATCTTACTTTGACTATGTCGAACGAGATTTTCCCGGATTCGAGAACATTCCAGTATGTTGCGTTAGGGCCTGATGGTAACGGGGTTATTAATGCCGAAACGTTGATTGAAATGTGGGAGCAAGTGGGGATTAGTTCACCCAAAGAACTAGTTCATGAGTTGGGATTCAACGATCGCGATATTAACATCGTCGATTTGGCAACAGTGTTAGAAAAAGAGATTAAAGGCATCCACGATTCGAGTCGTTCGGAAATCCAAAACCCCCACATAGCTTTGTTAAACGCTAATTTAACCCTCTACCAGTCAGAAATCAAGTGTTTGAAGAACATCCTCGAACAAATGCACGCAGAAAGAGAGAAATTAAAATGCGACGTTGTCGAAGCTAACAATCGAGCGAAACTTCTAGCCCAAGAAGTCGACGACAACCACCTCAAAATGGAGCGCAACACCCAAAACCAAGTCAAACTAATGGAACAAAGACACTCCGACATCCTCAAAGAGATCACTCAGCAGTACGCCAACGACAAAGAACACCTGTCGGCCCTTAATCAAACCCTCGAAGACAAAATCTGCTCCCTGGAACAAGAAGTCAACAAGCTAAAAAACGACCTAATCGTCGCCCAAAAGTACTCCAACAGTATCGAGAAAGAAAACCACACTCTATCCACGCAAATCTCGGAGCTACAACAAGTTAAATCGCTCCTTACGGATCAGATTAACACGTTGGAGTGCGAGAAGCAGAAGTACGTGGAGATGGAGCAAGAGCAGATAGAGCCTTTGTTGTCGAAGTTGTCGAGTTTGCAGCTCGAGAACGCACAGCTGAGGGACCGCAATGACGAAATGGTAGCGGAAATCGAAAGCTTGAGTTGTCAGGTGTCTGGTTTGAGAGCGAAAGTTTCTAGTACTCCTACGTACAACACCCTTGATCAGAGTATGGACGAAAACATTTCTGTTATTTGCGAAGGAGTCGGTTTGGGAGCGAAACGTAGGAGTGATTATTCGCCGACCAAGGACGGGGTCCTGTTTGGCATAGGTAAGAGATTTTTGTGTCAGTTGGTGCTAGTTGTGGTTTTAACTGGAGTGAGTATTTGTTGTAATTGCTACATTTTTTTTTGTCGAATAATTTATTGCATTAAAATATTCATATAAAGATTCGAAATTCCAGACTAGACTTCAATTCAGGTCAGGTATATGAAATTTTGTTGGACGAGTCTCGCGGTGAATGTTAAATTTTCTGAAAATAGCGTCGGGCGTCGCTTGCCTCTATTAAATTGCTTTTATTGTTATTACCAATCATAAAAAAATGTGCGTCTCGTGCGTATTGTGGGTTGCCGGGGAGTCGTATCGGATTAATTGAATATGTCAAGATGTGTACTTTCGCCGATCTTAACCTTTGTATCGATAAATCAGGATCCAGATTCCTCTGGAGTTATTTCGAGGTAATGATAATCACAAAAATTCGCTTCGTTTTTTTACGGTTTTAATGTTGTCGGTAATTGGTGATTTTATTTTATTGCTTGTGGAATATGTGTGAGTTGAAAGGCAAGTTTGTTTTGCAAAAACGACACACTACTCAAAAGTGGCACACAAATAATAAATTAGAGTTGGCTGGGATTTTAAAATTTTAATTGGCAGGTTTGTTGTTTTTATGTTAAAGTTGCTAATTGGGACTTTTCGATTTTTCGGTTTCTCGAGATCTGAATTTTTCGACTTCTCCGATTTTTCAATTTCCCTCAATTTTTCTATTCGACTTCGCGTTTTCGATTTCTAAATTTTTCAAACCCTTCAGTTTCTCGATTTTTCGATTTCCCTATTTCTGAAGTTTCCAAGTTTTTTTGATTTTCTCAATTTTTCAACTTTTGAGTTTTCTCAATTTCTCGACTTTGATTTCTAGATTTTCTATTTTTCGACTTATCAATTTCTGAATTTTTCAAACTCTTTCCCGATTTTTCGATATCTTGGTTTTTAAATTTTCGTTTTGTCTATTTTTCAACTTTTGAGTTTTTGGATTTCTCAATTTCTGGACTTCGATTTCTAGATTTTCGACTTTTCGACTTCTTAATTTTTGGACTTTTGAATATCTGAATTTGATTTGTCGACTTTTCAATTTCTCAATATTTCCTATTTTTCGACTTCAATTGCTGAATTTTTCACCCTTTAATTTTTCGATTTTTCAATTTTTCGACTTTTGAGTTTTTCGATTTCTCAGTTTCTCGATTTTTCAATTTTTGAGTTTTTCGCTTTCTCAATTTCTCGACTTTGTTTACTAGATTTTCGATTTTTCGACTTTTCAATTTTTTCGGTTTCTCGAGATCTGAATTTTTCGACTTCTCCGATTTTTCAATTTCTGCATTTCTCGATTTCTCAATTTTTCTATTCAATTTCGAGTTTTCGATTTCTAAATTTTTCAAACCCTTCAATTTCTCGATTTTTCGATTTCCCTATTTCTGAAGTTTTCAAGTTTTTTTTATTTTCTCAATTTCTCGACTTTGATTTCTAGATTTTCGATTTTTCGATTTCTCAATTTTTCAAACTCTTTAATTTCTCGATTTTCCGATATCTTGGTTTTTAAATTTTCGTTTTCTCCATTTTTCAACTTTTGAGTTTTTGGATTTCTCAATTTCTGGACTTCGATTTCTAGATTTTCGATTTTTCGACGATTCGGTTTTGAAATTTTCAAACTCTTCAATTTTTCGATTTCTCAATTTCTCGATTTTCAATTTTTCGATTTCCCGATTTCTGAAGTTTTAGGTTTTTTTGATTTTCTCAGTTTTTCGATATCTTGATTTTTCGATTTTAAATTTTTTTGATTTTTCAATTATTCGATTTCTCGGTTTTTCGACTTTTCAATTTTTCAATTTCTCCATTTTTCGATTTCTCGACTTTTCGATTTCTCATTTTTTCGAACTCTTCAATTTCTCGTTTTTTCGACGTTTCGATTTTTCAATGATTTGATTTTTGATTTTCTCAATTTTTCGATATCTTGTTTCTTTGACTTTTCAATTTGTCGATTTTTCAATTTTCGAATATCGATTTCTCGGCTTTTCAATTTTTCGATTTTCCAATTTTTCGACTTTTGAGTTTTTCGATTTTTCAATTTCTCCATTTTTCGATTTCTGAAGTTTTCGAGTTTTTTTTTATTTATTTCCTCAATTTTTCAAAATCTTGATTTTTCGATTTTTCGACATTTGAGTTTTCGATTTCTCAATTTCTCGATTTTTCAACTTTTAAGTTTTTCGATTTCTGAAATTTTCAAACTCTTCAATTTTTCGATTTTTCAGTTTTTTGACATTACAATTTTTCTTTTTGAATGTTTCGATTTCTCAATTTCTCGATTTTCAATTTTTCGATTCCACGATTTCTGAAATTTTAAAATTTTTTGATTTTCTCAATTTTTCGATATTTTGAACTTTTCGATGTTTAAATTTTTTGATTTTTCGATTTCTCGGTTTTTCGATTTTTCGATTTCTCGACTTTTAGATTTCTCAATTTCTCGAACTCTTCAATTCCTCGATGTTGCAATTTTTTTGATTTTTGAATGTTTTGATTTTTCGATTTTCAATTTTTCAATTTCCCGATTTCTAAAGTTTTCGACGTTTCGGTTTTTCAGTGATTTCATTTTTGATTTTCTCAATTTTTCGATTTCTAGATTTTCGATTTTTCGACTTCGATTTTTCAATTTCTCCATTTTTCGATTTCTGAATTTTTCATTCTTCAATTTCCCGATTTCTGAAGTTTTCGGGTTTTTTTGATTTTCTCAATTTTTCGATATTTTGATTTTTCGAATTTTCGATATGTCGGTTTTTCAGATTTTTGGTTTTTGAATTTTTAGATTTCTCAATTTCTTGACTTCGATTTCTAGATTTTCGATTTTTCGGTTTCTCGACATCTGAATTTTTCGATTATTCAGTTTTTGAAGTTTTGGATATTTCCATTTTTCGATTTCTCGGTTTTTCGACTTTTCTGATTTTTCAATTTCTCCATTTCACGAATTCTCAATTTTCCTTTTTTTTTATTTTTGAATTTTTCGATTTCTCAGTAATCCCTATTTTTCGACTACGATTACTAGATTTTCGACTTTTCCAATTTTTAAATTTCTCCATTTCTCGATTTCTCAATTTTCCTATTTTTCGACTTCGATTTTTCAATTTTTTAAACCCTTCAATTTCTCGATTTTTTGATTGCCCTATTTCTGAAGTTTTCAAGTTTTTTTGATTTTCTCAATTTTTCGATTTGTCGGTTTTTCAATTTCTCCATTTTTCGATTTTTTAATTTTCCTATTTTTCAACTTCGATTTTTCGATTTCTGCATTTTTCAAACTCTGTAATGTCTCGATTTTCCAATACCTTGGTTTTTCGATTTTTCGACTTCGATTTTTCAATTTCTGCGTTTTTGGATTTCTGAATTTTTCCAATTTCTCGATTTCTGAAGTTTTCGAGTTTTTTTTATTCTTCAGTTTTTCGATATTTTAATTTTTCGATTTCTCAATTTCTCGACTTTGATTTATAGATTTTTGACTTTTCGATTTTTTAATTTTTGGTCTTTTAATTATCTGCATTTTTTTGATTTCTCGATTTTCCGATTTCTCAATATTTCCTATTTTTCAATTTCTGAAATTTTCAAACTCTTTAATTTCTCGATATTTCGATTTCCCGATTTCTGAAGTTTTCGAGTTTTTTTATTTCCTTAATATTTTGATATCTTGATTTTTCGATTTGTCGATTTTTCAATTTTTCAACTTTTGAGTTTTTCGAGTTCTCAATTTCTGGTCTTCGAAAATCTAGAATTTTTCGATATCTTGTTTGACTTTTCAATTTGTAATTTTTCAATTTTTCGATTTCTAGATTTTCGATTTTTCGACTTCGATTTTTCAATTTCTCAATTTTTGGATTTCTCAATTTTTCCAATTTCTCGATTTCTGGAGTTTTCGAGTTTTTTTTATTCTTCAATTTTTCGATTTTTTAATTTTTCGACTTTTAAAGATCTGCATTTTTTTGATTTCCCTATTTTTCAATTTCTCAACTTTTCCTATTTTTCAATTTATGAAATTTTCATACTCTTTAATTCACGATATTTCGATTTCCCGATTTCTGAAGCTTTCGAGTTTTTTTTATTTCCTCAATTTTTTGATATCTTGGTTTTTCGAATTTTCGATTTGTCGATTTTTCAACTTTTGAGTTTTTCGATTTCTGAAAATTTCAAACTTCAATTTTTCGATATCTTGTTTTTTCGGTTTTTCTTTAATTCACGATATTTCGATTTCCCGATTTCTGAAGTTTTCGAGTTTTTTTTATTTCCTCAATTTTTTGATATCTTGGTTTTTCGAATTTTCGATTTGTCGATTTTTCAACTTTTGAGTTTTTCGAATTTTGAAAATTTCAAACTTCAATTTTTCGATTTCTCAATTTTTCGATATCTTGTTTTTTCGGTTTTTCGAGATGTGAATTTTTCGACTTATCGATTTTTCAGATTTTGGAGTTTTGAATATCTCGATTTTTCAACTTTTGAGTTTTTCGATTTCTAGATTTTCGATATTTCGCGAGATTTTTCCCGAGGTCTGAATTTTTAGACTTTTCGATTTCTCAATATTTCCTATTTTTCGACTTCGATTTTCAATTTTTGAATTTTTCAAACTCTTCAGTTTCTCGATATTTTTATATTTCTCAAATTTTCGATATCTTGATATCTTTTTTCAATTTTTCAACTTTTCGATTTCTGAATTTTTCGAGTTTTTTTTATTTCCTCAATATTTTGATATCTTTGTTTTTCGAATTTTTCGATGTGTCGATTTTTCAGTGTTTCGAATTTTCAGATTTTCGATTTATCAATTTCTCGACTTTTCGATATTTCAGTTTTTGGAGTTTGGAATATCTCTATTTTTCAATTTTTCAACTTTTGAATGTTTCGATTTTTTCAATTTCTCGATTTTTTGATTTCCCGTTTTCTGAAGTTTTCGACGTTTCGATTTTTCAATGATTTGATTTTTGATTGTCTCAATTTTTCGATTATCGATTTCTCGGCTTTTCAATTTTTTGATTCTTCAATTTTTCGACTTTTGAGCTTTTCGTTTTCTCAATATCTCGATTTTCCAACTTTTGAGTTTTTCTATTTCTCGATTCGTCTTTTAGACTTTTCGATTTCTCGATTTTTGGACTTTGTTTTCTCGATTTCTCGATTTCTGATTTTTTCAATTTTTTATTTTGCAGATTTTTGGATTTCCCGATTTTTTAAATTATTCAATGTTTCGATTTTTCTATTTTGGGTTTTTCGATTATTTTTTTTTAATTCTCGACAGTTTTTCAATTTCTCGATCTTTCTATGTCTCAACTTTTCGATTTTCCAATTTTTTAATTTTTTGATTGTTCATTTATCCGATTTTACAATTTTTTATTTTTTCAGAAATCCGATCCGATTTCACACGTTCTGCATTTTTCAAAGTTTCAATTCTTAAAAACAAAAAAATTTGGCGTTTTACCATCCCGATAATCAATATACCATGAAACTTTCAGAGAATTCGGTTTGGTAGTTTCGGAGATTGTCTCACAAATCACTAACAGAAGAGGAACAAAAACGAAAAAATGTTAAAAAACCTTCATCAGATGGATCAGATTTTGGCGCGAAAATTTAAATTCGGTCAAGATCGACCATATTCGAAGTGAGGTGACCCTGGTCGAAGTGAAACGATCGTGGCCGAGCATGCGCGCGAATTCAAATTTTCCCGCCAAAAAATGAACCATAACCCCCATTATATAACTTTCACAGTTTCTTAAAATTTTGAAATTATTCTGGGTTTAAATAAAACTCTTTATTGTTCGTTTTCTCTATTTTCGTAGCTTTTTCAGGATTTAGATACAATTTCGTATTAGTGATTTTTCTATATTTTTATTCGTAGTAGAAGATGGAATGTCGTAGGGGCCCAATACTTCCAAGAACATCCACATACAGATTCCAATATATAAAAAATGACATGTTTTAGGTGGACACTTCCTCCAGGAAGCAAAATTTAAAATTTCGATTCATCCTTGATGTCACAGTAATTATCACTACATCACTAACTTTCCTTGACGTAATCTAGCTATAAATAAATTCTGGTCGTATTTTCCTCATATCAGTTACCAGATCATGAATGAAACTGTTCTCCAACTCAATTTTTTTTTCATTCTGGTATTTCTAAAAGTAAATTCCGACCTGACTTAACAAAAATAGGTTTCTAGGGTGTCGTCAAGGGTTTAAAAAATAAAGCGAACTTTACACTCGACAACAGGATGTAAACCCCCTTTATAAGGATTTTTTTTTGTTGAATTTTTGTTTATTTATCAGGATTATCTGATGCCCCACTTCCAAACAAAACCCTATAAATCTTGATTGCAATATCCAGTTTCGAATTAGCCGCAAACCTATTTAAATTTTTCGATAAAGTAATAAAAAAAAAATAACCACTCATAAACCACGTTTATTAGTTGTTGCAACACAGCAAATACTTATCTACGACGATAACTTACACAAAGATGCGTTTACGTTGGAAGTCAGGTGCTCGTCAGTTCGCAAAGCGCGCTTTAGCGTTCGTGACGATCCTCATCGCCTGCCGTTTAGTTAGCATGTTGTCACAACTATTTCGGTGCATATTCGATTTATTAACCAAATACAATTAGCACAAGCGAGACCTTCACACTAAGCAGTCGTCTTGGTTCCAGCGGACGGAAGTCCTCGCCTGGGGAAAGTGCGCAAATTCCACAAGGACCGGCCCGACCACCTGGAGGTGGTGCCGTTCGTGTCGAACGAGAGCGGCTTCGAGGCCGAGATCGATGCTTTCGACACGTCGCTGTCCTCCACGAACGACCAGGAAGAAGTCACCAGGTTGCAGGCCAAAGTCGCCTTTCTCGAACAGGTTTTGGCTCAGCACTCGATACCGGTTCCGAGCGACAACGCGCCGGTAAGTCGAACACTAGCAGTGCTTTGAAAGTGCTGCTTGATTGCGATAAGGTTCAGATTTTATTTTTGTTAATGGTTGTTTTTGTGGAATGGTCGCACTATGAGCTTTATTTATTTTCATGTTCTATGGAGAAGCTTGGGAATTTTTTATCAGTTTTGTGATTTTTAAGTGGTGATTGTTTCTAGTGTTGGTTGCTGGCTCTGGTGCTATCATTTCGAAGCTTCTCCATAACGGTGCAGTCTATTTATTTTTGTATGATTTTAAAAAATAAATGCGCTTTTTAGCTTTTGTTTGTTTTATTTATTTATGGAGAAGCTTCCTTTTGTGTTGTGTGAGTGGAATGGAGTGTGGTACTGAGGTTCCGTTGTTTTTGTGATCCTGCAATGTTTTTCAATCGTTGCGAAATTGGTTTTGCGTCACCTCACCAGATGATTAAAAAACGGAGTCATTCATTATTAGATTACTATCGTATTACTAAACGTGTGGCTAACCGCTGATATTTTTCGCCGAAAAACCACTGAATTTTTGCTGTTTAAAACAAATAAAGCCAATTTTGGATTTTTGATGAAATTAATAATCTTTTCTAGGAATAAAGTCAGATGAAATTCTTGTGAAGGAGTTTGAAGTGGGTTCGCATCACATTTGGGCGGGAAAATTTGAATGAATTGCGCATGTGTGGCAAGTTCGAGTCGATTGACCGAAGTGAGCCGAGCATGCGCGGCAATTCAAATTTTCCCGCCAAAATGTGCAGAACGTGTTTTCACAACAATCAGTCCAGTAGTTTTGCAGAGAAGAAACGAGAGACATACTTTTCCTATTCTAAGATCTATAAAAAGTCGGTCAAGTTAAAGAGTGTATTTCTGGAACAATATCAAGTATTTCACCAAGTTGTCAAAAAGTTGACCAAAAAATCTTTAAAACTAATAAATAAATCAAAAACATAACTTGGAAATACCGAGTCTCGTAAGTGTTTAATTTTTTTTGTCCAGTTGACAACATATTTAAAATTTTGTGATGGCATACCTGACTGAAAATGAAATTTAAGGCACCAGGGTCCTGTCAAAGTTGACAATTGTGAAGTGACATATTAACATGGCTGCGAATAATTCAGAACTACCAACCCAAAAAATTTGCTTTAAGCATTAAGAGTCACCCGGTGTTTCAAAACATCATTAAGACGTTGAGTTTCGCCAGAATTGAACACATATTTTTTTTACTTATTTTATTTCACTTGGTAATTTTTCGTAGAAAAATTCGTATTTTACAATTAAGCTCCGTCCTTCGGCTTACGACGAATAAAAAAAAAATCATCAGAATTGAGACAGGGTGGGTAGGCGGGGCTTATATTTTGTCTTTTTTTTTTAGTTTACACAGCTAGCTTTTCACAATTTTCCATTTTAAACATGTTTTAAATTTCATGTTATGAAAAGAAGTGTAGACATGTTAAAACAAAAAGGCAAAATGTAAGCCCGCCCACCCACCCTGTCTCAATTGTGATGATTTTTTTTATTCGCCGTGAACCAAGAAGGCGGAGCTTAACTGCAAAGTTGTTATTTCTTTACAAGAAATTAAAAACATGTTTTTCAGTATCGGGTTGTTCAAAGAATATTACTATATTAATAAAAAGGAACGAAAATATAAACCCCGCCCACCCACCCCATCTCGATTGTGATGATTTTTTTTATTCTTACAAACTTAAAACACGTCTAAAATTGTAAATTTTTCTAAGGAATGAAAACTTCATTACTATTTAGGGGGGCAAGTATGGGTGGGGTTTAATCTTTGGCTTTAATTTTTTCTTAATATCCATAGCATTTTTTGAATAACCCGATACTTAAAATCATGTTTTTAATTTCTCGTAGAGAAATAAGGATTTTGCAGTTAAGCTCCGCCCTCTTGGCTCACGACGAATAAGAAAAATCATTACAATTGCGATAGGGCGGGTGGGCGGGGTTTATATTTTCCCCTTTCTCTTAAGATACATTGTTGTTTTTTCAGAACAAGGAACTTAAAACATGCTTAAAATGGTAAATTCTTGTAGACAAATATGGATCTTGCCATTAAGCTCCGCCCCTCGATCTAACAACGAATGAAAAACTCATCACAATTGAGAATTGAAATCAATAATTTGGTTTAATCATTATTTATTAGTCAGCAGGTATTTCAGAACATCAATTGAGATAGGGCGGGTGGGCGGGGCTTATATTTTGTCTTTTTTTTTTTTCTTAATATACACAGTCACCTTTTCATAATTTTCCATTTTGAACATGTTTTAAATTTCATGTTATGAAAAGAAGTGTAGACATATTAAACCAAAAGGGCAAAATGTAAGCCCGCCCACCCACCCTGTCTCAATTGTGATGAATTTTTTTATTTGCCGTGAGCAAAGAAGGTGGAGCTTAACTGCAAAATTGTTATTTCTTTACAGGAAATTAAAAACATGTTTTTCAGTATCGTATTGTTCAAAGAATACTACTATACTAAGAAAAAAGAACGAAAATAGAAACCCCGCCCACCCACCCCATCCCGATTCTGATGATTTTTTTTATTCATAGAAATTTAAAACACGTTTCAAATGGTAATTTTTTGTAAGGAATGAAAATTTCATGCCTATTTAGATCGGGGCCGGTATAGGTGGGGTTTAATCTTTGACTTTAATTTTTTCTTAATATACATAGCATTTTTTGAATAACACGCTACTCAAAATCATGTCTTTAATTTCTCGTAGAGAAATAACAATTTTGCAGTTTAGCTCCGCCCTCTTGGCTCACGACGAATAAAAAAAATCATCACAGTGTAGACATGTTAAAACAAAAAGGCAAAATGTAAGCCCGCCCACCCACCCTGTCTCAATTGTGATGATATTTTTTATTCGCCGTGAACCAAGAAGGCGGGGCTTAACTGCAAAATTGTTATTTCTTTACAAGAAATTAAAAACATGTTTTTCAGTATCGGGTTGTTCAAAGAATACTACTATATTAAGAAAAAAGTACGAAAATATAAACCCCGCCCACCCACCCCATCTCGATTGTGATGATTTTTTTTATTCTTAGAAACTTAAAACCGGTTTAAAATTGTAAATTCTTCTAAGGAATGAAAACTTCATTACTATTTAGGGGGGCAGGTATGGGTGGGGTTTAATCTTTGGCTTTAATTTTTTCTTAATATGCATTGCATTTTTTGAATAACACGATACTTAAAATCATGTTTTTAATTTCTCGTAGAGAAATAAGGATTTTGCAGTTAAGCTCCGCCCTCTTGGCTCACGACGAATAAGAAAAATCATTACAATTGCGATAGGGCGGGTGGGCGGGGTTTATATTTTCCCCTTTCTCTTAAGATACATTGTTTTTTCAGAACAAGGAACTTAAAACATGTTTAAAATGGTAAATTCTTGTAGACAAATATGGATCTTGCCATTAAGTTCCGCCCCTCGATCTGACAACGAATGAAAATTTCATCACAATTGAGAATTGATATCAAAAATTTGGTTTAATCATTAATAATCAGCCGGTGTTTCAGAACATCATTGGGACATTAAGTTTCGCCAGAATTGAAGATATTTTTTTTATTTCCCGTGGTAATTTATTGTAGAAAAATAAGTATTTTATAATTAAGCTCCGTCTCTCAGCTTACGACGAATACAAAAAAGTATCAGAATTGAGATAGGGCGGGTGGGCGGGGCTTATATTTTGTGCTTTTTTTTTGTTAATATACATAGCCACCTTTTCACAACAAGAAACTTAAAACATGGTTAAAATGGTACATTTTTGCAAGGAAATATGAATTTTGCAATCCTGGGGCGGAGCATAATTGCAAAATTGATATTTCCTTATACAAATTTTCCATTTTAAACATGTTTTAAGTTTCATCTTGTGAAAAGTCTACAGATATTAAAATAAAAAGACAAAATGTAAGCCCGCCCACCCGCCCCATCTCGTTTGTGTTGATTATTTTCTATTCGCCGTGAACCAAGGGGGCGGAGCTTAACTGCAAAATAGTTATATCTTTACATGAAATTAAAAACATGTTGTTGAGTATCGGGTTGTTAAAAAAATACTGTGTACATTAAGAAAAAAGGCAAAATATTGACCCCGCCCACCCACCCGATCTGAATTGTGATGATTTTTTTATTCTGAGACACTTAAAAACACGTTTAAAGTAGTAATTTTTTGTAAGAAATAAAAACTTCATTTCCGTTTAGATTTTGAGCTTAATCTTTGGCTTTAATTTTTTTTAATATACATATTTTTTTTTTAATAACACGATACTCAAAAACATTCTTACATGGTAATTTCTTGGAGAGAGAAAATAACGATTTTGCAATTAAATTCCACCCCTTTGACTCACGACGAATAAAAAAAATCGTCACAATTGAGGGAGGGTGGGTGGGCGGGGCTTATATTTTCCTTTCTTTCTTAATATACATAGCCGTCTTTTCACAATAAGAAACTTAAAACATGTTTAAAATGGTAAATTCTTGTAGACAAATTTGGATCTTGCTATTAAGCTCCACCCCTCGATCTGACAACGAATGAAAATTTTATCACAATTGAGAATTGAGATCAAAAATTTGGTTTAATAATTAATAGTCAGCCGGTATTTCAGAACATCATTGGGGCACTGAGTTTTGCCAGAATTGAAGACATTTTTTTTTATGGTAATTTCTCGTAGAAAAATAAGTATTTTAGAATTAAGCTCCGTCCCTTGGCTTACGACGAATACAAAAAAAATCATTAAGATTGAGAAAGGGTGGGCGGGCGGGGCTTATATTTTGTCTTTTTTTTTCTTAATATCCAAACCACCTTTTCACAACAAGAAACTTAAAATGGTACATTTTTGCAAAGAAATATAAATTTTGCAATCATTGGCCGGAGTCTAATTGCAAAATCGATATTTGTTGATACAAATTTTCCATTTTAAATGTTTTAAGTTTGATGGTGTGAAAAGAAGTCTACATCATATTAAAAGACAAAAAGGCAAAATGTAAACCCGCCCACCCACCCTGTCTCAATTGTGATGACTTTTTTATTCACCGTGAACCAAGGAGGCGGAGCTTAACTGCAAAATAGTTATTTCTTTACAAGAAATTAAAAACATGTTTTTCGGTATCGGATTGTTCAAAGAATGCTGTCTATATAAAAAATAACGAAAATATTAACCCCGCCCACCCACCCCACCTCAATTATGATGATTTTTTTATTCTTAGAAACTTAAAACACGTTTCAAAAGGTAAATTTGTTTAAGGAATGAAAATTTCATGACTATTTGGATCGGGTTAGGTATGGGTGGGGCTTAATGTTTGACTAATTTTTTCTTAATATAAATATGACTTTTTGAATAACACGATACTGAAAATCATGTTTTTAATTTCTCGTAGAGAAGTAAGCTCCGCCCCCTTAGCTCACGACGAATAAAAGCAATCATCACAATTGAGACAGGGCGGGTGGGCGGGGCTTATATTTTCCCTTTTTTCTTAATATACATTGTCGTCTTTTCACAACAAGAAACTTAAAACATGTTTCCTTACAAGAAATGAAAAACATATTCTTGAGTATCGGGTTGGTTCAAGAATACTATGTATATTAAGAAAAACATCGAAAATATAGACCCCGCCCACCCACCCCATCGCAATTGTAATTATTTTTTTCTATTGTTATGTATTTGTTATTTGTGATTTATTTGTCAGGTTGGCAACATATCTAAAATTTTATAGTCGCATACTTAACTGTCGAAATGAAATTTAAGGCACCAGGGCTCCTGTCAAAGTTGACAACAGCTGCCAATAATTCAGAACTACCTACGTAAAAATTTGCTTCAGTCACTCGATAACTGTTCTATTCTTCTAGTGAAATCCTCACTCTAATGAAAGTAAAATTTTAAGATCCCCAAAATGTCTAAAATGTCAATGTAAGGTGTCAAAACGGCAAAAAACGTAAACCCAAAAACATCAGTCAGTTGCGTCAAAATGTAGTCTCTTGGTGGAAAAGTTTGAGATTTAATTTTTGAAAGGTAAACTAAACCCTAAATATTTTGCCACTAAGTCCAGGAAACCCCTGCATGGATATTTTTAAGTCGCGTCCTTTGTCCCACTTCTCTGACCAAGCGTGTTTTACTCTGTCGTTAGGAAAACGCCCCACTTGAAACACTAAACGATCTGAAAACCAGGGTACAAGAACTGGAAAAACTCTTCACCAACTTATCCGAAGTCAGTAAAATGATAAACAAAAATGGCCTAACTTGTGATAACTTAAAGAGCGTAGGCGACAAACTCCACTTGCTTTTAACCGGCCTTAACCAAGACAAAATGTACACCGACACTTGCACCGAAACCGACCCCGCTCCATCGTTCGAAGAAGCCATCAAGCAATACGAAGAAGAAAACAAAACCCTCCAGTCCAAGTGCTCGGAGCTCGAGAACTGCGTCGAACTCCTCCGCAACGAGTACGAGAAGTGCGAAGACTACTGGCAGTGCAAGCTCGAAGAAGAGCGCCAGATCTTCGAGCAAGAACAGAGCCAAAGCAGCGAGAAACTCGCCGACTTGATCAACAAAATGGCGGAGTACGAGGAGCAGTTCGCCAATCAAGACACAGTGGACAATCGGCTTCCACCAATCGAGGAAACGTATAACCTAGAGAAGCAGTTCACGGACTTGGAGCAAGAATTCGAAGATTATAAGATCCAGAGCGAGAACGAATTGTTCAAACGCGACGAAGAAATCTCCATTTTGAAGCAAAAATTGACAGAACTGGCTGTCAAAAGCGACGGGAGCGAAGTCGGGGTGCAAGTGAACGAGTTGGACGAGAACACGCGGATCAGCAACAAGATGAGCAACCTGTCGCTGTGTATGGTAGAGTCGACGAATTTGTTCTCGGCGGATGCTATGCCGGTGGCGTGGTCACCGGAGTCGTCGAAGAAGTCGGAGGAGTGTGACCCGAACTTCGTGTGGAACAAGGAGGCGAAGAGCGACGGGAACTCCACGGGGACGTCGTTGTCGTGGCAGAACGGGCAACCGTCGACGTCGAACTCGTCGACTTTGGAGAAAAACGCGACTCCGTGTAGACCGAAGAGGACGAGAAAGCACGAAAGGAATAATTGTTTGTACAGGAAGAATAGCCAGGAGGTGAAGAAGGGCGAAGATGGGTTTGTGCGGAGGGAGGAGCAGATGGTTACGTTACCTGTAAGTACGATACATGGGTTGAATGGGCGGCTGCACCATTTGGAACAGAGGTGTAGGCAGCTGCAGATGGTGCTCAAACAGCAGCACTTCTACACTGAGCAGACCCTACAGCGTAAGTGTGCACTGTGTGTGTGGTCGGTTTTGATTGGTTTGATTTGGGTTTGTTTGTTTTGTTTTATAGAGTGCAGGCAGCACCACAGAGGGGAAAAGGCGGAGCTGCAATGTATCGTAAGAGGTCACCAAGAGAAGTTAGATCAGCAAGTCAGGATTTGTAATGATCAGTTGGAGAGGTTGGCGCGGGCCGATATGCTGGTGAAGGACCTCTACGTGGAAAATTCGTATTTAATTGCTAAAGTACAAAGACTCGAACAACAGTGTCATATTTTGGCGCAGTGTAACTCAAATAGTAGTTCGGTGTAGTCGTGGCCTATTACACGAGTAAATGCCTATTAAAGAATTTAATTCTTTTACTAAAGTGGTATAGTTGACTCTATTTTCGAAAGACTAAAAATTACACTTAAATCTATCTATGTGAGATTTTGTATATTATTGTATAAGTTAAGTCGTTACAAAGTGAGGTTATGAACATAGTTGAACCTGAGTAGGCGACACTTGTAATAAGTCAAGAACTACGAGCATGTTATGGGTTGTTTATTTTTTTTTTTACAATGTACTTTTGTTACATATCACTTATTTTAATTTATCCAAAGAATTTTTTAAAATAATCAGTATCTAGTTTATTGCTGTTAATCATACTGGTTAATACTAATTTTTAAAAGTGTCATATTATCAATAAAGACCTGAAAAATACCCACCCCCCATTTAAAAAAACAACCACACTTAACGAAAATATATTTGTTCTAACCTATCAATATACAAAACCATTACAAAAGATGTGTAAATACTAAAAATATACCGAATGATTTCTTACTGTAAAAACATCCAACAGTCACGATAAAATATAAATGCATAAAATCCGAAAAAACAAACTATGATCATCCTATTATATACACTATCTTTTGAACAATATGCTCAATACCCCTACAAGTACATCCCGTTGACTAAATAGTCTGCATCGTGGGCGTAGCTCTTACCCCCCTTTCTCATTCGTCGCCTTACTCTCAGACGACAACCAATCAAAAGCGCCATTATACAAGTATGTCAACGAATAAAAACTTCATTACTATTTAAATCGGGGCAGGTATGAGTGGGGCTTCATCTTTGCCTTTAATTTTTTCTTAATATACATAGCATTCTTTGAATAATACGATACTCAAAAACATGTCTTACATGGTAATTTCTTGTAGAGAAATAATAACGATTTTGCAATTAAATTCCGCTCCTTTGGCTCTAGACGTTAAAAAAAATCATCACAATTGAGATAGGGTGGGTGGGCGGGGCTTATATTTTCCTTTTTTCTTAGTATATACATAGTCGTTTTTCACAACAAGAAACTTAAATCGTGTTTAAAATCATAAATTCTTGTAAATATGTATCCTGCAATTAAGCTCCGCCCCTCGATCTGACAACGAATAAAAAATTCATCACAATTCAGAATTGAGATCAAAAATTTGGTTTAATCGTTAATAGTCAGCCAGTATTTCAGAACATCATTGAAACATTGAGTTTCGCCAGAATTGACTACATTTTTTTATTACTTTTACTTATATTTTGTTTTTCTTTTTCTTAATAGCCACCTTTTCACAAAAAAAAAAAACTTAAAACATCAATCATGGGGCAAAATCGATATTTCCTTATACAAATTTTTCATTTTAAACATGTTTTAAGTTTCATGTTGTCAAAAGTATTCAGAGTAAAAAGACAAAAAGACAAAATGTAAGCCCACCCACCCACCCTGTCTCAATTGTGATGACTTTTTTATTCGCCGTGAACCAAATGGGCAAACTGCAAAATACTTATTTTTTTACAAGAAACTAAAAACATGTTTTTGAGTATCGGGTTGTGCAAAGAATACAATGTATGTTAAAAAAAAAGCGAAAATATAGAACCCGCCCACCCACCCAATCGCAATTGTAATTATTTTTTTTTTATTGTTATGTATTTGTTATTTGTGATTTATTTGTCAGGTTGGCAACATATCTAAAATTTTAAAGTCGCATACCTGACTGTCGGAATGAAATTTAAGGCACCAGGGCTCCTGTCAAAGTTGACAACAGCTGCCAATAATTCAGAACTACCAACGCAAAAATTACACTTAAATCTATCTATGTGAGATTTTGTATATTATTGTATAAGTTAAGTCGTTACAAAGTGAGGTTATGAACATAGTTGAATCTGAGTAGGCGACACTTGTAATAAGTCAAGAACTACGAGCATGTTATGGGTTGTTTATTTTTTTTTTACAATGTACTTTTGTTACATATCACTTATTTTACTTTATCCAAAGAATTTTTTAAAATAATCAGTATCTAGTTTATTGCTGTTAATCATACTGGTTAATACTAATTTTTAAAAGTGTCATATTATCAATAAAGACCTGAAAATTACCCACCCCCCATTTAAAAAAACAACCACACTTAACGAAAATATATTTGTTCTAACCTATCAATATACAAAACCATTACAAAAGATGTGTAAATACTAAAAATATACCGAATGATTTCTTACTGTAAAAACATCCAACAGTCACGATAAAATATAAATGCATAAAATCCGAAAAAACAAACAATGATCATCCTATTATATACACTATCATTTGAACAATATGCTCAATACCCCTACAAGTACATCCCGTTGACTAAATAGTCTGCATCGTGGGCGTAGCTCTTACCCCCCTTTCTCATTCGTCGCCTCACTCTCAGACGACAACCAATCAAAAGCGCCATTATACAAGTATGTCAACGAATAAAAACTTCATTACTATTTAAATCGGGGCAGGTATGAGTGGGGCTTCATCTTTGCCTTTAATTTTTTCTTAATATACATAGCATTCTTTGAATAATACGATACTCAAAAACATGTCTTACATGGTAATTTCTTGTAGAGAAATAATAACGATTTTGCAATTAAATTCCGTTCCTTTGGCTCTAGACGTTAAAAAAAATCATCACAATTGAGATAGGGTGGGTGGGCGGGGCTTATATTTTCCTTTTTTCTTAGTATACATAGTCGTTTTTCACAACAAGAAACTTAAATCGTGTTTAAAATCATAAAGTCTTGTAAATATGTATCCTGCAATTAAGCTCCGCCCCTCGATCTGACAACGAATAAAAAATTCATCACAATTCAGAATTGAGATCAAAAATTTGGTTTAATCGTTAATAGTCAGCCAGTATTTCAGAACATCATTGAAACATTGAGTTTCGCCAGAATTGACTACATTTTTTTATTACTTTTACTTATATTTTGTTTTTCTTTTTCTTAATAGCCACCTCTTCACAAAAAAAAAAAACTTAAAACATCAATCATGGGGCAAAATCGATATTTCCTTATACAAATTTTTCATTTTAAACATGTTTTAAGTTTCATGTTATCAAAAGTATTCAGAGTAAAAAGACAAAAAGACAAAATGTAAGCCCACCCACCCACCCTGTCTCAATTGTGATGACTTTTTTATTCGCCGTGAACCAAATGGGCAAACTGCAAAATACTTATTTTTTTACAAGAAACTAAAAACATGTTTTTGAGTATCGGGTTGTGCAAAGAATACAATGTATATTAAAAAAAAAAGCGAAAATATAGACCCTGCCCACCCACCCGATCGCAATTGTAATTAATTTTTTTTTATTGTTATGTATTTGTTATTTGTGATTTATTTGTCAGGTTGGCAACATATCTAAAATTTTAAAGTCGCATACCTGACTGTCGGAATGAAATTTAAGGCACCAGGGCTCCTGTCAAAGTTGACAACAGCTGCCAATAATTCAGAACTACCAACGCAAAAATTACACTTCAATCTATCTATGTGAGATTTTGTATATTATTGTATAAGTTAAGTCGTTACAAAGTGAGGTTATGAACATAGTTGAACCTGAGTAGGCGACACTTGTAATAAGTCAAGAACTACGAGCATGTTATGGGTTGTTTATTTTTATTTTTTTTTACAATGTACTTTTGTTACATATCACTTATTTTACTCTATCCAAAGAATTTTTAAAAATAATCAGTATCTAGTTTATTGCTGTTAATCATACTGGTTAATACTAATTTTTAAAAGTGTCATATTATCAATAAAGACCTGAAAAATACCCACCCCCCCCATTTAAAAAAACAACCAAACTTAACGAAAATATATTTGTTCTAACCTATCAATATACAAAACCATTACAAAAGATGTGTAAATACTAAAAATATACCGAATGATTTCTTACTGTAAAAACATCCAACAGTCACGATAAAATATAAATGCATAAAATCCGAAAAAACAAACTATGATCATCCTATTATATACACTATCTTTTGAACAATATGCTCAATACCCCTACAAGTACATCCCGCTGACTAAATAGTCTGCATCGTGGGCGTAACTCTTACCCCCCTTTCTCATTCGTCGCCTCACTCTCAGACGACAACCAATCAAAAGCGCCATTATACAAGTATGTCAACGAATAAAAACTTCATTACTATTTAAATCGGGGCAGGTATGAGTGGGGCTTCATCTTTGCCTTTAATTTTTTCTTAATATACATAGCATTCTTTGAATAATACGATACTCAAAAACATGTCTTACATGGTAATTTCTTGTAGAGAAATAATAACGATTTTGCAATTAAATTCCGCTCCTTTGGCTCTAGACGTTAAAAAAAATCATCACAATTGAGATAGGGTGGGTGGGCGGGGCTTATATTTTCCTTTTTTTCTTAGTATACGTAGTCGTTTTTCACAACAAGAAACTTAAATCGTGTTTAAAATCATAAATTCTTGTAAATATGTATCCTGCAATTAAGCTCCGCCCCTCGATCTGACAACGAATAAAAAATTCATCACAATTCAGAATTGAGATCAAAAATTTGGTTTAATCGTTAATAGTCAGCCAGTATTTCAGAACATCATTGAAACATTGAGTTTCGCCAGAATTGACTACATTTTTTTATTACTTTTACTTATATTTTGTTTTTCTTTTTCTTAATAGCCACCTTTTCACAAAAAAAAAATTGGTCTAAAGAGTTTACTTCCCTCGCTGTCGGAAACTTGACGACTGCATGCCTATTGTGTTTTTTTTTCTCATTACATTTTTGTAGTGGGAATTTAAAAAAAAATTGTGATGACGTCATCAACGTTTTTGCAAGGACACGTATATCAGTTGGGATAGATGTAGTGTAATACTAAGAATAAAATTATTGTATTCCCAAATTTTCGGGAAAATGAATTGGGTCGTTTTGAATATTGATTTCTTATAATCAATCAAATAACGAAACAATTTACTCAGGTATACGGCGCCGGTGTGGAATATCTAGAGAGCGGATTTCTGTCGGGCTAGGCAAGGCCAAACTCGGTACGGCTCGTACGGGATGCGAATTCATTGCGGTTGCGGACTGCACTTCGTTTATTTGAGATTAGAATAACGCTGTTTCGTTGCACTCTGCTGTTAATTCCCGTTCTCATTTACTTAGCCGTTTGATTAATAAATCGTTAATTATATTTATGGAATTAGTACTGATTAAATTCAGTGATTATCTATCACCCGCTACTGAGTCCCGGCGATCCAGCGCGTCCCCACCTATAATCGTGACGTAGCCCGACAAAAATCCGCTGTCTAGTAATATGAAAGGCAACTGAAAATCGTTTATGTATAAACATTCTTAATTTAAGATGACAAGCGTAACAGCATACGTGAGAGTCAAACAGAGAAACTGTAAACAAAACGACCATCGGTTTTATTGCTTCGACTTCCACTTATTATATAAAACATTGGGTTTTATTTTAATTCTTGACGGTGAAATTCACAATTGGTTGATTATAAACATGTCTATTTCACATTCGCGGAACCAAGTGAGCGCATAAAACAAATGCAGGTCTGTAATGTTAAAGTCGATGTAAATAAGCGTGCTACCCTTATGTTTCAACCGAGTTTTTCCTTTAACAAATTTTGTGTCTACCAAATTGGGTTGGTTGGGGTGTAATACTAATAATAAGTGTTGCCTTTAATTTAATCAATAAAATAAATTGACTTCATTAATTTTTTTGAACCACCTCTTAAGAAAATCTAAAAAATATGAATGGAATGATAAATCACAAGTACAAACTCATCATATTTTTTGCATTTTAGATAGGATTTATTAAGCAAAATTTAAGGGTGACGTCATCAATTTTTTTAGGAGGGATGAGCACATACATTTTGAACAAAAGTTTACCATGCTTATAATAACTTTAAAATATTCCCAAGATTTCAAAGCATTCGGTTTTGTAATTCCTGAATAAATCGATAAAATAAATTCACGCCTTCATTAATTTTTTTGAGTCACCCTGCATATGCAAATCCAAAAAATATGAATGGAATGATAAATCACAAGTACAGACTCATCATATTTTGTACATTTTAGATACAATTTATTCGGCAAACTTTTGAGCTGACGTCATCAGTTTTTTGTAGAAGATAACCAAATATATTTTGACTAAAAATTTATTCTGCTCTTTATAACCTTAAAACATCTGCAAGATTTCAAAGCATTCGGTTTTGTAGTTCCTGATTAAATCAATAAAATAAATTTACGCATTCATTAATTTTTTTGAGTCACACTGTATATGCAAATCGAAAAAATTTGAATGGAATGATAAATCACAAGAAGAGACTCATCATATTTTGTACATTTTAGATAGGGATGTATTCAGCAAAATTTTGTGGTGACGTCATAATTTTTTTAGGGGGGACGACCAAATACATTTTGATCAAAAATTTACGATGCTTATGATAATTTTAAAATATCTTCAAGATTTCGAAGCATTCGGTTTTGTAGTTCCTGAGTAAATCAGTAAAATAAATTTACGCTTTCATTTATTTTTTTGAATCACCCTGTATATGCAAATCCAAAAAATATGAATGGAGTGATAGATCACAAGTACAGACTGATCATATTTTGTACATTTTAGATATGATTTATTCGGCAAATTTTAGAGCTGACGTCATCAAGTTTTTGGAGGGGATAAGCAAATATATTTTGACTAAACATTTATTATGCTCTTTATGACCTTAAAACATCTGCAAGATTTCAGAGCATTCCGTTTTGTAGTTCCTGATTAAATCAATAAAATATATTTACGCATTCATTAATTTTTTTGAGTCACTCTGTATATGCAAATCCAAAAAATATGAATGGAGTGATAAATGACAAGTACAGACTCATCATATTTTTACAGTTTAGATAGGATTTATTCGGCAAACTTTCGAGCTGACGTCATCAATTTTTTGGAGGGGATAAGCAAATATTTTTTGACTAAAGATTTATGATGCTCTTTATAACCTTAAAACATCTGCAAGATTTCAAAGCATTCTGGTTAGCAGATTAAAAATTAAATTTCAAAATGTTGTTTTATAATTTTGATTTTTTTTCCAAAAATCTGGACGTTTCGTGTGAAAAGTCGATTCAGAGTTGTAAACTACATGTGTAGGACTATGTTATTTTATACAATTGAAAACCCATTTACTATGTACAATTTTGAAGTGACGTCATCGCATTAGTGGTGGGGATGATTAGACAAATTTTGGTTAGCGTTTTACCATCTACATGATATTCTTAATATAAGTACAAAATTTCACAACAATCGGTCGAGTACTTTCGGAGATTATCTGTGTAATAAAAATCCGGGACATCAGACGGACAGACGGACGGACAGACGGACAGACGGACAGACAGACGGACAGACGGAAATGGGAGACCTATTTCTTCGTCTTCTATGGGTCATGAAAGATCGAGAAAACGTAAAAGTAGCGAGTCGGCCGACGGACTCGATTACAATACTTCCTTTGCTTACGCTCGGGAAGTAAAAAACTTAAAACATCAATCATGGGGCAAAATCGATATTTCCTTATACAAATTTTTCATTTTAAACATGTTTTAAGTTTCATGTTGTCAAAAGTATTCAGAGTAAAAAGACAAAAAGACAAAATGTAAGCCCACCCACCCACCCTGTCTCAATTGTGATGACTTTTTTATTCGCCGTGAACCAAATGGGCAAACTGCAAAATACTTATTTTTTTACAAGAAACTAAAAACATGTTTTTGAGTATCGGGTTGTGCAAAGAATACAATGTATATTAAAAAAAAAGCGAAAATATAGACCCCGCCCACCCACCCAATCGCAATTGTAATTAATTTTTTTTTTATTGTTATGTATTTGTTATTTGTGATTTATTTGTCAGGTTGGCAACATATCTAAAATTTTGAAGTCGCATACCTGACTGTCGGAATGAAATTTAAGGCACCAGGGCTCCTGTCAAAGTTGACAACAGCTGCCAATAATTCAGAACTACCAACGCAAAAATTACACTTAAATCTATCTATGTGAGATTTTGTATACTATTGTATAAGTTAAGTCGTTACAAAGTGAGGTTATGAACATAGTTGAACCTGAGTAGGCGACACTTGTAATAAGTCAAGAACTACGAGCATGTTATGGGTTGTTTATTTTTTTTTTTTTTACAATGTACTTTTGTTACATATCACTTATTTTACTTTATCCAAAGAATTTTTAAAAATAATCAGTATCTAGTTTATTGCTGTTAATCATACTGGTTAATACTAATTTTTAAAAGTGTCATATTATCAATAAAGACCTGAAAAATACCCACCCCCCATTTAAAAAAACAACCACACTTAACGAAAATATATTTGTTCTAACCTATCAATATACAAAACCATTACAAAAGATGTGTAAATACTAAAAATATACCGAATGATTTCTTACTGTAAAAACATCCAACAGTCACGATAAAATATAAATGCATAAAATCCGAAAAAACAAAATATGATCATCCTATTATATACACTATCTTTTGAACAATATGCTCAATACCCCTACAAGTACATCCCGTTGACTAAATAGTCTGCATCGTGGGCGTTGCTCTTACCCCCCTTTCTCATTCGTCGCCTCACTCTCAGACGACAACCAATCAAAAGCGCCATTATACAAGTATGTCAACGAATAAAAACTTCATTACTATTTAAATCGGGGCAGGTATGAGTGGGGCTTCATATTTGCCTTTAATTTTTTCTTAATATACATAGCATTCTTTGAATAATACGATACTCAAAAACATGTCTTACATGGTAATTTCTTGTAGAGAAATAATAACGACTTTGCAATTAAATTCCGCTCCTTTGGCTCTAGACGTTAAAAAAAATCATCACAATTGAGATAGGGTGGGTGGGCGGGGCTTATATTTTCCTTTTTTCTTAGTATACATAGTCGTTTTTCACAACAAGAAACTTAAATCGTGTTTAAAATCATAAATTCTTGTAAATATGTATCCTGCAATTAAGCTCCGCCCCTCCATCGGACAACGAATAAAAAATTCATCACAATTCAGAATTGAGATCAAAAATTTGGTTTAATCGTTAATAGTCAGCCAGTATTTCAGAACATCATTGAAACATTGAGTTTCGCCAGAATTGACTACATTTTTTTATTACTTTTACTTATATTTTGTTTTTCTTTTTCTTAATAGCCACCTTTTCACAAAAAAAAAACTTAAAACATCAATCATGGGGCAAAATCGATATTTCCTTATACAAATTTTTCATTTTAAACATGTTTTAAGTTTCATGTTGTTAAAAGTATTCAGAGTAAAAAGACAAAAAGGCAAAATGTAAGCCCACCCACCCACCCTGTCTCAATTGTGATGACTTTTTTATTCGCCGTGAACCAAATGGGCAAACTGCAAAATACTTATTTTTTTACAAGAAACTAAAAACATGTTTTTGAGTATCGGGTTGTGCAAAGAATACAATGTATATTAAAAAAAAAGCGAAAATACAGATCCCGCCCACCCACCCAATCGCAATTGTAATTATTTTTTTTTTATTGTTATGTATTTGTTATTTGTGATTTATTTGTCAGGTTGGCAACATATCTAAAATTTTAAAGTCGCATACCTGACTGTCGGAATGAAATTTAAGGCCCCAGGGCTCCTGTCAAAGTTGACAACAGCTGCCAATAATTCAGAACTACCAACGCAAAAATTACACTTAAATCTATCTATGTGAGATTTTGTATATTATTGTATAAGTTAAGTCGTTACAAAGTGAGGTTATGAACATAGTTGAACCTGAGTAGGCGACACTTGTAATAAGTCAAGAACTACGAGCATGTTATGGGTTGTTTATTTTTTTTTTACAATGTACTTTTGTTACATATCACTTATTTTAATTTATCCAAAGAATTTTTAAAAATAATCAGTATCTAGTTTATTGCTGTTAATCATACTGGTTAATACTAATTTTTAAAAGTGTCATATTATCAATAAAGACCTGAAAACTACCCACCCCCCATTTAAAAAAACAACCACACTTAACGAAAATATATTTGTTCTAACCTATCAATATACAAAACCATTACAAAAGATGTGTAAATACTAAAAATATACTGAATGATTTCTTACTGTAAAAACATCCAACAGTCACGATAAAATATAAATGCATAAAATCCGAAAAAACAAACTATGATCATCCTATTATATACACTATCTTTTGAACAATATGCTCAATACCCCTACAAGTACATCCCGTTGACTAAATAGTCTGCATCGTGGGCGTAGCTTTTACCCCCTTTTCTCATTCGTCGCCGCACCCTCAGACGACAACCAATCAAAAGCGCCATTATACAAGTAATAATGAGTCCTAAGGTAAGTGACAACACGGCTCCACTAGCCGTTTCCGAAACACCGTCCTCCACGTCCGGAGGACCGTCCATCTTGTAAGCCACCACGTCCGGGTAATGCTCGCTTTTATGTTTCTCGATTTTTATTTTCGGCTCGTGCTCGGGCTCTTTCTGGGTCGTGGTCTGGGTGGAGTGCTTCAACTCGTGGGCCATTTTTTCCTGGACGTGGATCGGGTTTTCTTTACTGGTTTTCTGGATATGATCCGTGGTTGTCGCTTTGGCTCCCTCTGGAAAGCAAAATCAGTTTGGGGTTGGTTTCGGGTTGTGGTTTACCGATAGGCGCGCTTTCTGGGTGCCAGTCTTTACTGTTGCCGCTCTCCGGCGGGTACCCGTTGAACGGGAAATCGTCAGGCCAGTTTTCTTGTTGCAGCGGCTGCCTATAATTCTCGTAATAGTTCACTTTGGGATTGTACTGATCGCCGTATTGCATCTGACTGAAATTGGAATTTAGCACCATTACTCCTCGATTTAGTCTCCGAGTGTCTAAAAACGCGCTAAAGTGTTCGTTGTTTTAGTGAGGAAGAAAGCTATCCAAGTATCATAGTTAAAATATTTACACTGTTGTAGTAGATAGATGGACAAGGCATCTAACTGTTGCATTGTTTTCAAAGCTAATTTCTATGTGCATTTGACTAAAGCGGGTTCGCTCAATTAAGAATGGGCGTGGGAAGCGCTCCCAGGGTTTGCCGTTTCTTAGTTAAGCGAATGAAGTCGGTGAGTATAGAAGGTATAGAAAGCCACAAGTAAGTATCTATTGCATGTTCGTTTGACGTGCATGGTGCTGTGCTATTCTACCGTTTGGATAGCCGTCTCACCCTGCGCTCGAGTATCCCAGAGCGCGATGCAAATACTGCATCGCTCCCTTATATTTATTATACCTGATCTCTTGCCCATCAGGCACTTGCAGGCCGTGCTCCTTGTGGTTGAAAATATGACTATTTTTGTCTGAAAAGCAAAGTCACGCTGTAATAAAGCCACAGTCAATCAGTACACAAAGTAAGTCGAACTCTGTCCGACGAGGCGGATTCATCAACCACACATATAGTGTTTTCTAATAAAATTTAAATCGTATTTGCTTTGCAAAATTTTTATCATCAAATTGTTGGCGGGGATGGTCAGACGAATTTTGATTAACTTTGTCCCATGTACACGATATCCCTAAAATACATCTAAAATTTCACTTCAATGAGACGACAGACAGACTAAGAAGGAAGACCTACTTTCTCAAACACTAGGGGTTAGGAAACGCTCGAAAACTAAAGGTTGATGTATAAACTTGTCGCTGACGTTGCTGTTTGTAGGAAAGTATCAATTTTGCAATTAGGCTCCACCTCTCGGTCTAACGACGAATGAAAAACTCATCACGACTGAGATCGAAACGGATGGGTGGGGCTTCTCTTCTGGTTTTCTTTTTTGGTTAACACATTTAGTTTTCTTTGTATAACACGATTACTTAAGAACATGTGTCACATGAAGCGGAACGTAATTGCAAAATCGATATTTCCATATTTTAAACATGTTTTAAGTTTCATGTTGTGAAAAGAAGTCTACACATTTTAAAACAAAAAGGCAAAATATATGCCCCGCCCACCCACCCTGTCTCAATTGTTATGATTTTTTATATTCACTGTGAATCAAGAGGGGCGGAGCTTAACTGCAAAATTGTTATTTCTTTACAAGAAATTAATAACATGTTTTTGAATATCGGGTTGTACAAAGAATACTGTGTATATTAAGAGAAAAAACGAGAAATAACCCCGCCCACCCACCCCATCTCAATTCTGATGATTTTTTTTATTCTTAGAAAACTAAAACACGTTTGAAATAGTAAATTCTTGCAAGGAAATATGGATTTTGCAATTGGCTCCGCCCCTAAGTCTGTCAACGAATAAAAACTTCATTTATATTTAGATCGGGGCAGGTATGGGTGGGGCTTCATCTTTGGTTTAAATTTTTTCTTAATATATGTAGTATTCTTTGAATAACACAATACTCAAAAACACGTCTTACATGGTAATTTCTTGTAGAGAAATAATAACGATTTTGCAATTAAATTCCGCTCCTTTGGATCTAGACGTTTAAAAAAAATTCATCACCATTGAGATAGGGGGTGGGGGGTGGGCGGGCCTTATATTTTCCCTTTTTACTTAATATAAGTAGTCGTCTTTTTAGCACAAGAATCTTAAAACATGGTAAATTATTGTTGAAAAATGTGGGTCTTGCAATTAAGCTCCGCCCCTCGACCTGACAACGAATAAAAAATTCATCACAATTGAGAATTAAGATTAGGGCGGGATGGGTGTAGCCTAATCTTTGGCTTTATTTTTTCTTTAATATACATAATATTCTTTGAATAACACGTTACTTATTTCTCGTAGAGAAATGAGGATTTTGCAGTTAAATTCCGCCCCCTTGGCTCACGACGAATAAAAAAATCATCACAATTGAGATAGGGCGGGAGGGTGGGGCATATATTTTGCCTTTTTTTTTCCCTTAATATACATAGCCATCCATTTCCATTTTAGACATGTTTTAAGTTTCATGTTGTGAAAAGAAGTCTACATCATATTAAAAGACAAAAAGACAAAATGTAAGCCCGCCCACCCACCCTATCTCAATTGTGATCATTCTTTTTATTCGTAGAAACTCAAAACACGTTTAAAATGATAAATTTTTGTAAGGAAACATGGATTTTGCAATTAGGCTCCGCCCATAGGTCTACCAACGAATGAAAACTTCATTACTATTTAGGTCGGGGCTTAATTTTGGGCTTTAATTTTTTCTTAATATACATAGTATTCTTTGAATAACATAGTACTCAAAAACATGTCCCACATGGTAATTTCTTGTAGAGAAATAATGATTAAAAAAATCATCACAATTGAGATAGGGCGGGTGGGCGGGGCATATATTTTTCCTTTTTTCTTAATATACGTAGGCGTCTTTATAGAACAAGAATCTTAAAACATGTTAAAAGCGGTAAATTCTGGTAGACAAATATCGATCTTGCAATTAAGCCCCGCCCCTCGACCTGACAATGAATGAAAAATTCTTCACGGTTGAGAATTGAGATCGGGGCGGGTATGGGTGGGGCCTAATCCCTTGTTTTATTTTTCTCTTAATATACATAATATTCTTTGAATAACACGATATTCAAAAATATGTTTTTGATTTCTTCTAGAGAAGTGAGGACTTTGCAGTTAAGTTCCGCCCCCTTGACTCACGACGAATAAAAAAAATCATCAGAATGGAGACAGGGTGGGTGGGCGGGGCATATATTTTGCCTTTTTTTTTCTTAATATACATAGCCATCCATTCCCACTTTAGACGTGTTTTAACTTTAAGTTTCATGTTGTGGAAACAAGTCTACACATTTTAAAACAAAAAGGCAAAATATATGCCCCGCCCACCCACCCTATCTCAATTGTTATAATTTTTTATATTCACCGTGAATCAAGAGGGGCGGAGCTTAACTGCAAAATACTTATTTCTTTCCAAAAAATTAAAAACATATTTTTGAGTGTCGGGTTGTGCAAAAAATACTGTGTATATTAAGAAAAAAAACAAAAAATAAACCCCACCCACCCACCCCATCTCAATTCTGATGATTTTTTTTTATTCTTTATTAAAATGGTAAATTTTTGTAAGACAATATGGATTTTGCAATAGGCTCCACCCCTAAGTCTGCCAACGAATGAAAACTTCATTGCTATTTAGATCGAGGCAGGTATGAGTGGGGCTTCATCTTTGGCTTTAATTTTTTCTAAATATACATAGCATAGTGGGCGGGGCATATATTTTGCCTTTTTTTTTTCTTAATATACATAGCCATCCATTTCCATTTTAGACATGTTTTAACTTTAAGTTTCATGTTGTGAAAAAATATCTGCATCATAGCCTGCCCACCCGCCCTATCTCAATTGTAATGATTTTTTTTTTTAATAGCCGTGAACCAAAGGGGCGGAGCTTAACTGCAAATTACTTATTTCTTTACAAGAAATTAAAAACATGTTGTTGAGTATCGTGTTGTTCGAAGAATACTATGTATATTAAGAAAAAAAGAGAAAATATTGAAAAAAATATGTCTCACATGGTAACTTCTTGTAGAGAAATAATAACGGTTAAAAAAATCATCACAATTGAGATAGGGCGATTGGGAGGGCTTAGATTTTCTCCTTTTGCTTAATATAGGTACGTAGTCGTCTTTTTAGAACAAGAATCTTAAAACATGTTTCAAATGGTAAATTCTTGTAGACAAATATCGATCTTGCAATTAAGCCCCGCCCCTCGACCTGACAATGAATGAAAAGTTCTTCAGAATAGAGAATTGAGATCGGGGCGGGTATGGGTGGGGCCTAACCCCTTATTTTATTTTTTCTTAATATACATAATATTCTTTGAATAACACGATACTCAAAAATATGTTTTTAATTTCTTTTAGAAAAATAAGGATTTTACAATTCCGCTCCGCCCCTCGGCTTACGACAAATAAAAAAAATCATCAGAATTAAGACAGGGTGGGTGGGTGGGGCTTATATCTTGCCTTTTTTTTTTTTCTTAAACACAACCATTTTTTCACAACAAAAAACTTAGAACAGGGTTAAAATGGTACATTTTTGGAAGAAAATATGAATTTTGCAATTCTGGGGCGAAGCCTAATTGAAAATCGATATTTCGCTTTACAAATTTTCCATTTTAAATATGTTTTAAGTTTTATGTTGTGAAAAGAAGTCTACACATCTTAAAATAAAAAGGCAATATGTCAGCCCGCCCACCCACCCCATCTCAATTGTAATGATTTTTTTTATTAAAAACTTAAAACACGTTTAAAATAGTAAATATTTGTGAGGAAATATGGATTTTGCAATTAAGCCCCGCCCCTCGACATGACAACGGATGAAAAATTCATCACAATTGAAATTGAGATCGGGGCGGGTGTGGGTGGAGTCTAATCTTTGGCTTTATTTTTTTCTTAATATACCGACAATGTTTTATTTGAACAACACGATACTCAAAAAAATTGTCTTTAATTTCTGGCAGAGAAATAACGATTTTGCAGTTAAGCTCCGCCCCATTGGCTCACGACGAATAAAAAAAATCATCAGAATTGAGACAGGGTGGGTGGGCGGGGCTACAATTTGCTTTCAACTGTAAAAGCAACGTCAGCGGGAACTTCAACGTCAAGAGCAAGTTTATAAATCGCACTTAAACCAAAAAACTGGTAGTCAGAAACCTGGGTCCATGTTCCGAAAAATCATAACCTGTAAAGTACCTGCGTACTGTGGGATCGGGGGCCCCATTTGGGACTGGTGCGCTCCCCAGCTGCCCCCCGGCATTTGCACGGGCACAGGGGCGTACTGAATCATTTGCTGGTTGTCGAAAGGCGCCCTCGAGTTGCTGCGCGAGTTCGGCAACGGCCTTATAAAATCGGCGTCTTGGTGAGGAAGCTGCGGCATCTGCGGCGGCCCCAGAGTGTCCTGCGCCATCTGAGGCCGATACAGCTCTGATTGCGGCAAGGCCGGCGCCAAAGGATGGAGCGGTTGTTGCGGAATCTAGAACAAAACCCAGAATTAGCAAATTCCTCTAAATTAGGAAATTAAGCCTCAAGTACGAACCTCCGCGATTTTAAACCAGTACTTTCCTGGTGTCAGTCATGTTGGCTGTGTACTCGAAGATAATCGTCCTTTGCGGGCTCCTCCACAACACTTGTGGAGACAACAGTAAGTGTTTCTGTTACTTATTTGTACAAAAAAATCACTAGTTAGTTTCAGGAGAGTTAATTCCTCAAGATGCCCCCTCAAACTTGACACTTTTGGAAATTAGAAGCCGCCAAGTTCTGATCGAGTGGGACCCGGTGGACCCCGAGTCCCTCAGAGGCAAATTCAAAGGGTATTTAGTACGAACGTGGAACGATGCTGGCAGCCAAGTATACGCTTTCCCACCCGAAGTAACCAGAGCCAACGTCGAGTTCTTCCCGTTTTCGAAAAATTTCATTACGGTTTCAGCCCGTAACGAAAAGTACGTGGGACCTCCAAGCGAAGCTATAAGCTTCGATGCACCTCAAATAGGTATAAACACCTCTTCGTTTGAAGATGACATCTATGTGGAACTCAGTTATTTGGAATAAACGTTGTGTGTAAAATTTGTTTCAGCACCTAACCACCCTTTCACTGTCAATGTTTTCACTCTAAGTTCGGCTTCAGTGTTTATTCAGTGGAGTAAACCGACTGAACCGAACGGGATTCTCTTAGGTTATAAGATTTACACGAAAGAGATTAACGAATCTGTACCTTACGCCAAAATGAAAGAAGTTGTACACCTGGTGAACGACTCGGATAAACTTCAAGCCAAACTAACCGGACTTGACGAAGGAATGACGTATCGGATAGGGATTTCAGCCGTTAACTGTGCCGGGGAAAGCAATGTGTACAACTACTCACTGCTTGGTAATCAAAGAGTACTTTGTGTGTTTTCAGAGCAGAAGCTGAAGTTACCATGGAATCACACACGTCTGCGCCACCTTTCGTTCCACGATTTATCTACAAAATTAATTATACAACCCCGAATCGAGACGAAGTTTGCTACAAGTCGACAACGACTCCAATTCCCGTGGAAGAAGAAAAAGACAAAGATGAAGAAGAGTTCGATTATTATGATTATTTGATTGCTAGCGACAAGAAGCCGAAGACTACCGAAGCGTCTAAAACCACCACCGTCCCTCAAACCGAATACAACAAACGCTGTATTGTTAACTGCATGGTATTGTGGGTCCCTGATGTTAAAAATAACCCAGGAGAGCACTTTTACGTCAAGTATAAAATAAAAGGCGAGAAGGAATACCGAGTTACCGATCCAGAAATGAGCGAAGATTACATAATTTTGCAAAATTTTGACGCCTGCAAGAACTACGAGATTATTTTGACTGCGGTGGATGGGGAACATAGCACGGAAAGCGGGATATTGCTCACCCCTACCAAAGTGTTCTAACTTTATTTTAATGATGTTATGTAATTTGGAAAAGTTTATTTTATTTATTAAACTAATAAAAAATAAAATTTTTAAGTATGCTTACATTTGTGTCGTATCTGGCCGGCTGGATGGGATTGCTGATGGGTACTGGGACCGTCTGGGACGTTGCTAAGGCGTCGGGACAGCTTAGTTCTGGGGCTTCGTCGCTACCATCGGCACACTGAGGCACACCATCGCAGGCGTTGTATATTGCTATGCACTCGCTGGTAGATCGACACTCGAACTGGTAACGGCTGCATTTTCGCACCGCTGAAAGCAAAATTGCGCTATATATGCGTGCGGAAAGTGATTCATTTCGCACTGTTAAAAAATTCTCAGGTTCCCCTTGATGACAACACCGTTATTTAAATTGTATACGATTTAAGAGAACAATGAAAGTCGCTATAATAAAACCCGATGACTTGTAATTTGCGCATTACGCAACACTTTGTAGTTTTCTAGTCCTCGGACCCAAAACGCGGTTCCTGTTATTGTTCCACCCATCAACAGAATCTTGACCTAAAATTCCGCTTCCTATCACATCTCGCTACCGCACGTCAAATTTAATAAAATTACGTAGGCGGAGGATATTTTTAAATTTAAATTGAACGCTTCCTGCAATTTCAGCAAATAAGAAAAACAGTAATAGTCGAAAATTACACCCAATTTATTAACAAAAACAGAATCAACAATCTAAATTGGCCACAACCTACGTAGCGCCGTTTAGCTACGATTTCGAAGAAAGTAGTGTTGGAATAATAGCGTAATCGTTTCTTAACGGTTCAAGTTCAGGTGTTTATGTAAGCTTACTTAAGAGCGACCTACAGCCCGAAGGCTTTCCGATGTTTCTCACCAGTCACCGGGTTCAAGTTCTACGCTCGACTAATTCGCACCATCACGATCGAGGCTTAGAATGCAAATCACGACAAAAAATTGAACTAAGTCCTTCATTGAAAATCTTGAGATCGAGTGCATTCCTTTTCACTATTACGGCATTCATTTCTCCGTGCAGTTGCTGCACTAATTGCTGATTTAATTGCGAATAGCTGCGAAGAAATTAAGTGCCACTCTTACTAGTTTTTTCCAGAATTTGAAGCTTATGGAGGCTCGATCGCCGCATTTCTTGTTTTGCTCTCTCCAGCGGGTTTTGTGTGTCGGGACAACGTCGCAGTTGTTCTTCGGCAGTCTTGCGGTTTGAGTGCGTGTTCTTCGTAAGATGTCGAAATTGAGGCGGGCGCCGTTGTACCCGTATGATGGGAGTGTTTGCGTGCAGAGTTTCCCTCATGAGGTCGCAGGGGTAAATACTTTTTTGTATCTTTTACTTCTAAATAAAACTTTAAAATTGTCGTTCTCTTAGAAAAAATAAAATAGCAATTAGTGTTCTGTTACAAAGTCTGCATTTTTTACTGCAAGTTTGCAACGCTCGGCTTCGCCTCGCAGCCATCTGTATATTACGAAAAAAAGGCGGTGATTTAACAATTGAAGATTTAATGAAACTGATTAATAATAAATCTTAAATAACATTTTTTTAATTTCAAATTCGGTAACAATTATGTGAAACATGATTTCATTAGCGAAATTAAAAAATGCTCGTGATATTCAGTGAACAAAATAAAACACAGTTGTTACAAAATTCGTGCTACATAACCACCAGCGAAATTTTGTTTTCCCATTTTTTTCAGAAAAAATTAGAAAATGTTTAAAATTGTCATTACTAATTTTTTGGTGCACGTTTTGCAATTCTCGGCTTCGCCTCGCAACTATGTGAGAATGCGTAGCTGCTCCACTATATTTTATATTACGAAACAAAGACGATGTTAACTGGTCGTGCAATAATAAAAATTCAATGAAAATAATTATAAATCTTGAATAACATTTTTTTTTTAATTTCAAATTCAGTAATAATTGTGTGAAATATAATTTCGTTATTTATATACATATAATTAAACTACGGTTGGGATATTCAGTGAACAAAATAAAGCACCTACTGTTACAAAATTTGTAACTCCTTAATATGTAACTTAATTATAGCAAGTTATACATTTTTATTTTTTGTCCAATTGTTTGTGAATTCTGTTTTCTAAATTTTTCAACAGAAAAATTTGAACATTTTGCTCCAAATTTTTGGTCAATTTATATTTTAACTTCCCGAGCAGACGAATGGCCACTTTCATGTTTTCTCAACGTTTCATAACCTTTAGAGTACGTTTATGTCGATTTTTATTAGGCAGATAATCTTTGAAACCTCATTTCCAAGATTTACTATTGTAAACGCTGTTTAAATTTTCTTGCACTTGTGGTTTATGAATCCGTGCTGAGTTTTTATTTTTTTGACATTTTATAAAATTACGTTCTCCTATTATACTTGTGGTTTATGAATCTGCCTTGATTTTTTACCTTCGGCTCCAGATTTTGAAAAGCATGGTAAATCCGATAACGTAATCTCACAATTTGCCTAGACAAATCCTACATTAAATATTAAGTTAGGTTTAGCAGTGCCTGAGTATTTTTAGAACAGGGTGATCCTGATTAAAAAGATTGTCTCACCTCCTTTTGTGTCCTTGCTAAGAAGGTGATATGGTGACTACTATCATTCTGGTGGTTCATTTTTCAAAAAATTTAAAAAATCCTGGAAGCCCTGGTATTTTTGAAAAAAAAATGTTAGGGTCCCCTAGTGTATTTTTAAAGAATGTGATTGATTTTCGAGGGTTTTGGGTCTTTTTTTAAGGATTTGAAATAATATTGGGTTCCCTAGTGGTTTATTAATGTCAAACAATCTTCGATCTTAGCAAGTACTAGCCCCGCCCACCCGCCCTCTATTTTCTTAAAGGATATATCATTTGCCAAAATCAGTCTTATCTTAACAAGTACTAGCCCCGCCCACCCGCCCTCTATTTTTTTAAAGAATATATCATTTGCCAAAATCAATCGTATCTTAGTAACTACAACTACACAAGTACTTGTGTTTTGTTCAAAGTTTGTTGAACGTCTTGATGGTTTTATTTTTAAAAGAAAATGAAGAAATCTTGGGGATCATTGATGTTTTATTTTTGAAAGAACTAGAAATAATGTCGGGAGTCTCGAGTGTTTTTTTTTTTTTTTTAATTATTTGAAAAGATCTTGAGGCCGCTAGATCTTTTACTTTTGAAAGAGTTTGAAAGAATTTTGGGATCCCCTATATTTTTTTTTAATATGAAAAGATCTTAGAGGCTTCTTTCGCTTCATTTTTCTTTTATAATGTGAAAGAATCTTGGGGATTGGGAGTGTTCTATTTTTGTAAGAATTTGAAAGTCTTGTGAGCTCTTGGTGTTTAATTCTTTTTGGACGAATTTGAAGGAATCTTGAGATGTCTCAATGTTTTTTTAGGACTTCAGGTGTTTTGTTTACAAAAGAGTCTTATTTAAGAATGTGGCACATGGTGTTTTTTACGTCAAAGATCCGTCGATGTTCTTGATGGTTCTATTTTTGAAAGAGTTTGGAAAGATCGTGAAGCTTCTGATGTTTTGGTTTTGAAAGAGTTTGAAGGTATCTTGGGATCCTGTAGTGTTTTTTTATGTGAAACAGTCTTCGGGAATCCTTACTTTATTTTTGAAAAAAATTGAAAAATGATCTTGAGAGTTCCTGAAAAAGTGTGAAAGAATCCTTGAAGGTTCTTGATTTTATTTTTTATAGAACTTGAAATAATCTCAGGGATCCCTGATGCTTTGTTTTTGAAAGTATTTGAAAAGATCTTGAGAACTTCTTGTGTTTTGCTTTTGATAGAGTTGGAAAGATTCCCTAGTGCTTTTTTTCAGTGAAACAATCAAAATTAATTTGAAAATATCTTTAGGGCTCCTGGTGTTTCGTCTTATGAAAGAGTTTGAGGGAAACCTCAAGGACATCTAGTGTCTATTTTGAAAGAATGCTTGAAACAAATTCAAAAGATCTTAGCGGTTCCTTTTTTTAAAAAAAGTTTGAAAGAATCGTAAAGGACCCTAATGGTTTTTAACTTTAAACAGCCACGAGAATCATTTGAATTTTTCCTGGTTCTTTTTTTAAGAATCTGAAAGGATCTCGGAGGCCTCAATTTTAATTTTTTAATAATTTCAAAGGTTCTCGAAGGTTTCTAAAGTTTTATTTTTTTAGAATTTGTAGGATTTCTAAGGAATCTCGAAGGCCCCTAGTGTATTTTTTTTAACCAATCTAAAGATATTCCAGCACCTTTAGTGTATCTTTTTAAGGAATGTGAAACAATCCCGGAGGCCCCTGGTGTCTTGTTAAAAATGCGAAAGAACCTCAGGGACCCCTAGTGTCTTTTGTTTAAATAATTCTAACGATACTTAAGGGCCCCTAATAATTCTAAAGGATCTAGAGACCCCCCTGTGTCTTTTTTTTAAGAATGTGACCCATTTTCCGGGGTTCCTGGTCCTTTTTTTAGAATTTGAAAGGATCTCGGGGGCCTCTATTTTAATTTTTTAATAATTTCAAAGGTTCTCGAAGGTTTCTAAAGTTTTATTTTTTTAGAATTTGTAGGATTTCTAAGGAATCTCGAAGGCCCCTAGTGTATTTTTTTTAACCAATCTAAAGATATTCCAGGACCTTTAGTGTCTCTTTTTAAGGAATGTGAAACAATCCCGGAGGCCCCTGGTGTCTTTTTAAGAATGCGGAAGAATCTCAGGGACCCCTAGTGTCTTTTTTTTTAATAATTCTAACGATACCTAAGGGACCCCAATAATTCTAAAGGATCTAGAGACTCCCCTGTGTCTTTTTTTAAGAATGTGACCCATTTTCGGGGGTTCCTGGTCCTTTTTTTAGAATTTGAAAGGATCTCGGGGACCTCTATTATATTTTTTTAATAATTTCAAAGGTTCTCGAAGGTTCCTAAAGTCTTTATGTTTTTACAATTTGTAGGATTTCTAAGGGATCCCGAAGGCCCCTAGTGTCTTTTTTTAACGAATCTGAAGATATTCCAGGACCTTTAGTGTCTCTTTTTAAGGAACGTGACACAATCTCGGAGGCCCCTGGTGTCTTTTTAAGAATGCGAAAGAGTCTCGAGGGCCTCTAGTGTCTTTTTTTTATAATTCTAACGGTACATTAAGGGCCCCAGATGTCTTTTTTTATATTACTAAAGAGTTTCAAGGGCCTTTTCTAATAATAATTCTAAAGGATCTAGAGGCCCCCCTGTGTCTTTTTTTTTAAGAATGTGATCCATTTTCGGGGGTTCCTGGTCCTTTTTTAAAAATTTGAAAGGATCTCGGGGGCCTCTATTGTAATTTTTTAATAATTCCAAAGGATCTCGAAGGTTCCTAAAGTTTTATTTTTTTAGAATGTGTAGGATTTCTAAGGGATCTCGAAGGCCCCTAGTGTCTTTTTTTAACGAATCTAAAGATATTCCAGGACCTCTAGTGTCTCTTTTTAAGGAACGTGAAACAATCTCGGAGGCCCCTGGTGTCGTTTTAAGAATGTGAAAGAGTCTGGAGGGCCTCTAGTTTCTTTTTTTATATTATTCTGAGGATAGCTAAGGATCCCAAATGTTTTTTTTTTATATTTCTAAAGAATCTCAAGGGCCATTAGTGTCTTTTCTAACGATAATTCTAAAGGATCCAGAGGTCCTTCTGTGTCTTTTTTTTTTAAATGTGACTCATTTTCGGGGTTTCTTGGTCCTTTTTTAAAGAATTTGAAAGGATCTCGGGGGCCTCTTTTGTAATTTTTTTAATAATTCCAAAGGATCTCGAAGGTTCCTAATGTCTTATTTTTTAAGGATTTGTAGGAATTCTAACGGATCTCGAAGGTCTCTAGTGTCTTTTTTTAACGATTCTAAAGATATTCCAGGACCTCAGTGTCCCTTTTTAAGGAATCTGAAACAATCTTGGAGGCGCCTAGTGTCTTTTTTTAAGGAATCTGACACTATTTCGGAGCCCCTGAGGTCTTTTTAAAAATGCCAAAGATTCTTGGGGACCGTTGGTGTATTTTTTTAATAATTCTAAAACCACCAGTGGGTCCGTAGTGTCATTTTTTATATTTCTAAAGAATCTCAAGGGCCATTAGTGTATTTTCTAATAATAATTCTAAAGGATCAAGAGGCCCCCCTGTGTATTTTTTAAAGAATGTGACTCATTTTCGGGGGTCCCTGGTCCTTTTTTAAGAATTTGAAAGGATATCCGAGGCCTCTATTGTAATTTTTTGAATAATTCCAAAGGATCTCGAAGGTCCCTAATGCCTAATTTTTTTAAGAATCTGTAGGAATTCTAACGGATCTCGAAGGCCCCTAGTGTCTTTTTTTACGATTCTAAAGATATTCCAGGACCTCAGTGTCCCTTTTTAAGGAATCTGAAACAATCTTGGTGGCCCCTAGTGTCTTTTTAAGAATGCGAAAGAGACTCGAGGGCCTGTAGTGTTTTTGTTTTAATAATTCCAACGATACCCAAGGGCCTCTAATGTCTTTTTTTATATTTCTAAAGAGTCTTAAAGACCATTAGTGTCTTTTTTTAGTGATAATTGTAAGGAACTTAGAAGGCCCCTAGTGTCTTTTTTTAAGGAAAATGACACTATCTCGGAGCCTCTGAGGTCTTTTTAAGAATGCCAAAGATTCTTGGAGGCCGTTGGTGCATTTTTTTAATAATTCTAAAACCACCAGTGGGTCCCTAGTGTCATTTTTTATATTTCTAAAGAATCTCAAGCGCCATTAGTGTATTTTCTAATAATAATTCTAAAGGATCTAGAGGCCCCCCTGTGTATTTTTTAAAGAATGTGACTCATTTTCGGGGGTCCCTGGTCCTTTTTTTTTAATTTGAAATGATACCCTAGGCTTCTATTGTAATTTTTTTAATACTTCCAAAGGATCTCGAAGGTTCCTAATGTCTAATTTTTTTAAGAATCTGTAGGAATTCTAACGGATCTCGAAGGCCCCTACTGTCTTTTTTTAATAATTCTAAAGATACTCAAGTGCCTTTTTTAGCTTCTCAGTGAATAATCTTTTAAATTAGACCTGAACGTGCTCGCTGCGCTCGCATTTAAAAATTTTTTTTTCGGCTTTAATCTCATAGTAGTATGCAGGATAAAGTCTAATTAACGACGTAGTTTGAATTCCTTAGAATACGAACTTTAACAAATAATCGCAAACATTTTTAGAATTTAAATATTTAGACAATAAAAAATTATTATTAATAATTTAGTTTCTCAAGGAAATTGATAAAAATTATCACAAAAAAAAAATCCGACCTGACCGAATCTGACCTGACTAGCCATCAGATCACCGTTCTGAATGTGAGGGAAGTACTGCAGAAATTCTTTAGATCAATTTTTTATTATGACAATTTTACTTATCTGTAAAATTGGGTGATTTTGATGTTACATGCTTGTCACAAGGACACAATAAAATTCTATTAAAATAAAAAAAAATAAGTAAACATGAACAAATTATTTTGTAATTTAATTTTTAATTATGCTTGTGACCAAAAATAATGACAAATATGATAGTAGGTAGATTCTTAAAGGCGAAACATTGCGTCCCAAATTTTCAGCTTTAATAATTTCAGTTTGCCACTTTAATTTTGCAAAAAATTCGGAGGCGGCCTCAACACTCAAATATTTAGATTCGAAAAACTTGCCAACAAATAGTGAAGACAACCGTGATTAATTGCGACTGTGTTCCCAACGTTTGGAGGTTACTCAAGCCTTGTCAGATAAATGAAAAAGTCTGTTTACAAACTACTGTTGCAAAGCAGCGACGCTTTAATTAACTGTAACAATTCCGTCGTATTTCTCAATACGAGAACCGAAAGAAATTTCACTTTCGTGTTTTCACAAATCACAATGAGGGATTGTTTCCGTTGCGATATATAAATACGTAAGAAAATAATAGAAGTATCAATGTCGGATTTGTGAAAAAGTTTCACATACGCCTTTGTTTTGTAAGCCGTTTCTAAAGGAAATCTGTGTACGTTTTTCTTCGTAACGTCGAACTCATTAAGATTATTCTATCACGTCGTAATAAATTTGGGAATTAACGAACCCTGCGTGAAGAAACTTGTCCAACACTTTGTGTAAATCTGAAGTTGTAACAATATCGCTACCATTAATCACTCAGGAACAGTCTCAAACCGTTACGGAATTTTAAATTAAAACTAATTCTTTAGTGGATGCAAGTTTTGGAGGTTGGCTTTCAGATTAGTCGGAATGGTATTGTTAATAATTACCAGGTGTAAAGAGGTAGCGATGCAATCATCTTCAGAAGATATAATTTATGAGCTTAGTTGACACCGAAAAAAATCCACTCGCCTTGTAATCTCGACTTCGCCTCGTTCCAAATTAAATAACAAGAAATAGGAAATTGAATAAAGAGAGTTCGTAAAATTAAAGAAGACCTAAAAGCGAACCTTCCAACAAGGCCACCCAATTACTCACCGAAACCCGCACTTTTTCCTCAAACCTCACCGCAATCGTTATCCGAAATCGCTCCAAACTTACGTAACCCACGACCATCAAGCTCTTCGCTGATCCGCAACGTGCAATTTTAATTTATTCCGCAAACAATTCGGGCATCGGTTCTACAACGCCGCTCTGCAGATGCAGCCCGATAAGATTACAGGTGTACGTAGCATTGTTTTTTGTGAATCTGGTCGATATAACTCTGTCGCTCCATCCGTGACTAAAATATGCGCAACATTTAAATTTTCACGGAAGTCGGTGAGGTGAGCGTGAAATTCTGATAGAACACTAAAGTTAGCGGCCCAAAACAGTCACAGTAATGCTTGCGCGATTACTCACCCTCTTCGGGTTTGGTTTTCACTTCGGTGGAGATGACTTCTTGCGACTTGGTGGTGGTTGGAGGGGTGGTGGACGTCATGGCTACGGTCTCGGCGGCTTGGGGGACCACCTCGGGCTCGCTCTCGGGCTTCCTGGAAAGCATTGTGTCGGGTTGTCTTTGGAGAGTTTGAGTTACAAGATTTGTGGGACAATGGGGTGTTTTGTTGTTGTTCGGAGTATGTGGAGACGAGATAGGATTTGAGGGAGAGTTTGTTTCATGGAATGAATGGGACAAAGCAGGTGTCGGAGGTTTATATCGGAATTGTATAGATGTGGTTGGAATGGAGTGGTCAGTGACAATTTATTTCTTAGTATAACGGGGTTTTGCGGATTATTTTAGTTCGTGTTTCGTCGCTCAGTACGAGTTTTCACAGCATTCGTGACTTATAAAAAAAGAAAATTTATGGATATGTGGTTTCAGAGAAGTGGAATACTCCGGTAAAGATAGAAAGTGCAAATAATAAATTGTTGAATGCCCCTGAGGCTTTTAAAACTCCTTTAAAACTAAAACAAGATTGTTTGGAATTATTTTTAGACACACAACACGAAATTCTAGAGATTTTCTTTTTTCCGAGAGCCCTTAAGATTATATGAAATGGTTTCCAAAACTTAGCACCAGGTGCCCCTGACATTCTTAAAAATTCCTTCAAAACAAAGCACACGGAAGGAACCCTCAAGATTCGTTAAAACTATTCCAAGAAGAAGACACCAAGAGTCCCTAAGATTTTTAAAACTATTTCAAAAACATAACACCAGGAACCTTCAAGATTCTTTAAATCTATTTCAAATACATAATACCAGTGACTATATATAGTCACTGATAATACTAAGCACCCCCGAGATTTTTAAAATTTTTTTCAAAATCGTCAGGAGCCCTCAAGAATAAAACCATTTCAAAAACATAACACATGGTGCCCCCGATTTGCATAGATTTGTACTTTTCAAAGGACGATTCTGGAAAAACGATTGGAGTTTTCGAAGAAATGAAAGCGGGAGTGATTTCTACGGCCCGAAATCTACAAGAAAATGTATTTAGTGAAATTTCGAAAATTTTGTTGAAAATTGGTCGAAAATTGGTCATATTTTGCATAGATTTGTTCTTTTCAAAGCCGATTCTGGAAAAACCATTGGAATTTTCGAAGAAATGAAAGCGGGAGTGACTTCTACGACCCAAAATCTACAAGAAAATGTATTTAGTAAAATTTCGAAAATTTTGTAGAAAATTGGTCGAAAATTGGTCGTATTTTGCATAGATTTTTTATAATAATAATAATGATTTGTACTTTTCAAAGGACGATTCTCGAAAAATCATTAGAGTTTTCGAAGAAATGAAAGCGGGAGTGACTTCTACAGCCCGAAATCTACAAAAAAATGTATTTAGTGAAATTTCGAAAATTTTGTTGAAAATTGGTCGAAAATTGGTCGTATTTTGCATAGATTTGTACTTTTCAAAGCACGATTCTGGAAAAACGATTGGAGTTATCGAAGAAATGAAAGCGGGAATGACTTTTCCGACCCGAAATATACAAAAAAATGTATTTAGTGAAGTTTCGAAAATTTTGTTGAAAATTGGTCGTATTTTGCATAGATTTGTACTTTTCAAAGCACGATTCTGGAAAAACGATTGGAGTTATCGAACAAATGAAAGCGGGAGTGACTTCAGTGGCCTGAAATCTACAAGAAAGTGTATTTAGTGAAATTTCGAAAATTTTGTTGAAAATTGGTCGAAAATTGGTCGTATTTTGCATAGTTTTGTACTTTTCAAAGCACGATTCTGGAAAAACGATTGGAGTTATCGAAGAAATGAAAGCGGGAGTGACTTCAGTGGCCTGAAATCTACAAGAAAGTGTATTTAGTGGAATTTCGAAAATTTTGTTGAAAATTGGTCGAAAATTGGTCGTATTTTGCATAGATTTGTACTTTTCAAAGCACGATTCTGGAAAAACGATTGGAGTTATCGAACAAATGAAAGCGGGAGTGACTTTTCCGGCCCGAAATATACAATAAAATGTATTTAGTGAAGTTTCGAAAATTTTGTTGAAAATTGGTCGTATTTTGCATAGATTTGTACTTTTCAAAGGACGATTCTGGAAAAACGATTGGAGTTATCGAACAAATGAAAGCGGGAGTGACTTTTCCGGCCCGAAATATACAATAAAATGTATTTAGTGAAGTTTCGAAAATTTTGTTGAAAATTGGTCGTATTTTGCATAGATTTGTACTTTTCAAAGGACGATTCTGGAAAAACGATTGGAGTTATCGAACAAATGAAAGCGGGAGTGACTTTTCCGGCCCGAAATCAACAAGAAAATGTATTTAGTGAAATTTCGAAAATTTTGTTGAAAATTGGTCGAAAATTGCTCGTATTTTGCATAGATTTGTACTTTACAAAGCACGATTCTGGAAAAACGATTGGAGTTATCGAAGAAATGAAAGCGGGAATGACTTTTCCGACCCGAAATATACAAGAAAATGTATTTAGTGAAGTTTCGAAAATTTTGTTGAAAATTGGTCGTATTTTGCATAGATTTGTACTTTTCAAAGCACGATTCTGGAAAAACGATTGGAGTTATCGAACAAATGAAAGCGGGAGTGACTTTTCCGGCCCGAAATATACAATAAAATGTATTTAGTGAAGTTTCGAAAATTTTGTTGAAAATTGGTCGTATTTTGCATAGATTTGTACTTTTCAAAGGACGATTCTGGAAAAACGATTGGAGTTATCGAACAAATGAAAGCGGGAGTGACTTCTATGGCCTGAAATCTACAAAAAAGTGTATTTAGTGAAATTTCGAAAATTTTGTTGAAAATTGGTCGAAAATTGGTCGTATTTTGCATAGATTTGTACTTTTCAAAGCACGATTCTGGAAAAACGATTGGAGTTATCGAACAAATGAAAGCGGGAGTGACTTTTCCGGCCCGAAATCAACAAGAAAATGTATTTAGTGAAATTTCGAAAATTTTGTTGAAAATTGGTCGTATTTTGCATAGATTTGTACTTTTCAAAGGACGATTCTTTAAAACCGTTTCAAAAACACAACAGGAGATGCCCTCGACATTCCTTAAAGCTTCTCCAAAAACCAAACATCAAAAGCCTTCAAGATTCTTTAAAACCATTTCAAAATCATAACACCAGGTGCCCCCGAGATTCTTTTAAACTCCTGGAAAAACAAAACACCAATAGCCCTCAAGATTCGTTAAAACCACTTCAAAACCATAACACTAGGCGCCCAGGAGATTCTTTAAAACGATTTTAAAATCATAATACCTGGTGCCCCCAAGATTCTTTTAAACTCCTGCTAAAAAAAACAACAGGAGTCCTCGAGATTTCAAAAACAACAGCAAGTGACCCCAACATTCTTTAAGGGTTCTCAAAAAACCAAACACCAAAAGGAACTCTCCAGATTCGCTAAAACCATTTCAAAAACATAAAAACAGGTGCTCCCGAGATTCTTTTAAACTCCTGCATAAACAAAACACCAGGAGCCCTCGAGATTCTTGAAAACCATTTCAAAAACATAACACCAAGTGCCGCCGAGATTCTTTTAAACTCTTGCAAATATAAAACACCAGCAGCCTTCGACATTCTTTAAAACCATTTAAAAAATATAACTGGAGGTGCCCCCGAGATTCTTTTAAAGCTGTTCCAAAAACGAAACACCAGGAGCCCACGAGATTCTTTAAAACCATTTCAAAATTATAACACTAGGTGCCCCCGAGATTCTTTTAAACTCTTGAAAAAACAAAACACCAGGAGCCCTCGAGATTTTTTAAAACTTCTCCAAAAACCAAACACCACGAGGTTTCATGATTCGTTAAAACCATCTCAAAAACATCACACCAGGTGCTCCCGAGATTCTTTTAAACCATTTCGAAAACATAATACGAAGTACCCCCGAGGTTCTTTAAAACTTCTCCAAAAACCAAACACTACGAGCCTTCAACATTCTTTAAAACCATTTCAAAAATATAACACCAAGCACCGCCGAGATTCTTTTAAACTCTTGCAAATATAAAACACCAGCAGTCCTCGAGATTTTTTAAAACCATTTCAAAAATATAACACCAGGTGCCGCCGAGACTCTTCTAAATTCTTGCGAAAATAAAACACCAGGAGCCCTCGAGAATCTTTAAAACCAATTCAAAAAAAAACACCAGGTGCCCCCGAGATTCTTTAAAACCACTTCAAAAATATAACACCAAATGCTCCCGAGATTCTTTTATGAAACTCCTGCCAAAAAAAAAAACACCAGGATCCCTCGAGAATCTTTAAAACCATTTCAAAAAAAAAACACCAGGTGCCCCTGAGATTCTTTAAAACCATTTCAAAAATATAACACCAAATGCTCCCGAGATTCTTTTAATATCCTGCCAAAAAAAAAACTACCAGGAACCGTCGAGAATCATTAAAACCATTTAAAAAAATAACACCAAGTCCACCCGAGATTCTTTTGCAAAAACAAAACAAAACACCAGGTGCCCCCGAGATTCTTTAAAACCACTTCAAAAATATAACACCAAATGCTCCCGAGATTCTTTTATGAAACTCCTGCCAAAAAAAAAAAAACACCAGGAGCCCTCGAGATTTTTTAAAACCATTTCAAAAACATAACAGAAAATTCTCCCCAGATTCTTTAAGGCTTCTTAAAAAACCAAACACCAGAAGGAACTCTCAAGATTCGTTAAAACCACTGCAAAAACATAACACCAGGAGCCCTCGAGATTCTTTAAAACCATTTCAAAAACATAAAAGGGGTGCCCCGAAATTCTTTAAGTCTTCTCCAAAATCCAAACACCAGGAGCCCTCGAGACTTTTTAAAACCATTTCAAAAACATAATAAAAGGAGCCTCCGAGATTCTTTAAAACTTCTCCAAAAACCAAACACCAGGAACCCTCAAGATTCTTTAAAACCATTTCAAAAATATAACACTAGGTGCCGCCTAGACTCTTCTAAACTTTTGCAAAAATAAAACACCAGGAACCCTCGAGAATCTTTAAAACCATTTCAAAAAAATATCACCAAGTGCCCCCGAGATTCTTTTGCAAAAACAAAACACCTGTTGCCCCTTAGATTCTTTAAAACCATTTAAAAAATGTAACACCTGGTGCCCCCGAGAATCTTTAAAATCATTTCAAAAAAATAGAACCAGGTGCCCCGAGATTATTTTGCAAAAATAAATACTTGCTGCCTCCCAAGATTCTTTAAAACCATTTCAAAAAAATAACACCAAATGCCCCCGAGATTTTTTTGCAAAAACAAAACACCTGGTGTCCCAGGCATTCTTTAAAACCATTTCAAAAATATAACACCAAATGCTTCCGAGATTCTTTTAAACTCCTGCAAAAAAGAACACCAGGAGCCCTCGAGAATCTTTAAAATCATTCCAAAAAAATAACAGCTGCTGCCCCCGAGATTCTTTAAAACCATTTCAAAAATATAACACAAAAGCTCCCGAGATTCTTTTCAGTTCTTGCCAAAAAAACACCAGGAGCCCTCGAAAATCTTTAAAACCATTTCAAAAAAATAACACCAAATGCCCCCGAGATTCTTTTGCAAAAAACCAAAACACCTGATGCCTCCGACATTCTTTAAAACCATTTCAAAAATGTAAGACCAAATGCTCCCGAGATTCTTTTAAACTCCTCCCAAAAAAAAACACCAGGAGCCCTCGAGAATCTTTAAAATCATTCCAAGAAAAATAACACCTGGTGCCCCCGAGAATCTTTAAAACTATTTCAAAAAGATAACACCAGGTGTCCTCGAGATTCTTTTGCAAAAACAAACACCTGTTGCCCCCCAAGATTCTTTAAAACTATTTCAAAAATATAACATCAAATGTTCCCGAGATTCTTTTAAAATCCTGGCAATAAAAAAATACCAGAAGCCCTCGAGAATATTTAAAACCATTTCAAAAAAATATCACCAGGTGCCCCCGAGATCCTTTTGCAAAAACAAAACACCTGATGCCCCTTATATTCTTTAAAACCATTTCAAAAATATAACACCAAATTCTTCCGAGATTCTTTTAAACTCCTGTCAAAAAAAAACACCTGGAACCATCGAGAATCTTTGAAATAATTTCAAAAAAATAAAACCAGGTGCCCCCGAGATTATTTTGCAAAAACAAATACTTGCTGCCTCCCAAGATTCTTTAAAACCATTTCAAAAAAATAACACCAAATGCCCCCGAGATTCTTTTGCAAAAACAAAACACCTGGTGTCCCAGGCATTCTTTAAAACCATTTCAAAAATATAACACCAAATGCCCCCGAGATTCTTTTAAACTCCTGCAAAAAAAAAAACACCAGGAGCCCTCGAGAATCTTTAAAATCATTCCAAAAAAATAACACCAAATGCCCCCGAGATTCTTTTGCAAAAAACCAAAACACCTGATGCCTCCGACATTCTTTAAAATCATTTCAAAAATATAACACCAAATGCTCCCGAGATTCTTTTAAACTCCTCACAAAAAAACACCAGGAGCCCTCGAGAATCTTTAAAACCATTTCAAAAACATAACAGAAATTTCCCCCGAGATTCTTTAAGGCTTCTTAAAAAACCAATCACCAGAAGGAACTCTCAAGATTCGTTAAAATCATTTCAGAAACATAAGACCAGGAGATTCTTTTAAACTCCTGCAAAAAAAAAAAACCACCAGGAGCCCTCGAGAATCTTTAAAATCATTCCAAAAAAATAACAGCTGGTGCCCCCGAGATTCTTTGAAACCATTTTAAAAATATAACACAAATGCTCCCGAGATTCTTTTAAATTCCTGCCAAAAAAACACCAGGAGCCCTCGAAAATCTTTAAAACCATTTCAAAAAAATAACACTAAATGCCCCCGAGATTCTTTTGTAAAAAACCAAAACACCTGATGCCTACGACGTTCTTTAAAACCATTTCAAAAAACATAATCTCAGGTGTATTTAAAGTTTTTAAAATTCCTTCAAAATCAAAACACCAGATTTTTTAAAATCATGCATTTCAAAAACATGAGGTGATTCCGAAATGCTTTAAATTTCTTTCAAAAACGAAATAGCAGGAGCCCGCAAGGTTCGTTCTTTCGAAAATAAAGCGCAGCGGGCCCCTGGGATTATTTAAATTCTAAAAAAAAAAAAAATGAGACGACAGTAGCCCTCAAGATTATTTTAAATTATTATTTATCGTAATAAAACTCACCAGAATCCGTACTAATAAAATGATAAACTTGACTAAATTCGATAGATTTTGCCTGTAAACATTTTGATAATTAGAGCGTAGATGTTGTAAACCATAATTTATACAACTATTACTGTCTGGGAAAATCCGATAATTTTTTGTAAAACTGTGACTATTTTACAAAAAATTGAAGTCGTTCAAACTCTTCAAAAATATAATCGAGCACTGAAAGACAGTTTTCCAGAAGAATGTTAAATTTACATCTCTGGTCAGAACAAAAACCACGTAATGGCAAATTCTTAAGTTCCTCCCCTATGAAGAAGACTTTTCTGTTATAGACAAATGTAGAGGTCGTAAAAACTGCTGAAATACCTGACCATTATGATAATGTTATTAAGAATGTCGTTTGAAGACGTTGCTATTTAATCTGATTATTTTTTTACAAAAAAATAGTCATCGAATTAACTTCAAGTCCAGAAAGGTGTTATCGAATTCTGTCACAAAAGAAATAAAGGATAATTATATTATCGAGAACGAAGACAAGTAATTTGAGCACAAACGAACGTCACAAAAACCGCATTTCTGAAATTTCCAGAAACCATACAGAATTATCAGAATCAAAAACAAGAACAATGCTACATAAAACGGTTCCTTACCTCAACTTGCTTAAATCTTGTTCGTGTTTAGTAAGTTTAATCTGACTTTCTAAATCCGGCAGATGTCGATTAATCGCTAACACCGCACTCGAATAATTGGCGTGATGCGTAAATTTACACTTAAAGTTCTCCGGTGGCCCACAATGGAACAAATAACAACCTCCCGAATTCTAGAAAAAATCCATATGCTTTAACAAACCACCACCAAAACCCCTTACCTTTTCCTCGAACACGAAAACATCACAATTGTCGGTTTCACAGCACAGCCTCAGACATTCTTCCCTAGTCCCTAGGTCGAACTCCGTCAAGTACTTCGCTCCCATTTTTTGGGAGTCCTGAGTCCTGATAATTTTGTCTCTATGTATGTCAAAATTGGCTATGCACGTTTGTAGGTCAATATCGGCGCGTTTAAATCGCAAAAACTGTTCACTACAACTAACTAAGCAGCTTACTAAAATCAGCAGCAAGAGCGTGGACACTTTTGAAACCATTGTAGTAGACGGGAACGTGCAGACATGTGTATAAAATTTTGTGATTGCTAACATGGTGGAAAGCTACCGGGATCAGCTGTGGAAGTTGGTGGATCGATGTCGGGGGTGGCGGCTGCGCAATCACAGAACATCGCAATTTAATAGATAGTGAAAATGATAAGGCAATAACTTGTGGTAAATGGTTACTTAGTTTAACCCACGTGTGTATGCGAATTTTCAGATGACGTCACCGGTTCGCGCAGGGGATGAACAAGCCATAATGGACAAACGCGCGGAAACGTGAACCCCCCGATGCCAATTTTTCGCAATCCAATTCTCGTTTTTCCCAAGCGAACCGGTTGTTGCACGTCCAATCGATGGGATTTTTCAGACAATGATCCTGCACCGCGGGAAAATTCCTGCAGCAGGAACCCAGCAGGAACAGCGGCCGAGTCGGACCGAAGCTCGACGAATACCTTCGTCTCGCCTAACCGCATCATCGCATTTGAACGCAGGCGTTCGTGGTGTTCGCTTAGAATTTCGGTGGTCCGTGTCTATTGAACATTTTATGTGTTAGTGTGAGTGATTTCGAGCAGGGGTGTGCAGGTCGGGCGGTGCCTTTGTCCTTTCAGGATTACCATTACGCGCCCATTCGTCCGGAACGGGAAAAAATGTAAGTCCCATTCAGCAAAACCGGGCGCGTTTTTCGAGAATTTCATTGATAGGCGAACTCGTGGGCAGCCAATTCGAAAAACAAAAGTCGCTTTACGATTGCAAATCCGACTAATCTGTGAATAATTTATTGTTGTTTGTTGTTCGTTTGAAAAAAGTAATTACTTTTACTTTTTGTTTTGTGGTTCGGTTACGGACCAATTAGAGTTCTTCGGTGAAACCCAATTATCGGGGTTTTAATTGAAGAGGTGCGTTTTTAATTTTGCTGGTGTGCATTTTTTAAGGTAATTAATACCCGGAAAGAACGCGCTTGGAATTATTTATAAATTTCCGGAGAATCGATTTTTGGCACAACGTTCACCTTAACCGCCGCGGTTTGTGGCATTTAAAATTGCCCATTTATGAATGTCGTCTGTTTTCCTATTTCGCACTTGTCTCCACTTTCGGCTTTGATGTATCGTTTTATACTGGGTGGAACGCCCACTCCCCGTAATTATGATTTAGAATAATAGACCCCAACATCGTTTGACCACCAGTTCTTTTTGGATGGCTGAAGCTGTAATTACCATGAGTTATTGTTATTGTTTTAAAGGTCACACTAAAGACGTTTCATTTTTGGCTCTTGTGAGTCTCGTGTACAATTTTGCGGTCGTAAAATAACACACTATTCACGATTCGTTTCAATTTTTCGCCAATTATCGGTTCATATTTGGTCGGAATTCGGCTTCGTTTGGAACCTCGGGATTTTTATGATAACGCTAATAAAATCTTGCGAAAGGTAATTAAAAAGGTGAAAACACCATCGGGTTAATTATAAATTCCATTTTATGCTTATTAGGTTGCGGCTGCTCTGCTGCGACGCCGAAGTTTTTACTCTATTTTTATCGGTGGATAAGTTATATAAAATTACGCTGTACGAAAACGAGCCACAAATGCGCAAAAGTACTTCACTGACTACACCGGCCGCAGAATGAAAACTTTTCATGTTTACACGGCATAGAATATCAGTCACCAGATTCTTTCAAATTCGTTCAAAAACCGGAACACCAAGGGCCCTGAAGATTCTTTAAAATATTTCAAAAATCGAAACATAATGAGTCCCAAGATTGTTAAAAGAAATTTCAAAAACCTAACACTAGGTGCCCCCGAGATTCTCTAAAACACCTCAAAAATCGAAACAATATTATGAGCCCTCAAGATCGTTTAAAACAATTTCAAAAACCTAACACCAGATGTCCCCGAGATTCTTTAAAACTTCACCAAAATCGCAACATTTTGAGCCCCAAGATTGTTTAAAACAATTAAAAAAACCTAACACGAGGTGCCCCCGAGATTCTTTAAAATCGCAACATTCTGAGCCCCATGATTGTTAAAAACAATTTCAAAAACCTAACACCAGGTGCCCCCGAGATTCTTTCAAACATCTCCAAAATCGCAATACTATGAGCCCTCAAGATTGTTTAAAACTTCACCAAAATCACAACATTTTGAGCCCCAAGGTTGTTTAAAACAATTAAATAACCTAACACAAGGTGCCCCCAAGATTCTTTGAAACTTCACCAAAATCGCTACATTATGAACCCCAACCCAAGATTCTTTAAAACTTCACCAAAATCGCTACATTATGAACCCCAAGATTGTTAAAAACAATTTCAAAAACCTAACACCAAATGCCCCCGAGATTTTTTAAAACTTCACCAAAATCGCAACATTTTGAGCCCCCAAGATTGTTTAAAACAATTAAAAAAACCTAACATGAGATGCCTCCGAGATTCTTTAAAATTTCAAAAAAAATCGCAACATTTTGAGCCTCCAAGGTTGTTTAAAACAATTACAAAAACCGAACACAAGGTGCCCCCAAGATTCTTTAAAACTTCACCAAAATCGCTACATTATGAACTCCAAGAATGTTTAAAACAATTTCAAAAACCTAACACGAGGTGCCCCCGAGATTCTTTAAAACTTCACCAAAATCGCAACATTAGGAGTCCCATGACTGTTAAAAACAATTTCAAAAACCTAACAGCAGGTGCCTCCGCGATTCTTAAAAAACATCTCAAAAATCGCAACATTATGAGCTCTCAAGATTGCTTAAAACAATTTCAAAATCGTAACACCAGGTGCCCCCGAGATTCTTTAAAACATCTCAAAAATCGAAACATTATGAGCCCTCAAGATTCTTTAGAACAATTTCAAAAACCTAACGCCAGGTGGCCCTGAGATTCTTTAAAACTTCACCAAAATCGTTACATTATGGGCCCCAAGATTGTTAAAAGCAATGTCAAAAACCTAACACCAAGTGCCCCCGAGATTCTTTCAAACATCTCCAAAATCGCAACACTTTGAGCCCTCAAGATTGTTTAAAACAGTTTCAAAAACCTAACACCAGATGCCCCCGAGATTCTTTAAAACATCCCAAAAATCGCTGCATTATGAGCCCTCAAGATTGTTTAAAACAATTTCAAAAACCTAACACCAGGTGCTCAAGAGATCCCTTAAAACATCTCCAAAATCCAAACACTATGAGCCCTCAAGATTGTTTAAAACAATTTCAAAAACCTAACACCAGATGCCCCCGAGATTCTTTAAAAGTTCACTAAAATTATAACATTATGAGCCCCAAGATTGTTAAAAACAATTTCCAAAACCTAACGCGAGGTGCCCCCGAGATTCCTTAAAACTTCACCAAAATCGCAACATTTTGAGCTCCCAAGATTGTTTAAAACAATTAAAAAAACCTAACACGAGGTGCCCCCGAGATTCTTTAAAACTTCACCAAAATCGCAACATTATGAGCCCCAAGATTGTTAAAAACAATTTCAAAAACCTAACACCAGGTGCCCCCAAGATTCTTTAAAACATCTCAAAACTTGCAACATTATGAGCCCTCAAGATTGTTAAAAACAATTTCAAAAACCTAACACGAGATGCCCCCGAAATTCTTTAAAACTTCACCAAAATCGCAACATTGGGAGCCCCATGATTGTTAAAACAATTTCAAAAACCTAACACCAGGTGCCCCCGAGATTCTTAAAAAACATCTCAAAAATCGCGACATTATGAGTCCTCAAAGTTGTTTAAAACAATTTCAAAAACCTAACACAAGGTGCCCCCAAAATTCTTTAAAACTTCACCAAAATCGCAACATTATGAATCCCAAGATTGTTAAAACAATTTCAAAAACCTAACACGAGGTGCCCCCGAGATTCTTTAAAACTTCACCAAAATCGCAACATTGGGAGCCCCAAGATTGTTTAAAACAATTTAAAAAAACCTAACACGAGGTGCCCCCAAGATTGTTAAAAACAATTTCGAAAACCTAACACCAGGAGCCCACAAGGTTCTTTGAAACTATTTCAAAACTGAAAATTATGACCCCCAAGATTCTTTGAAATTCCCTCAAAAAATATAACATCAAGAGCTTCAATATTGTTTCAAACAATTTCAAAAACATAACACTAGGAATTCTCTCAAGATTCTATAAAATTCCTACAAGAAACAAAACACCGGGAATTCTGTAGATTTTTTAAACCAATTTCAAAAACATAACACCACGTATCCCCTAGATCCTTTCAAACTGTTTCAAAAACAAAACACTAGATGTCTCCGAGATTTTTCGAATTCTGTCAAAAAACAAAACACCAGGAACGTTCAAGATTTTTTAAAATTATTTCAAAAATATAACACTAGGTGCCCCTGAGATTCTTTAAAAGTCCTTCAAGGAACAAAGCACCAGGAGCCCTAATTTTTTTTTTATATATCAAAAACATAACACTTGATAACCCGAGATTTTTTCGAAATCGGTCAAAAAACAAAACACCAGGCATCTTCAAGGTTGTCTAAAACTATTTCAAAAACTTATAACACTTGGTGCCCCTGAGATTCTTTAAAATTCCTTCAAGAAACAGCACCAGAAGCCTTATTTTTTATATGAAAAACATAACACTAGATAACCCGAGATTTTTTCGAATTCGGTCGAAAACAAAACACCAGGAAGCTTCAAGATTGTTTAAGACTATTTCAAAAACATAACACCAAGTGCCCCTAAGATTCTTTAAAATTCCTTCAAGAAACAAAGCAACAGGAGCCCTATTTTTTATTAATATCAAAAACAGAACTAGGTAACCCCAGATTTTTTCGAATTCTGTCAAAAAACAAAACACCAGAAACCTTCAGGATTTTTTAAAAACCATTTCAAAAACATAACACTAGGTGCCCCCGAGATTCTTTAAAATTCCATCAGGAAACGAAGCACCAGGAGCCCTATTTTTTTATATCAAAAACATAACACTGGATAACCCCAGATTTTTTCGAATTCTGTCAAAAAACAAAACACCAGGAACCTTCAAGATTGTCTAAAACTATTTCAAAAACATAACACTTGGTTCCCCTGAGATTCTTTAAAATTCCTTGAAGGAACAAAATACCAGGAGCCTTATTTTTTTATTTTTAATATCAAGAACTTAACACTAGGTAACTCCAGATTATTTAAACCTCCTCTAAAAACGAAACGCCATGGGGCTAATTATAAATTCCATTTTATGCTCGGATATTAGGTTGCGTTCTCTATTTTTATCGCTGGAAAAATCATATAAAATTACGCTGTACGAAAACAAGCCACAAATGCCCAAAAATACCTCACTAACTACAGTGCCACAGAATGCAAACTTTACTGCTTTTTACACAACTAAAATCAGTGATTAAAAATCAATGAAGATCACAAAATTAACCCGACTTGATCTAACTCGCAGATAAAATAAAATAATAACCATCTGATTGAATTGTCCTGTAGTGGATGCACTTTATTAGCGGCGATTAATAAAACAATAGTTGCACAAAAGTGTGCAGATAACACAGATGTTCCTTACAATTTGGAATTGTGCAATCCCGCTTCGGCCTCGTTTAATCTCCAAAAAACAATATTTTTGTGTGAATCGTTTGATATTGATTATGTATGTGCCTCGTAAATTCGGCTCTTGCAGCAGATGCCCCCGAGATTCT